ATACGTTCTAGCGGTTTTAGCTTTATTCTAAAAAAACTGAATTTTTTATGGAAAAAATTTGGAAAAAATGGCGATCTTCAATGTTGAGATTGGTACCACCGTAGAAATAAAAACCCGTAGCCCAGAAACCTACATAACTGCTTGCTTAGAGACGTAGTAGTCTAGCAAAACAAATGAACTTGCCATTTCTGCGGCTGTAGTACAGCCATGCTCTACGCAACACAAAGGAACCAAAATTGAGGGCCAAAAAAACGGATCAATCATTTTTGTTAAGCTGTAACTTTTTACTGCGGCATGATGACTCCGCCAAATTTTCGTGAATTATAGAGAAAGTCTTATAGAATATTACCCACTGTCGCTTGTGTTTTTATAACGCCCGGGTTTCGCGGTGGGACCCTTCAAAAATTTGTCTCCGTTATTTTGGGTCACCCTGTATTGTATTTCCGTTATTTCACTCTAAGTTTCTATTGTTTTTAACTATATTTATTAAACGTTGATGAGTAATCCAGGAAGCAGAAGGTGTAATAAGAGAAATTATCGTGTTTACAGCGTTAAGCTGCCCATCAATCTGGGAAAACCCAACGATGTTGACAAGTGCGGCATAAACAAATGTTACAATACGTGATCGTATAATTAATTAAAAACTGGGTGTAACAAGGTCATCGGAGTGGAAGTTACATCCGGGGAGCACAATTTCCTACTCATAGAGGAAGTACTCCAAGTGCGACGCTTAGATTGTGATGAAACTTGGCGCAAATTTAGAATAATTTTTTTAAGATATGCGAGAATTCTAGCTCGCGCTTTGCAGAAACAGCCGACATTTTTAGACCGAAAATGGGCCAAAATTTAGGACTTTTTGTCGAATTTCGGCACGAAAATTTTCATGCCTACTTCTACTGTAAAGGATAATGTTTCTACAAAAAATCAAATTTTTCCGCACGAAACTGCCAAAGTTATGGCCAAAAAGCGCTTTTCTCTCTGACCGCTCTCCACGTTTAGCCTGCTCTCTAGGCGGCAAAAATCGTTCGATATCTCGGCGGCGCCTGCAAAGCGCGAGCTAAAACTTTCAGGAATTGATATTTAGTTCATTCCCGACGTGTGTGCAAAATTTAAAGTAAACCTGAGCGTCGGAGTACTTCTCCTGTCAGTCAACTTTATCTTTTGATTTTGCCCCAACTTTGAAGCCGATTTTTTGGGCTTTGAAGCCGATTGAGACGAAGAGATTTACCTCAGGTTAAACCCTTCAAAAAGTCAGTGTTAAAAGGCCTTTTTTCAACTAGTACATTACATACAGAAACAAACTACGATAAATTGAAAAGCACAAGCAATTAACCAATTGTAATCAGGAACAAAAAGTCGACGACCGTGTTTTTAAAGGTAGTCAACAACAGTGTAAATTTAAAATCATTGTGTCACATGTCAACTGGGTGACCTTGGAAATGAAGATGATTGTAAGTGTGAACAATAAAAAACAGCTAGATTACTGTAGGAGGGACGTGCGTTTTTCAAAAATCTTGCGCCTTTGTCGTCGTGACTTCCCGTTTTTGCCCTTTTGTCAGCGATATGCACTCTTTCGCGAGCTCTCTCCAAGTTTGGCGCGCGAAAAAATCATCTGAAATTTACGGCAGGGTCAACTAATCTGTTCGCAATGGCGCTGGAGTGATCTTCGCGATAATGCACTGTGCAAAAACAAAAGACAGAGAACGCTGCACTGTGCAAAATTCTGGACGCTATGCCCCGTAGTATGTTGGGGATGTAATGTGGCATTGTCGCAGCTAAATCTCTTGCCTCTTCGCTGATGCTCATCGAAATTTCAGCCGTGGCTTTGCAGCGATGATGGACGATTCCGCGGCGCGACAAATTAACCTTATTTTTCCGACAGGCTAATACAGTGACGAAATTGATTCGGTGGCAAAAAACGTACCATTTTGCACCTGGAAAGTATCAAAAAATGTGGCAAAATGCCTCACTCTCCAAGTGAAATCCGATCTCAAAAGCTCGCCCGCTCTTTTTGTGAGGGAAGGCGTTCAAAACTATGTTTTTTCACTTGGAGAGTGAAGCATTTTGCCACATTTTTGATACTTCCCGGAAGCAAAATGGTACGTTTTTTGCCATTGGATTAAGTCACTGTACTTCCTCTGTATGAATAGAAGCTATGGTTTTAGGGAGTGTGCCTTGTAGGGCCTTATAGTTTGAAATCGGACTTTTTTACTTGGAGAAGGAGGTATTCTGCTACATTTTTTGATGCTTTGGGATTCAAAATGCTACGTTTTTTGCCACTGGATCAGGTCCCCGGCTGTATAAAAAATACTAATGTTGGGTTCTACTTAGCCCCCTTTTGAATCTACGTGGATCAACCGTTATAAAGGCAAAATTCAATCCAAAATCAGAGTCATTCTCTATTCTGCTTCTCCCGAAATCGGCCTCTCTCTTTTGTGTGTGTCAATAAACTCTATTCCTATTCCATATTTCCTTGACGCTGTGCTCAACGGTGGCTCCTTCTAGGTTCTATACATCGATGCTACATAGCAAGTCCTGGAAATTTTAGATTGCGCTTTACACGGGCAGCCGAGATAGTCAAAGATCTCGGTGACCGAGAGAGTGTGCGAAACGCGGAGAGCGGTCAGAGAGAAAAATTGACCATATCTGTGGCGGTTTCGTGTGGACATCTCAAAGGCTTAAATCCACATTATTTTCCCGACAGACTCATACAAACGTCGCACTTGATGGCTGCCTTCTTCGTCAATGCTTTAACGAATGTTTTGGAGTTGTTTTGCAACCTCTTCTGCAGACCTGTTGACTACCCAAACTACATACACTTAATTATACCAGTTTCGGCTGTTCGCCAATTCCCGAGAACAGGCGCGAAATTACCAGACGTGTTTTGATCGCATCATGACAATTGTTTACGAAAACAGTCACTCCAAAATAAACTGTTATTTGTGCAGAAACTGCAGCGCGTTGCAACAAGAAATCACTGTTCAAACAGCACGACCTTACACTCGGTCACGTTTCGGCGAAAGTTCTCGACATTGGGGGTCGAGAATCTCCGGAATTTTGTCACATTTTCGCCCCATCGCGGTCTAAAAATACCATCGCGATTACAAAACATTTGCCCTCTGTTTCGAAGAATCTCTCGCGAACATTCGCCCCGCCAAAGTTTTGATAAATGACACATCGTGATGTGGTGGCGCTGAAATTGTTGGTTTTTCGCTTCAAGAATAGTAGTTGACGTTTTTTTCGGCGCACTGGAAATGCACCCAACGGATGATGGAACGTGCGCAATTCGGTGAAATGAGAGTTTAACTTCGGTGACGGCTAAAATAATATTGCCGTGCTGGAGTTTGGGGAGGAATTCGTCATTCGAAGCCCACAAGAAATGAATTATGAAACAAAAGTTTAATTTTTTCTTTGCAAAAAGTGCTTCATTTACAGCAAGCATCAGTCTGTCGGGAAGATTGTAAGGGCACTGTCGCTTCGCTGAAGTAAAAAGTAATTTGATTTTGCCTCGACACAATTCATTTTCCCGGCGGCGATGCGATTTTTAATGCGACAGAGTGCTCATTATTTTCCCGGCAGACTGACATCCAAGAAAATTCACATCTTGCGACGCACAGAATTTTCAAACTTTCCGCTACTTGGAGCATGGTCCACATATAAATTCTTGAATGTTTTAGCTCGCACTTCAACTGCAGCCGAGATATTGAACGATCTTTGCGGCCGGGAGGGCATGTAAAACAAGGAAAGCGGTCAGAGAAAAAAGACAGTCGACTATGTCTTTGCCAGCTTCAAGAGGATTTTTTTGTGTGTAGACATTTCTCTTTATGACGTTTAAACAAAAGATCCATGTTTCCAGCGCCAAATGTACAGAGATGTGGCAAAAAGCGCTTTGTCGCAGCAAATTGTCTCGCATCGTCCGCGCAAGTCCATGGCGGGCGAAAGTGCGACCAATCCACATTATTTTTCCTACTGATAGGAAAAATAATGTGGTATATCGGCTTTCGCTGGGAAATAACAGGTCAAATCTTTGCGGGGTTGATTTGTGATCTACAGTCATCGTCTGCGCCAGATTTTAAGAAAATCTGACAGGCCCACCTATGACAATTCTCTTGTTATAGTCAACTGTCAATTTCTTCATATACTATCAGTCTGTCGGGAAAATAATGAGCACTCTGTTGCATTCAAATTCGCATCGTTGCTGAGAAAATGAATTGTTTCGCGGCAAAATCAAATTTCTTTTTATTTCAGTGACGTGATCGTATCAGCGACATTGTGTTCATTATTTTCCCGGCAGACTGAAAATATTATACTGATAATCTTTTAGTTACTCTTTCCTTTTTACTTTTTAGTTGTATTGTATTGACAAAGTGAGCGTTCTCGGGTCAAATCGTTCACCCATTCATTACCTTCGTTTCTTTTCATTCCAAAGCAAAGAAGATTGTAAAAATTGTAAATTCTTATCATTTTCGGCCCACCAAAAGGGTGTGTGACACCCTTACACATCGCACCCAAGCCCTCAGGGGTTCGTCTGCACCCATCTGCGCGACTGATTGAGCGCTCTATTTTTTACGTCCAACGCCAATAAATAATGTGCATAAAATTGCGCTTCATGGAAGTGAATGTTATGATTGCACATAATTTATATCATAAATATTTACAATTCACGTTGAATATATCATAGTGTTATATACATAGCAAAACAAATCAAATGTCACGGGGAGAAGAGATGGATGGGTCATGAAAACAAGGCTGATATCAGTCTGTCGGGAAAATAATGAGCACAAAATCGCATCGAAAGTCGCGTCATCGCCGAGAAATTGAAAAAAAATGAGAAAAGAAAGCGGTAAAACCAAATTGCTTTTCAATTCAGTGCCACGATCGGCCCAGCGACATTTTCCTTATTATTTTTTCGACAGACTGGTAATATATTACTACAACAAGAAATCTGACGAGAAAAAGCTAAAACGCCCTTCTTGCTGGATCTCAGCAAGTGCTGGACCCTATGGCACAACCCTGGTGAAATTGGTTTGCCTCCTCTTTCTCCTGTCCTCATGGACCTCTTGGGTTTCCTGCTCTAAGCCGGAATCTTCATCCCTGAAATGTAGAACAGAGTCAGTGTGATGCCCTTCAACAAAAGCTACGACTTTCCGGGCCAACGATAGTTCGAGTCTACAATACACCTGGGTTTTTTTTCAGTTTGTCATTTTATGCATGGAGGCTTGGAGAAGGTTCCGTGAATAAATATCAGTCTGTCGGAAAAATAACGGCAGGTCGTCGCAGCAAAATGTCTCGCCTGGCCGCTATCGCGCACCGAATCCCAAGCCGCGCCTTGCAGTCGCTAAGCGATGATGAGCGACTCCCAGGCGCGACGATCCGCCGCTTTTTTCCCGACAGACCGATAGAAACACTAAGATTGATAATATTCTAACATAGTCTATTACCTATTACTGCTTGGAGTTTTACTTGTATTACTGCAATAATACATATAATACACTCCATTTCAAAATGATAGACACGCCTATAAAATCTGCAATTGCGGCGTCGACGTGCAGTTGACGGATACGAAACCTTTACAGATTGAAAGAGGAGGTTCGAAAACCTATACCAAAAAATAATCTTTTTTATTGCACTGCAATTGCACTTTGCACAAAAGATTTTCCAAATTTTGGGTGTTTCAAAAAGATAGACACGGTTGCTATTTTTGCTAAAAACTTGCGAGTATGGGCCCCATAGGGCCTGAAATTATTAGTATGACTGTATTGCAACTGTCTGGACTTTATTGAGTTCAAAACGCCCGAATTTTTGTGCAATTTTCCCGGAATTGCACACATACTTCCGTTTTGTGCAATCTGGCCTGCATCTTTCAGAAGTGCACTTTCTATGGGCACAGACAGTGCAGATGCGACCTATCGTGTTTTATGGACTAGATCCAGTCAGTTTTCACTGGTATGCAACAAATAAATGCGCGGAAATTGCAACGAAAACTGATTTTGCAACGATAGTCGTCACTTTTAAAGCTCCTCAAGCGGGTGCCTGTGGTTTTCACAACCCAAAAAGCTCCGAACTATCTTGGCGATCAGTAAACAAGCGTTATTAAGTAAGCTTTGTGTCCAGGCTCCGTCGGGCCAACGCCAGAAAAGTTTCCAAAAAACCGTTTTTGACCCATTTTTAAGCCTATTTCGCATAGTTTCGCAAAAGTTTTGTGCACTGCGGACCCGCTAAAGCAGAGCTGCATATGCTACAGACTTAAACGTTTTTACGAGAACCTAAACATTGCACTCATGAAGTTTTTCTTCGCATCTAGCTTGTTTCGAAACGTAGGGCAGCCTTCAAAGCTGACCATGTAGCAGCCGAATCAGTTTTCGTTGCAATTTCCACGCATTAATTTGTTGCATACCAGTGAAAACTGACTGGATCTAGTCCATAACACACGATAGGTCGCATCTGCACTGTCTGTGCCCATAGAAAGTGGACTTCTGAAAGATGCAGGCCAGATTGCACAAAACGGAAGTATGTGTGCAATTCCGGGAAAATTGCACAAAAATTCGGGCGTTTTGAACTCAATAAAGTCCAGACAGTTGCAATACAGTCATACTAATAATTTCAGGCCCTATGGGGCCCATACTCGCAAGTTTTTAGCAAAAATAGCAACCGTGTCTATCTTTTTGAAACACCCAAAATTTGGAAAATCTTTTGTGCAAAGTGCAATTGCAGTGCAATAAAAAAGATTATTTTTTGGTATAGGTTTTCGAACCTCCTCTTTCAATCTGTAAAGGTTTCGTATCCGTCAACTGCACGTCGACGCCGCAATTGCAGATTTTATAGGCGTGTCTAACATTTTGAAATGGAGTGTACTGAAACAAAGTAAATATTTGGGTCTTCGTTTTTTGACGAAAGTTTTGTTCTTCTCTATTTTGCAATAGCTCAGGGTCAAGAAAGGTAGGGTTGGCTACAGCTAATGTAAGTTTCCAGATTCTTCCTCGCCAAGCCTCCGCCAAGCGTCCGCGGAGAATTCAACGGCTGCCAGGCCGACACCTACTATCAGCCTGTCGGGAAAATAACGGCGAATCGTCACCCCTTGGAATAGCCTATCATCGCTTTGCAACGGGTTATTTTCCCGAGAGACTGGTATAAACTTTGTTCCTACGCCTGCCCTACACCTCGTATTGACCGATTTTGTAATTCCCCCGAACCGTCGTCGACCCGAAAAGTCGGAACTTGCTTCAACATACTCTTGATCCCCCTCCGACTCTTCATTTGCTTCGCCTCCCGGAATCGCTCCGCCGACTCCCTCTGCAGCTGTCTCATTCACATCCTCAGGGGCTGATGTTGGACCGCTTGGCTCATAATTTGCCGGTGCCGGCGTTGGAACAACCGCTTGAGCGGTTGTCAGAGCCGTTGGCGCTTGTGTAACTTCAGCTATGGGCGTTGTGGTCGTTGCAGCGGCTTGTGTACTACTCCCAGAATCAGAATCTGCACTTAACGGGGCTAACGTTGAGTCAGGAACTGAGGCCAAAGTTTCATTAGCGCCGTCGAAATGATCCAAGGGCGTTGGTTCAAAGCCCCCCGACATTACCATCATCAATACGAAGATGAGGATTGGTATCGAAAGGAAGATGATTATAACTGCGCATTTGAGGGCAACCTTAGCTGGTGGATTCGGCTTGTCGTTGGCAGCTGGTCGGCCTGAAATCTCAGATATTTTTTTAGCGCACAAGGGAAGTATACTCCAAGCGCGACGCTCAGATTGGCTTTACATTTTGCGGGAGCTTTGGGTATGGGTTGTATATCAATTCGTAAAAATTCTAGCAAACTCTTAGCAGGTTAAGTCGAGATATTCAACAATGTTTGCAGCCGAGAGGGTAGGGCGAAAAGCGGAGAGAAGCGGCCACAGAACATAACATTTTTTTTGGCCATATCTTTGCCAGTCCCGCGCGAAAAAATATGCTTTTTTTGTGAAAAAATTATCCTTTACAGTAAAAATAGATATGAAATTTTTTATATCGCAAAAAACCATCACATTTTTGTTGACTCTAGACCCATAAATTTGGGGGTTTTTTCGCAAAATGCGCTCTAGAAGTCTCGCATATGTACTATAAAAATGTCTTCTTAATTTGTGTCAAGTTTCATCACAATTCAAACGTCGAACTTGGTGTACTTCTAGTCAGTAAACGCTAATTTCGTAAGTTTTAATGTCGGGCAATTCAAAGAGCATTCCTCAAAATTTTCAAATGGCTTTCTCTCAACTTACGTGATGGCTCCGCAATCGACGGAAGCGGCTTCGCACTATTCCCACTATGTCCCATCGTCGATGTCGCGCTCAGCATTGTTCCAGCCGGCCGTCCCGTCGTGGGCCTTAATTTCGGGATCTGTGGCATGCTGATTACGGGCTCTGATATGGAGGTGTGCAATTTTGGGACGTCTTCGGGCGACTCAGCCCTCGGCGAATTTGGTGCGCCGAGAGGATGGTGAATTGGAGGCAAGCGGGCAGCATAAAGCGGTCTGGCTGGAGTTCTGGGGCGACCACCGGCCGCCGTGGGTAGCCGGATGTTGTTCATCTGGAAGAGTGGAGGAACATATACATATATAGTCATCAGCTTTGTTTATGAGCTCGAAAGCCGCAAAATCACGTAGAAAGCTCGGGTAGAAAGACAGAGAAAAGACACGAAAAAATAGAGAATTCTTGAAAGTTTTAGCTTGCACTTTTGCAGCCGAGAGAGTACCCGAAATGGAGAGAACGGCCATAGAAAAACGCTTTTTGGCTATATTGATGGCGGGCCGCACGGCAACCACTATGCGGGCAGCTTGAAAAAACCCACGGAGATTTTGCGGACATTATTAAATCATCCAAGACTGCTTACAAAATTCAAACGATGTGCTTGACGATTAGATGTTGCGGATTAAGTTTCCAGGTGTACAAGTGGCTGGAATAGTTATCATAACCATATCCAGGCGTTTTTTGCCATTTTTTGAAAACAAACTCCCATAACTTTGAAAGCAGTGGATGAATTTAATAGATTTGTGTACTTATCAGTACCAGGGAGTTGTCAATGTAAAATTTCTATCGTACTTCGCAGATTATGGGAGCGAAATCGTAATTCTAATCGAAAGATGTCGGCAGCCCGCAAAATGGTTGCCCGCAAGCGCGCGACGCCAAATTGATCTTTTGTGGAAACGCTGCCTTCAACGGGAGAAATAAGTAGGTCTCCCGGTTGTCCAGCTTACTTATAATTTTGCGAATGTAAATGATAGTGTTATTTTTTAGACTCAAAAACCTAAACGAAGAAGTAAAAAAAAAATTCAAGGGATTAAAAAACAGCGAAATTTCGGATGGCTTTTGTGGCGGAGTAGGTAAACCTGGGTTCAAAAAAATGTTGCAAGTAAAATTTTGCGGTAGAAAAGACTTTACAAGATGAGAGAACTAGCACAAAGAGAACGGCAAAATTCACTGTGCAAAATCTACACACTTTCTAAATGGCGTAGTAACAGTGAGGAAACATGAAAAGAAGCTATCTTTTGTCATCACTTAAAAACCCCATATATATTTTAGTACAATATCGGGGCAGTGCGGGTAGCAGGTGAACCTTATGTGGCCTTGTCATATACGATCTGGAAGCGCTTTATCTGAGCTTCAAACCTGTGTATCCAACATACTCCGCAACGGGTTTCAAAGCTTACAAGAATTCGCACAAATCGACGACCCAAAAAATTTGCAAGACTTATGGGACACCCAAATATAACTCCAAAATCAGCCACATCAACAACCCCCATCAAAACATCCGAATATTAATTGTAACAGCGACAAGCACAAGAATGAGAAGCAGTGCGGTTTGTAATTACATTTCGTACATGCGTCTTTTTCGCCTTTCACAATCCGGTCTGCATGGCAACGGCGCAGTACCTGGAAGAAGGATGAGAAACAGCAAAAAAACAAAGACGTTTCTTTGCCCGAGGGAGTGAACGGTGGTCCGCACCTGTGAGCCGGTGAATTCTCCGAGGAAAGAGGGCTGGATGGAAGAGCGTTTATTAATATTACATAGTGTAATAAAAGTACATATAATAAAAAACGAACATATTCGTCATAATTGTCATCAAATTTTTTTTAAACTATATATTAATAGTTCGTCGGAAAAATAATGAGGAGAATGTCGCTGAAGTGAAAAGCAAGTTGATTTTGCAGCGACACAATTCATTCTCTCGGCAGCGATCCGATTTCCGATGCGATATGGTGCTCATTATTTTCCCGACAGACTGATATTTCAACTCACATGTGTAGTGAAGCTTGATATAAACTTACAAGATAAGTACCCCAAGTGCGACGCTCGGATTTCCTTTAATTTTGCACACACTTCAGGCATAGACTAACAGGGGAAGTACTTCAAGTGTGACGCTCAGATTTTCTTTAAATTTTGCACACACATCGGGTATGGACTAAATATCAATTCCTGAAAGTTTTAGCTCGCGCTTTGCGGGCGCCGCCGAGATATTGAACGATTTTTGCCGCCGAGAGAGCACGCTCAACGTGGAGAGCGGTCAGAGAGAAAACCGCTTTTTGGCCATAACTTTGGCAGTTTCGTGCGGAAAAATTTGATTTTTTGTAGAAACATTATTCTTTACGGTTGAAATAGGCATGAAACTTTTCGTGCCGAAATTCGGCAAAAAGTCCCAAATTTTCGCCGACTTTCGATCTAAAAATCTCGGTTGTTTCTGCAAAGCGCGAGCTAGGATTCCCGCATATATCTTAGAAAAAATTATTCTAAATTTGTGCCAAGTTTCATCAAAATCTGAGCGTCACACTTCAAGTACTTCCCTTGTAAATATCAATTCCCGAAAGTTTTAGCTCGCGCTTTGAAGACGAAGCCGAGATATTCAACAATCTTTGCGGCCGAGAGAGTAATATTGAACAAACCAAGCTCTATTTGTTAGTATTATATGTAGTAGTTTCGAGTTTGCGAGCGGACTGCAAAACGGACCGTTGACAAAACGCCTTTTTCCAATATGAATTCCCATTTTTCTAACAACTACCAGTCTGTCGGGAAAATAATGCACACACTGTCGCATTGAAAATCGTTGATAAAATGAAAGGTATCGCAACAAAATCAAATTGCTTTTCACGTCAGCAACGCAGCCATATTTCGCTCATTATCTTCCCGACAGACTGATAAAAACTTTGGTGACGTCGTTGTCATCAAACAAAGTTGACATGCAACGTCGAGGAAGTGTGACTCACAATCAATCATCAACGTCTTCATTTCAATTGCCTTATCTTTTCTCCATAACTCTTCCTATCAGGCTCGGCAAGGTGAGGAGTTTGTTTGCCCCCGAAAACTATTGTCTCTGCAACGGCACACCCATAAGTTCGTCGTTATTAAACGTCTACCGCCTCGGCTTCCTTTTCACTTTCATCAACTTCATTTTACGATTTTTGCCAGACTCGGATTTATCAGTCTGTCGGAAAAATAATGAACACAATGTCGCTGTGTCAAACGTGTGTCACTGAGGCGAGGAGCAATTCGATTTTGCCGCGACACAATTCATTTTCTTGGGGACGATGCGAGTTCTCATGCGACAGAGTGCTCATTATTTTATTCCAGGACGCGCAAATCCACATCATTTTTCCCTGCGGCCTGATATGGTCACCTGAGTTAATTGCAGGCTGAAATAAGCCTCCGTACAATAAACCCTCCTGGTATTACATGGATAATGAGTTATTATTTTGTTTCCTTGCTGTCGCATCGTATGGCTGTGCTATGCGTTCTTTGCCTACAAGATGTAACATCGCACTTATTTTTCAATGTTTAACTCATTTCTTCTTTATTTGCTAACACTCCTTTTACATCACATACACTGAAAGAAAAAACATCATATATTTTTGATGTTTTTCATCAGTCTATTAGATTTTGATGAAAACATCAAAAAAAGTTTTTTGATGTTTCGTTTCATCAAAACGAAAAAAAATACGATATTATTTTTTTGACGTGGGGCACATCAAAAATTTTTGGAAAATCAAATATTTGTGATGGATAATTTATCAAAAACACAAATACTACTATTTACACAATTTATTCGAATAAACCGTTTGTAAAAACACAATTTAGGTAAAATAGCAGTCATAGCAAACCTTGACTACGTCGCTTTTAACTCCATGGAACGGCCGTTTCTTGCGCTGATCCAAGACGACGATTGGAAGAAAAGGTCGGGTTGATTGCGTCGAGGTGGAACAAGTCATTACCACCATCATTACCGTCGGGCATCCGCATCGCATGGCCTAAAAATCAAACCTACTACAATATAGATAACTCACCTGTTTGATGAATTCTGGCTTCTGATCGCTCAAATACTGTCTTTCCATTGGTGATCCAGCTTCTGGACGGCCCAGCTCTACAAATAAACAACATTATTTTGACTATCACCAAGCGCAACTCACCTTACCGAAAAAACATCACTTCAACTCTTCGACTATTGGCTGTTAGTACTGATGATGAAGATCGTCACGGGGTGATGAAGCAGGTCTTTGGCGGAAAAGTCGACATCCACCTGCTTTTCTTCGCAAAACATGGGACACCGGGAGCTAAATTTACATTTTATACTCCAAATTGGACGCTTTTGTAAACATTTTATTTTCTCACCATCACCAAGATACCAAGACGATTCCCAAAATAGTTAAAGATCTAATCGAAACTGGATCAGGGAGCTCCATAGACCGTATTTAAAAAATCTTTGGACAAAATTTCAGAAAATTTTCCGAATTTTCGAAATTTTCCATCACGTATGCCCAAACATCTAGTACAATATAAAAAAACTCACAATTTTGGTCCGATTAACGCTTGGTCCTCCGGTATGACTATTTTGTTGTCAAAAACGCTTTTGCGGACTGGATAAACGTACGGGAAGGCGGTATGCTCTTCGTCCAGCATACACAAAGCTCAGGTCCAAGCCAGCGAAGGCGGATAAGCATAACATGTCCAGCAATATGAAAAAAATAAATCTGAATTCCAAAGAATTAAACAATTCAGAGACCAAGCTTACCTCAGTCTTCGTTGCGATTTAGAGCATCTGTTTATCATTGTCGCCCAAATAAGTGATCTAAAAATAAAAGAAAACAACAGCAAAACTCGCTTACCTGATCTATTTACAATCCTGACAATCACGACCTTTACAAGAAATCGACAATTTATGAGGCATCTTATCATGTAACAACCGACTTTATGAAAATTCGACAGAGTGAAATTCGACTGATTTCCTTTTTCTCTGTTGTGCGTACGCACATGTGTGCCCTTCCTTTTGAGTTCAATTGGCAAATTGGAATTTGATAAACCCAAACATCAAAAAAGTTTTTTTGATGAAAACATCAAAATCTCCAGCTTTTGATGTCGTGGACATCATAAATGCGTGATGTTTTATTTTGATGAATTTGAATTTGATGTTTTTTCTTTCAGTGTACTGTAAAAGTTGCACGTATTACTAAGCTGCCTGATAAACAGCCCTGAATAAATCGGGTTCAACGAAAAATACTAATGAAAAAGCTTGCAATAAATTTGACTTTCAGCCGACATGGCATTCGACGACTACAAGTGCTGCTGCAATACGCATGTTCATGTGAGTTTAGAGGCTTATAAATGAGAACAAAAAGTTGGAAAATACAGTAGACGGAAGTGAAAAGGAAGCTTAACGGAAGAAGTCTAGCAGCGACGAGTTTATGGGTGCACCGTTGCAGAGACAAACAAATTTTCCCCGCAAAAAAAAACAAAGTCATCAGCAAACATCGTTTCTGGTCTGGCCGGCTCTCCTCATTTCACGTGCTCTCTAGAAAAAAAACCGCTGAATAGATAAGCCCCTGCTGGAAAGTGCGACTTAAATCTCTCGTGGATTTGAATACATATGTGTATATAAAGATATCAGCTTGTCGGGAAAATAATGTGGATTTGCCTTAAAATCGTCCTTGCGACGGCTAGTGGCGTCCGAGAATTTGGTGTGCGACCGCGACGAAACGAGGCATTTTGCTGCGACCAATCCGCATTATTTTCCCGACAGACTGCATGAATTCCATTGATTTTCCCAACTTCATCGTCCCTTACATGGGACGATGAAAATAAGACTGATCTCATTGTCCACGCAATGTTCTATTCTGTTTCAAATTCTAGAGCGCCATCCTTGCCATCGCCATAATTGGCTGGCTATTGGGCGTTGGAGCGCTGATCGTCATCATAGTCAGTTTTGCAATATTCTTCGTGCCGATTCCACTGTTAGCCGGTGTAGGGAATCTAATGCTTCTGATTGGGCGATGCACAAACACGGCTTGTTTGTATTGGTTCTTCTTCGTCACTCAGGTGGGACATTTTTCGAAAAATTTTTGCGCCTCCTACTACAGGGTGTTCCAAGAGTTATGGAAAAAACTATTCATTAATAACTTTGTGCTCGGTCGTCCAATCCGAATTTTTTTTTTACATTTTGCAGAAAAACCTTTTAGAGTTTTTAGAATCAAAAAAAAATTTTTTTGTTTTATCGGCGGAGACTTCCGTAATCCGCCTTGAATTCGGTGGAGTGCGTTTTTCACAAACGAGGCTGTAAAAATAGGTTCATTTTTTTCTCCGCTGATTTCTTCGCCGAATTGCCTTTTTTTTCCTCTCCCAGTGAGCCGAAGACGTAATAAGTCGTATTTCGGCGCCATGCCACCAGGAATACCATGCGTTTGGGTTTTAGCCAATTTTGACCCCCCAAATTCGAAGAAAAATCGTCCGCCGAGGTTAAAAAATGTCTCCGCCGAATGACAAAAAATTGAAATTAATGTCATATTGTATCTTCTGAATCCTTTCCCGCCCATTTTTTTCACACATACAACAATTTACAGCCTCATTTGTGAAAAAAACACTCCGCCGAATTCAAGGAGGATTACCGACGTCTCCGCCGATCAAAGAAAAATTTTTTTGTTGATTCTAAAAACTCAAAGGTTTTCCTGCAAAATGCAAAAAAATTTTTTGGGGTTGGACCACCGAGCACAAAGTTATTAAAGAATAGTTTTTTCCATAATTCTAGGAACACCCTGTAGTGTTATATTTTCATAAAATGCGTAGACTTCTTCTCATCGCTTGAGACAAAATAAAGGTCGAATGCGCAGTGCGAAAAGGTTGCGACAAGAAGTCTACGCACTTTTGAAAAAAGCGAAAAATATCTACGCATTTTACGACATCGCATTTGTTTTTTGGAGAGCACATTATGAGTCTGTCTGGAAAGTAATGAGCACAATGTCGCTGCCCTAATCACATCGCTGAAGCGAAGAGCAATTTGATTTTGCCTGCGGCACAATTCATTTTCTCTTGCGATCTTCGTCACGACAGAGTGCTCATTATTTTCCCGACAGACTGATTTACCTTCCGTATAACCTTTCAGACTCTCCTGATCGCCGATAGCATTTGGTTTTGTGTGGAGCTGTACAGAATGGCCAAGCAGACGATGGCTGGAGAATACTACTCACTTTTCGGCTGGACTTTACTGTTCGTCGAAGAAATGGGCGGCTTCTTCATTGTCTTTGTCTGTTTTGGGGTCCTCTACGTTCTGCTCAACACCTACTTCACCTACATCGCGTACAAGGCCTACCGTTACACGGTGAATGTTCTCAACACCCACGTCCATCACGTCGACGCGGTGATGGTGTCCACGCATCAGACCGCATACCCTCCGGCTTCGGCGAATCCGGGCTTCGCCCCGTACCCGCAAGCGGCTCCGGCCCACTCGTTCAGCTCGCCTGCCGGAGTGCCGGGCCGCGGATTCCAGGTTCCTCCGTCAGTTTATCCGGAGATAAAGTCTGACAACGCCAGAGGACATATGTGAATGTTGACCGGTGGTGTTGACCAAGTGCTCGAAATATTCTATAATAAAAATTTCTATTCTCTCTACCATTGCCAAGCGTAAACTAAAACGTTCAGTTATTGTTACTCACAAGGGAATGCAGCTCATTATTTTCCCGACAGACTGATAAAAACTTTGGTGACGTTGTTGTCATCAAACAAAGTTGACATGCAACGTCGAGGAAGTGTGACTCAATCGTCAACTTCTTCTCTCAATTGCCTTATCTTTTCTCCATAACTCTTCCTATCAGACTCGGCAAGGTGTGGAGTTGGTTTGCTCTCGAAAACATTATTGTCTCCGCAACGGCACACCCATAAACTCGTCGTTATTAAACTTCTTCCAGCCAGGCTTCCTTTTCACTTGCGCTAAATATATTTGAAAAATTTTTGCGAGAGTCAGGTCTATGAGTCTGTCGAGAAAATAATGAGCACAATGTGGCTGCGCCGGTTGTGTCGTTGAGGTTAAAAAAATTGTTTTTACGGCGACACAATTCATTTCCTTGGGAATGATGCGATGTCCCATTCGCTAGAGTGCTCATTATTTTCCCGACAGATTGATAGCAACGAGAATTCGCCAAACTTTTATGGGTGATTCCAAGACGCGGCAAATCCACATTATTTTTCCTTACGGCCTAATACGGTAACCTGAGTTAATACCAGGCTTAAATAAGCCTCCGTACAATAAAATTGTCTGGTACAGTGGGGGAAATGTAATAAATCAATCTAATAAATCCGCTGTTTTTGTGGGGGAAAGGGCGCGCTCTTCAAGACGGAGTTTTTTAGTTAGAGAAGGAAATATTTTGCTACATTTTTGATGCTTCCCGGATACAAAATGGCACGTTTTTTGCCACTAGATCAGGTCCCCCCACTGTATAATGAATATTGTCTTTGTTTCCTTGCTCTTCGTCGTACCGTTTGACTGTGCTAAGCGTTCTTTGTCTACAAGATGCAATCTTTTTTCTCCGTCTTATTTTTTAATGTCTAACGCATGTTTCTTTATTTTCTGACCGCTCCATGCTATCACATACTATAATATAATATACTTCTCAGCCGCCTGAAAAAACAGCCCTGATAACGGTTGTTTCATCCTTTTCAATGGCTGCTTCCAGTCCGAAAGTTTGCTATCACATTCAGCAGTTTATTAATTAATGTCATCTTTGTTGTTCTGCTTTGCCCGACTGTTTTTTCACTGAATTACAAATCGTCGCGTGGTAAATCGAGTTCAAAAATTATGAGAAGGTTTGCAATAAATTCGACTTTCAGCCGGCATGGCATTCGACGACTACAAGTGCTGCTGCAATACGCATGTTCATGTGAGTTTGGTGGCGGTTTTGGGGAGCATCTCAGTTTGTCGGGGAAATAATGAGCACTCTGTCGCATGGAAAATCGAATCGTTGCCGAGAAAATGAATTGTGGCGGGGGAAAAATCGGTTTTCACTTCAGCCATACGAGCGGCGCAGCAAAATTGTGCTCAATATTTTCCCGACAGACTGATAAGTGATAACAAAAAGTTGAAAAATAAAGTTGATGAGAGTGAAAAAAACAGGCTAGGCGAAGAAATTTAATAACGGCGAGTTTATGGGTGCGCCGTTGCAGAGAGAATCAAATTTTCCCTGCAGAAACAAAAAAGTCATGAGCAAACACGGTTTCCCGTTTGGCCGACTCTCCTCATTTCACGTGCTCTCTCGAAAAAAGGCCGCTGAATATATGGGCAGCAGCTGGAAAGAGTGACTTAAATCTCTCATGGATTAGAATACATATATGTATGTAAAGAAATCTGTTTGTCGGGAAAATAATGTGGATTTGTCGCGCCTTAAAATCGACCGTGTTCACAACGGCTAGGCACGTCTGAAAATTCGGTGTGCGACTGCGACGAGGAAAGAAATTTTGCTGCGACAGATCCACTTTATTTTCCCGACAGACTGTATGAATTATTTATTTTTTCCCCCAACTTCATCGTCCCTTACATGGAAAATAAGACTGATCTCATTTTCCACGCAGTTTTCTATTTTCTTCCAAATTTTAGAGCGCCATCCTTGCCATCGCCATAATTGGCTGGCTTTCCGGCGGTGGAGCGCTTATTGTCATCATCATTAGTCTTCAATGGATCTTCTTGCCGGTTCCACTGCACTTGAGACAAAAGTTATTTTTCAATTTCCATCCCATTTTTTCTTTATTTTCTAACGGCTCCATGCCATCACATACTATAAAATATTCCTAAGCTGCCTGAAAGAACAGCCCAGATAACGGTTGTTTCATCCTCTTCAATGATTGCTCCCAATCGGAAAGTTCGCTATCACATTCAGCAGTTTATTATAAAGGCCGAATGCGCAGTGCGAAAAGGTTGCGACAAGAAGTCTACGTACTTTTGAAAAAAGCGAAAAATATCTACGCACTTTACGACATCACATTTGATTTTTGGAGAGTACATTATCAGTCTGTCGGGAAAATAATGAGCATAATGTCGCTGCCCCAATCACATCGCTGAAGTGAAAAGCAATTCATTTTCTCGGCGGTGAATTTGATGCGACAGAGTGCTCATTATTTTCCCGACAGACTGATAGTAAGCTTCCGAGACTATTCTTTACCTCCTGTATCATCTTTCAGGTCCTCCTCATAGCCGCGAACATTTGGTGGTGCGTGGAGCTGTTCACTTTAGGCAATCAGGTGATGAATGGCAAATACTACACATTTTTTGGCGAAACCTACAAGTACGACAAAGGCTGGGGCATCTATTTTATTGTCCTCGGCTGTATTGGGGTCCTCTACATTCTGCTCAACATCTACTTCACTTACATCGCGTTCAAGGCCTACCGTTACATGGTGAATGTCCTCAACACTCACGCCCATCACATCGATGCGGTGATGGTGTCTACGCATCAGACCGCATATCCGCCGGCTTCGGTGAATCCCGGCTTTGCCCCATATCCCCAAACGGCTCCGGTTGAGTCGTTCAGCCCGTCGTATCCGCAGCCATATCCTCCGGGTCAAGCCTATCCGGCGCACACCTACCCCGACCCGAACTTGCCAGCCGGAGTTCCGGGCCGCGGATTCCAGGTTCCTTCGTCGGTTTATCCGGATATAAAGTCAGATAATGCCAACGAACATATGTAAACGAACACCGGTGATGTTAACAGAGTGCTCTGAATATAATAAAGACTTCTATTTCTCTTCCAGTCATGTGTATTTTTATTTTTACTGTTTGTTTGTCATTTTTCAAACAAAGTAGATTTGCGTATCCAGATTGTGCCTTGATCTTGAACAAGCGTTGTGTTTTATATTAGTCATTTTATAAATAGATGATAAGCAATCCACGTGATCAAGCTGCTCATTTCCATTAATAAAGTTTTTTTAGCATCTCCTTGCACACAACGAAAGGTCAAAGAAACTCAAAGTATCGTCGACCCAAAAATTCGTTGACCTGAGATCTCGCTAGAAGTCATCCAGCCATTCAGCGGTCTTTTCGGAAGCAACAGAGCTTGTCGGATAGGACGTTTTACGTCTTTCGTCAAGAATTAACCGCACCGCGTCGCTCGATGAATTATCCTTTCGTAATTTCATAAAAACAAGGCCTAAAAAGCCGTTGGTTGCCCTTTCTTGAGCAAACGTTGTGTATGTAGGTTACGTATAAATTTCGGAAAATGTCATCGCGTCTCTGAAAAAATTGCTGTCTCACATCAGTCTGTCGGGAAAATATTGAGTGCTCTGTGGCGTCGAAAATTGCTTCGCCATCAAGAAAATGAACTCTGTCGCCGCAAGATCAATTCGCTTTTCTCATTCAGCGACGCAATTTTTAGAGCGCAGTATTTTCCCGACAGATTCATAATTTTAAAAACATTCGTCTCATTTTTAACCCTCCCCTTGTTTTCTTCAAGACCGAACACTCAAGTAAACTCGTCTTGGAGTTGCGTAAATCCCTCGAAATGATTAAAGAGTTCACTTATTTGAGGAGTAACTCAATAAATAGAAGTCTCGCGCGTCCCTCTCTTTTTATGACTCACTAGGGAAGTGTACAAACGAACCCTCACCAAATGGCAAGTGTTATACACCATTGGAAAGCCCTTAAAAAGTGGTGCAAGAAACCATTTTCATTTTTTGCAGAATGCCTCAGGGCAACAAATTATAAACGGTTGATTTGTGCTTTAAGTAGTTACAATATCTGCTGTGGGGCATAATAAATGTTATTTCAAAATGCTAAATGGTACGGAATGCAACTAGGTTAGCATAAGGATCATTATGAAGTTTAGCGCTTGCCAGTAAGACCATTTTACCTATGATATTTACTGGTTTTAAGTACCCATAATGTGAAAAACCACTTTTCACTTTTTTTGATGTTGAAAAACATGTAAGTTTTATGATTTTAACCGTAACCGACCGTCTTCCAGTAAAATTAAAGCGTTTGTAAAAGTTTAACGGAAGTATTTTCCTAACTGTAAGAACGCAAAAATGATTTTTCCCAAGCTGGGAACTGAACCCGGCTTGCTTTGGCTTATCAGCCTGCTCAGCAACCACTACACTATTGAAGCAACCCTCTCCGAGGATTTTTATCCGCTGAAGAGAATGAAGGATTTTTGTTGCGAAATGACGTAAAAATAATATAATTTACAGTGTGTCGTCGCGGAAAGGCATTCTGCAAAAAATGAAAATGATGTCTTGCACCATTTTTCAAGGGCTTTCAAATGGTGTATATCACTTGCCATTTGGTGAGGGTTCGTTTGTACACTTCCCTAGTCAGTGGTCTATTCTCTACCTCCGTTCAAGATGCAATATAAACGATCTGACCTTGTTATGTTCTCAAAAAACGCCCTACGCTTTACTCCGTTTTTTGTATGAGTTACTATGTAGTTATCCCCAAAAATTTGGATATTTAATGCAATAATAACTAATTGTTTTAAGTTTCAAGCGCTGCTACAATTAGGTTTGATTGTGAAAACTGTTTTCAAAACAATTTTACTGCAAGCGTGAAATCCGATAAAACGTCAACTTAACCTAGAAGTTTGAGGTTTGATTGTTTTTCTCTCTGTTTTCATGCCTGTTTTGGGTGTTCGATTTTTTTCACAAATTCCTCAACGTCCGATGCGTAAGTATTTTAATAATTAAAAGTTCGCATAGATATTAGTCTGTCGGGAAAATAATGAGCACAATTTCTCAGAACCTGTCGCGTCGCTGAACTGAAAAGCAATTTGATTTTTCCACGACACACTTTATTTTCTCGGTGGCGATGCGTCTTTGGGTGCGACAGAGTGCACATTATTTTCCCGGCAGACTAATATTAGGTTGATGCATAATTATCCGGCGTTTTTATTGGCGTGTTTTTTTGTTAGTTACAATTCGCGTTTTGTAAACTTTTTTTCATAAAAATAATCTTCTCTGTTTAGTTTATAAAATGACTGTCGAAAACCATACTCACATTCGCCATATTATGCTCTACCACTTCGAGAAAAGTTGGAAGTCAGCACGGTCATTTCGCGATCATTTTTTGGCGAAGGAACAAAAAAAAGGCACAATTTCGCAGTGGATGATTCCGCTTCTGTCCCACCACACATACCACATAGCCTTCTGACAGTGGACGTCTTTTGGTATTCCTTAGGGACACCTGGCGAATTTTTTTGGTTCCTTCGCCGAAAAGTTCGTTGAGATCGCGGAATGACCGTGTTGACTTCCAACTTTTCTCGAAGTGGTAGAGCATAATACGGCGAATATGAGTATGGTTTACGACAGTCATTTTATTAACTAAACAGAGATGATTATTTTTATGAAAAAAAGTTAACAAAACGCGAATTTTAACTAACAAAAAACGCGCCAATAAAAACGCCGGATAATTATGCATCAACCTAATAGTATAAGATTTTCAGCGTTGCTATGACCATTAAAAGAATGTTTGAAAGTTTTCGCTCCTATCAGTGATTACTATGTATAGTAGACTACACTAGCGGGTCTAGGCGGGCCGAGAGAAATTTATATACAGATACATTGCAAATCTCCCAGAAACTCTTTTTTCTCCTTCAAAATTTATTACTCCCCTTTAAATTCCCTTCCAGCCCTTCTGGAATAGCCTTTGGTCAAAAAAACAGCCCTAAACATTATGTTATCCCACTGTCCTAACACTGAACTGCAAACAGCGAAATTAATGGCCGCAAACCGGTCGCTTTCATTAATCTCCCCCAACTCTTTGGCCAGATGGGCAAAGAAGTGGAGGGCCTGTTCCGTAATGCATTTGGAAGCGAGAAGGGGGGGACAGATTCGAGCCGAACACTGAAATTGGCCGAACGGAGGTCTTTTTCGTCGCGTTTTTGCGAAAGAATGGGAATTAACTGTGGGAATTCCTGTTATGGAGACTCTTCTTTGACCAGGGAAAGCTAGTTCATTCTACGGGTATTTTCATATCGGCCTGTCGGGAAAATAGCGGCGGGTCGTCGCAGAAAAATCTTTTGTTTCGTCGAGGATGCAGTCTTTTGTTCATAGTGCAGTCGCAAAGCGATGATGGGCGATTCCAAGGCTCGACAAATCCACATTACTTTTCCCGACAGACTGATAGGATATTCACAGTATTTTCATAAAATACGTAGACTTTGTTGACTTTTTTCGCGAAAGCACCGTGCATTTTGCCTTGGGATCAAAAGTCTGCACACTTTATGAAAGCAATGTTAGTTTTCATAAAGCGCTGTGCAGTTTTACCGCGTGAATAAGCCTTGACTGGCGCGAGAAAAATGCCAATACTTTTTGGCCCGCATACTTATCAGACCTCGGGAAAATAACGAGCAAAATTTCGCTGTACCTGTCGCGTCGCTGAAGTGAAAAGCAATTTGATTTTGCCGCGACACAATTAATTTTCTCTTTTTGAAGACTGGAAATTATCGAGGGTGTCGTATTCACTTTTTTCATAATTTTTTTGCCAAATTGAGACATAAAAGTTAGCTTTTTGGAGGGGAAGCTCCACCCAAAAGATTTATTTCTTCTTTATCCCTTGCTTAAAAATCCAAGGATCTTTTGAAACGTCCTGAAAAAGCGTTGAAGGCTCTTTCTTCAAATCCGCCGAAATGTTTTCGTTCCTTTTCGATGTATTTTTTACATCTTCAAGCCTTCAGAAGTTTTATTCCACTTGCAAGAAATCTCAATTTTTTATGGTTTACTGTCTTTTAATTAATTCCGCTCCTAAAACAGCATAAAAAATTGTCGGCACTGTTCTTATAAGACACGAAAATGAATAAAAAATAGTTTTCTTTCCCTTTTTTCGATGGCCACAGGCCGTTCGGCCTCCGTTTCGAGCGAGAGATGACTCATCGGGGACAAACTAGAATAACAAACAGTTAGCGAGCACGCGCGCTCAAGGCTAAAAATCTAGTTTCTCTCTAACCAAGGGAGCTTACGAATAGTTATGTGAAATTGCCCGCGTATTTATTGTATTAGTATCTTGTATTTTACGATATTAGTATTTCCATAAAGTGCATTGAGATTTTTTCTCTTTCGCACAGTGCATTTTGAACTTTTTTCCCACGCTCGTCGCTAATGCACAGTGCATTTTTCTCTTTTCGCAAAGTGCATTTCGAACCTTTTCCCATGCTTGTCGCCAGCGCACAGTGCATTTTTATTTGTCTCTTTTCGCACAGTGCAAACCGCAAAAGGGCCGTTTGCACTGTGCAAATCCTTCAGCAAAGCCGCGGTGAGGCAATTGAAAAAAACTTGCTATATTTCGCCGCACAGTGCAAAACCCCAAAAAGCAAAACGCACGGTGCAAAATCGGGTGTTTTTTGTGCATGTTGCGACCGCGGTAAAAGTCCGTGCACTTTATGAAAATGCTATATGAAGTGTAATGGTCGACTTAGAGAATATAGATAAAGTTTATTAGAGAATAATTACAATAGAATTACAAGAGCATTAAGAGAGTGGAAGCGCTTCCTCGAATGATTTCGAGGGCGGCTTATATAGTAGATTAGGTTGTTGTAGTTTGGGTTGCACACATTCCAAACTTGGTTTTTATGAACTCAGTTTCTGCTGAGTCACTTTGTGTCCTCATCCGGTTTCGCAATCCGGAAGCCATCGATCATTATTTCTTCATTGTTTGACGCACGTAATGCGCGTGGTCATTAATCTTGAACTCCTTGGGCGTGGTCTCCTTTGACCACTCCATTCGTAGTGTAGCGGCGGTTTCCACGTGCTTTCCGCACGGCTTCCATTATTTGATTATTACAATATCACGGCCAAGAGATGAACGCGTCTCTGCGTTCCGACTTTATCCGTAGGATATTCTTCAAATGTTGTCTTCTGGGGTCTGGTTCGTTCTTGTTGTGTTGGTTCCAGCAATGGGGCCAAATGCTGTCGATGGAGTTAGTGCTGGCGCGTTGTATGTTTACTAGCGGCGTGTCCAGCCGGTCAGGGAGCCACGGAGATCAGAAGAACTGATTGATCGGAGTTTGGAATAGAGCAACCTTTGAATGTTTTTGGACAAGAATTTTTGAGAATAGAATAAGATTTTTGGCAAGTATTTACAGGATTTCCTGCTTGATATTTTTCTTTCGATTTTTTCTGATATTTACATTTCCGATTTTTCTGATATTTTTTAGACTTCGTATTTTTTTTTGTTTTTTTTCTTTTTGAAATTACTGTTGTAATTTCCCTTTTTGCTTTTTCTCTTTTTAGAAGCGAGAGTGGACATTTCGGAAGGTAAAAAAAAACTGGAAGGCATTGCGTTTTGCGCGGGGAAATTTTGGAGAAAGATGATTTCATTTTGATATGGGATGGGGAGAAAGTTTTAAAGGTGGGAAAGAATGGAAAGCAAAGGGGGAAAAAATTCGGCTTGGGAATAATAAGGTAAGAGTGACACACAATCAAATTCTTAAATTTATGAAAAAGAATTATAATGAGAAAAGGAAAACTTTGGAAAACGATGGTTCAGTTAAGTAGTAAGACGTTGCTTTTAGAAAAGATCTATATCGTGCTGTTGTATGAAGCGTATTTTAGCTATTTAGAATTTTCAGGAGCCTCTGTTCTTTTTTTTTTTTTTTTTTTGTAATATTATTTTGATAATTTTGCCTTCTTATTTTGCATATTTTCGCATATTCCCTCTTTTATTTTTTTTTTATCATTTTTCTTTTTTGAATTATATCTCTGATAAATGGGGCATATAGAATTTGGTACTAGGATTATAATGTTTTTTGTAAGGCGAAAAGGAATTTTAATACTATTGTTTTTTGTTACGATTATATTTTTTATATTTTCTATTCTTTTCTTAACTATGTAGCTATATATATAAAAAAATATTTGCATAATAGGTATAGTGCTTAAATGTTGCTTTCTTGCTCTAGGATGGGGCTCGAATCTCGAGTAAAATATAGCTTACATTTGTTCACGTGAGTAGTTGTAATTTTTCTTGGGTCACTTAGGAGTCGCGCTTTTATGATTGATCGGCCACTTTCCAGAACGCGGAAGGGTCCGATCCATGTGGGCTGGAATTTCGATTTTTTGGCGGGGTCGATGATCAAAATTAGATCATTTTTTGTGATTGTTTTCTGCGAGGAATGGGCTGATGGTATTGGGGCGGAGTCGTCATTCTGATCGTCGGTTCGGTGGGTTTGTAGCGCGGCTTGCTCATAGGCGTTGTTCATGGCCATAATATGTTGCATGGCCACATCTGTTTCACCATAAGTTAATAATATGTTGCATGGCCACATCTGTTTCACCATAAGGAATATTGATGTTTAAATCCATAGTGTTTTCCTAGCTGCACGAAAAGTTGGTCGGTGAACTAGCTGCCATTATCGGAATATAAGAGCTCCATAATTCCGAATTTTGTGATTACGCTTTCCATGAATGCGTTGATGACAGTCTTAGTTTCTTGGTTTGGCATCGGGGAGACCATGACGTATTTGGTGTGCGCGTCAATAGAAACCAAAATGTAACGGTTTCCATTTTCAGTTTGCGGAAGTGGTCCTTTGATGTCGATATGAACGCGGTGAAAGGGGAATAACGCTGGTTGAAAGGGGATGGTTTTAGCCAAGGTCTTGTCTCCGGGGTTGAATACGAACGGAAATATTTCGTCTCCGATGTTGATGGTGTTTTGGTTTAGATCGAAATTCACGGAGTGTCCTTGGGCACAAACTTTCCGAAGTGTATCTGTGCCAATCAACAATTCTGACGGGCAGTGGTTGTCTTCAGATACCAACATGTGTATCTGTAGTTTTAGCTGTCGGAATGAAACGTCAGCTTGTACTTGACCAAGAAATTTGAAGGTCGTGTCATTCACGGCACGTGCAGTAGCCATTGCTTGGAGGGGAGATATGGGAAGTTGCAGCTTCCTGGCAAGCGATTGTCGGCAGTACGTAATGGCTGAGCCGCTATCCACTAATGCGGCGACAGGTTTGCCTTTGATGTGTACGATAATCTTGGGTTGAGTTCCTGTTTGGATCGAGTAGACTGGAGGTACGTAAACATGGTCGAGGCATGGTGCTGAGGGTGATACATCTTGCATTTCTACAGCGTTGACTGGGTTGTATTCTTGGTGTCGTTTAACATGTCTGAGAAAACTGTTGATGTAAGGACCGTAGAGGAATAGTGCTACTCCGAGAGCCAATACTGATAGAACAGCGACTGTGATTTCTTCCCAAGTGTCCAAATTTGGGAAGAAAAAGTCTATCACGGCGTCTTTCCATCCTTTTACTACTTCCATGGTTAATAGAGATGAAGTTGCTCCTTCACTACTTCCGTCGGATACAAGTTTGAGTTCTGGGATATCACTTTCTTGAGTAGCTTGTAGTGTAGTTTCCAGTCGGTTAATTTTGTGTGCATAGGAGTTTAGAATGGAGGTAGAAACGACTAATCTGGTCCATTGTGGTTGGTAGATTGATGGTGATGAAAAGGTAGGTAAGGTGTCGAAGTTTAGTTGAGTTAGCGCTCGGTCGATTTGCATCACATTGGCGTGTCCGATGGGAGAAGTCCAGGTGCCATCGGCTTGTCGGTACACATTGACAGGAATTTGATCACAGGGTATTTTTGTAGAGTTGTATTGTAATTCGTAGGTGCCGAGAGGTGCGAAATATGTTTTGTTGTTATATTCCACTGGGACATCGGTCCAGCACGAATCTCCGTATTTGTGATTCCAATGAACAATGTCGGGTTTGATTGGTTCGCAAGTAGAGACAGCGAATGCTTCGCCGGAATGGTAAGCGATAACGTCATCTCTGTTAAGCCAAGATCTGACGGCTAAAGTTGGGTTAAGTTTTGACAAAGCTGTGATGATGGCCACATTTTGATTGTGAATGGAACAGATGTGAGCAAATAAGTTTGCGTACTCGTCGCGGATAAGTTTAGTTACCGTGAGGCTGAGGTATTCCAGTTTTACATTAGTGGGGTCATTTGCTTCGTAAGGAGGTGCCGGTGAGGGAAAGGTTTGGGCTTCAATCGGAGAATTTTGTCTCCGAGTAGTATGCGGAAGGGAGGTAGGTGTCATTGGTGCCATTGTAGTTTTTCCCGTGATGGAAATAGGTGTTGTTACGGATGAGGTAGCTACTTTCGGGGTTTCGTCACTTCTTTGCGGATTTTTGGTGGTTTTTGACGTATTAGTTGTTGATGATCGCGTTTGGACGTTGATGGGGTAGTAAGGTCCCTGGGCTTTTTGTACTGGGGGAATTATGTAACGATTTCGATCCTGAATTCGGGTTTCGATCGCTGATGAGGGTGAGGTTGGGGTAGTTCCTTGGGTAGTCCTTGAAGTGGTTGATGCTGGTTTTGTGTCTCCGATTCGAGGTTGTTCCTTGAATTCGAATCGTTTTGTTCTGGGCTTCGAAGCGGTTGGGTATTCTGGGTGAAAGGAGATGAATACGTCATTTTCCATTCGATAGGTGTTAATAGGGTAGCAAAACGAGTCGTGGACGTCTGGGTCTGTTTTGTTGAATACGAAGGCAGCTTGAAGTCTTTGGATTATCACATAAGTGTCGGAAGCTAAAGCCAGAAAATGTCCAGCTGAAGTATGTGAGCAGAAATCTTTTGTGTCCGTCACATTCCAAACTGTTGTACCTTGGTTCGTAACACAGAGAGCAGCATTGTAGTGGCAGTTATGTAGATTGTCGATTTCGGATGATACAGTTATCCCGTTTCTGGAATGTATTAGTCCTTTTGTTACCGTAAATTGAAGTTTTTCGCGGCAACGACTTCCAAAAACTGCGTATTGGGCGTTGATGAATCCTGAGGATTGCCAAACATTTTCGTCAAGTCGATAAAGTGTTTGGTTGTATAGCGTCATTCGTTGGATCAAGGTCCAACATTCGTTGGCTGTTAAACTGTGATGTTGACTTGGTGTCAGTCTTTCAAATGCAGCGATACCAATTGAAAAGGTACATCGTGTTACTTTCTTAGCCTGGCAGTGATAAGCTTCTTGGTAATGGGGTCCCAGTTGTGGTACAAAAATTTCGACGTTTGTTTTTCGTACGGGAGTGTCATCGGCTACTGTGCAATCTTCTTTCCTCGGAGGAGCGAGATATAAAGCTCCTTTGCGTAAAGGGCAGAATTGAAATTGGGCCATAGTCAGCGGTAGTACGGATAGAGCGGCCAGGGCAACGATTGTCAGCGAGGGCAACAAGGCGTTAATGCCATAACGGGTTGGTCGAGGGCGATTGGGCCGGTTCCTGATATTGGAGTTTTGATTATTGGATTGTGGACGGTAGTTGGCACGGGGTGGATAATTGGAACGGCTTGGGTTGTTGTTGAAGAAGAAGGGCTTGGATGGTCGGTTGTTGTTGTTGAATTTTGAGAAGAAGCGGTTGAATGGGCGGCGTGGCTGCCAATTTTTGTTGAAACGGTTCAATTGGGCATGTGGTGGTTGGACGGGTTGTAACTGGTTGATGGAGATATTTTCTCCTGCGTTGATGAGTCCATCACGTTTCAATTCTTCTTGAAGTTCAATTTCGGATATGGCCATGTCCAAAGCTTTCTGGAGGGTTTTTGGGCGTTCTTTGCGTAGTAGTTTGGCTTTGACGACTGGTAATAGGCCAGAGAGGAAGATATCTACCATAATTTCTTCCTTGAACGCGTCGGTATAAGATGTGCTTTCTGGATATCCTAATTCGACAAGGTCCCTAATGGCTTGAGCGAATTCGGAGGGGGATTCGTTTGCGCGTTGTTTGCGGGCTAGCGCGCGGCGTCGGAAGTTTGAAGTTAGTTGGGTATTTGCAAATTTTTTGGCTAGAAGATTTAAAATGGGTTTTAATCCTAATTCTTTTTTTCGTTCAGCAGGTGGTATGCTTTCGTAAATAATAGCTGCTTCCCCCCTGAGAAGAGCAGGTAAAGTGGTTAAGTATGCCTCATCGGTCCATTTGAGGGCTGTGGCTACTCTATTTAATTCTCGTATGAATTCTTGGAAAGTTCTGGGATCAGTTCTTCCAGTATACGTAGGTGGTGCTATATGCGCAGCTAAAGACATGGCGCCTAGTTGATTAGCTAATGCGGATAAATCTGGTGGTGAATTATTTGGCATATCTGAATCTGTTTGGAAAATTTGGGTTATTCGCCTAGGAGTAGGTATATAAAATCGGTGAGGGGTTTTTTCTTTAGAATTTTCTGAATTATTTTCTGGAGAATTTGAAAGGGAAGAGTAATCTGTAGCGGAAGTTTTAGTAGAGCCGCTATCGGGAGTTTTTGATTTTTTGGGTTTTGTAAAAGTAGCTGCTAATGAATTATATAATCGCGATAGAGAAAATGGGTGGTTAGTTTGGGTACCTGGGGATCTGTTTGGTTTTGCCGGCTGTCGCCCTTCGTCACTATTTCTGGGATTTTCTTGGTTTGAACTGGCTGGTTCCGCGGAAGTATTCTTCTGTAGATTTGGCGCGTGGGAAGTTGATGGCGCGTCTGCGTTTCTTCCAACGTAATGTTTTGACTTTCCAGGTTCTACGACGTCTGATTTCTCAAGGTAGCTATTTAAATCTTCAGGATCTGCAAGATCTTCTGGGGATGAATCGGCTCCGTCTGATAAAATATGGTTTCCTTCGGCTGCTTGTTTAAATGCAGAGGTAGATTTGGTTCTTCTGGGGACAACGGTTTTGGGAGGGGTTGTCTTCTTTATTCGTCGTGCTACTGGCTTGGTTACGGTTTTTGCGGGCGGTTGATTATCGAGGTCTGAACGGCGTCTTGAACTTGCTGTTGGGCGTAGGTATCTGGGGACGGCCTTAGCCTGTGTTTGGCTCCTGGTTTGGACCACGGTGAATTATGTAGCGGAAGGGCGGCGACAGTGACTTTCTTTTTGGTCAAATTTTGGGTTGTACAACACTTTTGCCAAGGAATTAATTAAGCCAGCGACCCCCACAAGTGGGAATTAATTAAGGTGCTGACCCTTGGGCTTTTAGACAATGAATACTACGGTGGAGTTCGAGGTGCGGACCTCCACTTTTTGTAATGGTCGACTTAGAGAATATAGATAAAGTTTATTAGAGAATAATTACAATAGAATTACAAGAGCATTAAGAGAGTGGAAGCGCTTCCTCGAATGATTTCGAGGACGGCTTATATAGTAGATTAGGTTGTTGTAGTTTGGGTTGCACACATTCCAAACTTGGTTTTTATGAACTCAGTTTCTGCTGAGTCACTTTGTGTCCTCATCCGGTTTCGCAATCCGGAAGCCATCGATCATTATTTCTTCATTGTTTGACGCACGTAATGCGCGTGGTCATTAATCTTGAACTCCTTGGGCGTGGTCTCCTTTGACCACTCCATTCGTAGTGTAGCGGCGGTTTCCACGTGCTTTCCGCACGGCTTCCATTATTTGATTATTACAGAAGGAACGTTTAATAATAATTTTATTTTTCAGGCCGTATGGCGTCATCGGAATACCGATGTTGTTGCAATTCACATGTCCATGTAAGTCCCTGCGGATTTTTTATCCGTCTGTCGGGAAAATAATGTGGAGTGGTCGCGCCTTGGAATCGCCCATTATCTTTTTGCGACGGCCTGCCGCGGCTGATGCTTTATTGCGCGATTGCGACGAGACGAAACATTCTACTGCGACAAATCCACATTATTTCCCCGACGGACAGATTTTTTTAGACCTTCAGGCAATTTGAAATTTATTGTAAAATACGGACGGCTTTTTAATTAGGATTTTTTTAGAATGCAGTTATTGCCACGGCAATAATTTCCCTGCTCGGTGGAGGCGTTGCTATTGTCTTTGTAATCGCCAGTTTCCTATGGATGTTCCTGCCATTACCGGTGCTGGCCAGTTTCGGCAATCTTTCACTACTGCTGGGACGATGCACCAAGACGGCTTGTTTGTATTGGATCTACTTCATCACACAGGTAATTCAGAAAGTCTTCTCGATTTTGAAGCTTAGAGAAAGTAGAAAGGGCGCACGTCAAACTGAGATAAGCTAAAACATTCCGGTGAATGGATTGGCAATTTGCCAAAAAAAGACGCGAAAAACGCTTTGTCGGGGAAGAAATGGGGAATTTTTGGGGCGAGAGAGTACGCTTTTGCGTGTATTTTTTTCTCTCTTTCTCTGGAAATCAAGACGAAGTGTAAAAAAACGATAGCGAAGAGTCTATTCCGGTCACCGGACTCCTCAGCTTGACGTGGGGCGGTCAGTAGAGGATAGATGTCGGGCAATACAATGCCAGTCGGGAAAATAATGTAGCAATGTCGTTGCATCACGTCGCTAAAGTGAAAGGCAATTTGATTTTGCTCGTAATTCATTTTCTCGGTGATGGGATTTTCGATGCGACCGGCTTATTATTTTCCCGACCGACTGACACATTATGTAGTATTGCACAGGCTAACAATCTGTCCGGAAAATAATATAGGTTTGTCGCAGCAAAATTTCTCGCCTTATCGCAGTCGCGCACCAAATCTCCAGTCGCGGCTAGCCGTCGCAAAGTACTGCTGGTCTCCAACGCGCAAATAATCCACTTTATTTTCCAACCAGACTGATAGAAAAGGCAAGCTGTGGCAATGTCAGCGAAAAAAACAGAAAAAACGCGCTGTGTAATTTCCACGGACTTTGTGTCTCGAGTATCAGTCTGCCGGGAAAATAACGAGCACTCTGTCGCATCGAAAAATTGCCTCCTCGCTGTGAAACGTTTTATTCGCAACTTTCCTCCAAAAACTCCCGATTTCAGGTCCTCTACATCGCTGGCGTTGGTCTCTGGTGTCTCTACCTCTTCATATGGGGTAACGCCATCGTTGAAGGCGAGTACGACAAATACTACGACAACCCGCACGTCAAGAAAGGCTTCGGCACCTATCTGACCGTCCTCGGCTGTCTCGGCGTTGTCTACTTCTTCTTCAATATCTACTTCTTCCACATCGCCGTCAAGTCCTACAAATATTTGACCCGAGTCCTGAGCATTCAAGAAGTCCATGTGGATACGGTTGTAGAGGCTCCGCCGGCGCAAATTCACTCAACAAATCCGCAACCCACGGCTCCGACCTTCTCGCCGGAAGCTTCGCCGCGCCAGCCGTTGGATTATCAGGTTCAGCCGCCGCAAGCGCAAAACTATCCACCAAGCGAGGCGCCGCCCGCTTATGAGCAACAACACATGTATCCGATGCTGCCGAAGAGCGAATTCAGATATTAGACGAGCAGTATTAGTCCGTCGGGAAAATAATGAGCACTTTGTCGCATAGAAAATCGCATCACCGCCGAGAAAATTAATTGTGTCGAAGCAAAATAAAATTTTTCAGCGATGCGGTCGGCGCAGCGACATTTTGCTCATTATTTTCATGACAGACTGATAATTGTTTTTTTCCATCAGCAAGATATTCTCTCGGTACTAGTGGTCGTTCCAGAAAATGCGTAGACTTCGCTGCAACGCAAGCTTTTCTCAACTGACAATGAGTCGGCGCAAATTTTGAGCGAACAAAAAGAAACTGCCCAGTGCGAAATGTTTCGAAAAGGATCGCAAAAAAAGTGTACGCACTTTGTGGAACGACTAGCAGTAGGTTCGTAAAGTCGCTGGAGTGTTCTCCGACGTCTGCACTGAGCGAAAAAAGTCAGGGACAGCCCAAAAAAACCGCACGGTGCAAAAGCAAGAAATTGCACAGTGCAAATTGAACTTTTGTTTTCGCACAGTGCATGTCGCCGAAATCACTCCACCGACTTTGCGAACGGACCGGAATGTTACATTTTTCCTTCTTTTCTTGCCATAATTCTAATTTTTTCCGTTAAACTCTTTTGTAGGTCTGAGTTTTCGTTCTTTTTTTTCATAATATAGCGTTATGGAACAAAAAACTATGTTTATATATACATCTTTACATACTATTTATTCGATTTTTTGAAACTATTTAATCTCTCCATCGAAACTGAAAATGCAATTTTTACTCGGGTCTGCAAATAAATCATAATCCAATAAGATCTAACAATGTTTTTTGTTTGTAAGACTATGCTTCATCGAAAACAAAAACTTTGGTGCGCAATATTACTAGAAGTATGCCATTCTGTCGGGAAAATAATGAGCACTCTGTCGCATCAAAAATTGCATCGCCGCCGAAAAAAATAATTGTGTCGAGGCAAAATTCCCTTTTTTGAACTAGCGTTCCTAAGTCGCGGCTTGCAGTCGCAAAGCGATGATGAGCGACTCCGAGGCGCGACGATCCGCCGTTATTTTCCCGACAGACTGATATACTAATCGCGCTCAAAAGCCCTGACAATTTTCGCACCTTGCGAAACTTAAAAATTTTGTTTTCACAAATTGCGATTTTCGGTGCACAAAAAAGTCGAAAATCGAAAAATTGGCGTCGACTTTATTTTTTCGCTCCATCTTCTGCCAATTGGAATACGTTCTTGTGAAGTCGCTTACGATGGATTCGAAGGCTAGAGCCTTCCTTCATATGAAAACAAGGGACTGCTTGGTGCTCAGACATGTCGGAATCATTGTCGGTATTCTCGGTTCAGTACTAGTAAGTCAGATTGATCAATAAACTTCCGAGGACAATGCAATTACAGGGTGGGGCATCTTTGTGGCCCGATTTGAATTGGCTATAACTTCTTTAGTTCTTGGCCAAATCTTAAAATTGTTTCTTTCCCCGAACCCTCAGACAACCCCATTTTGTTTGATACCAAATATGTTATACATAGTAAGTGTCATCTACAGTTATTGGATTTATTCTTGGAGTTCATTTTTTCGGTCGTTTTTTGGTTGTTTTTTCGGTCTTTCCCGGTGTGTCCGGAAATGGGGTACGGTGTTGAAGAAAAAGCCTGGTCTGTGGTTTGGTAGGCAAGTACGGTTCCGCGATAAATGTTCAAAGGAAATACCGCATGAAATACGGACGTAATGCCTTAAAATAAAAATGCTTTTTCTTAGAAAACTTATTTTTAGAAAAAATGATTTTTTTCATAGAAAAAAACATTTTTATTTTAGAAAAGAACGGTTTTTCCTTAGAAAGTGCAATTTTTAGTAAATTTGTGTATAATAATTAAAAAAACTGATTTCAAACAGTAACTAGTAGTAAATTTTGTTAAGTAGTGGGGTAAAATAGTAAAAGGGTAAAACCGTGATTATAGTACAAGCTGACGTTCCATTTTATGGTTTTGACAGAATTTTTACAATAAATACAGAATTTTTAGAAATGCTGAACTTGAGTGGTTGATGCCCTGGAGATATCCATATTTGATTTGCGTTGAAACAAGTACTGACTCAAGGGGGATAGCCGATGGGTTGTATATTGCATTGTCGTGTCACCATATGTCTGCAGAACTTTGAGTAAATTCGCAACGACGCTTCGATAGGGCTTGATGAAATACAGAATCATAAAACAATCGATCGGAGTGTGCATCAAGACGAAACAGAAGCAAATCACAGTGATAGTTGGACCGTCCCGAAGTTGAAAGAGGAGCGCACTCATCAGCATCATGCATGGAAGGTACATGAATATGCTGAATGCGATTAACTGAAAGACAAGGGAACGGAAGAGCATCTTCTGAAGACGGTAAGTGTGTGTTGACCAATTGTTTTTACGCATGGAATTGTACATTATGATCAAAAAGGCGATCCCAATAAACGGAGTTGCGGAGAGAGCGATAAATCCGACTAAAGTCGCCTTTATGAGGTGTGTTCTATCTGCAAAGCAGATGATATCGGGATGGACCTCGTAAAGTTTACCGACGAATGGATCAAGGGATGTGAGAGATCGTTTCTGTTCTTCTTGATCGGGCAAATAGTAAATTAGTCGACCCTGAAAATAGGGAGAAAGTTAGGCTTCATTGGCAGCTTCGTATGAAAGTCTGAAACAACACCCTTCCTGAGCGAGCCTTTGGTTACGTTAAGATGACCGCGCCGCGATCGTTCTCGGGAATTTATTGGTCGGTCTGACTTACTAATCCTGTCCCGAGAATGCTGAGAATGATTCCGACATGTGTGAGCACCAAGCCGCTCTTTGGCGTCATCAGAAAGAATGTTCTAATCTTCGAATCCATCGCAAGCGACTTCACAAGAATGTATTCCAATTGGTAGAAGATGGCGAAGTCTTTCATTACACAAACGCCGATTCCAACAACAAAGTAAGTTAGCTGCTGCGTGTGGGAGAGGGCGCTGGTGACGTTCACACCGTAGTAACAAGGCAGAGGATATAAAGAGACAGCGCCGATTAACGCAGCCATAATGTCAAGTAGCAACGACCTTGAACAACATCATAACTGTGTTTTTGAATTGCAATCCCTTACCACGACAACTCGTTAATTAAAAGTAGTCGATAGGCGTTGATAACACTGTTACTAGCTAAAACCATACTTTTATAAATGGTAATTTAAGACGTACTGAAAACCATGACGAGGATTGTGAAGGGAACCATGAGTACAGTAACCCCGAGGGCAGTGTCCTCAAACACCTTGTAGAAGTGTAGCAATTCAGCGGACGGTAGGTCAGATTCATTCAAGAAGATCCCCATAACAGACAACGAGGCTAGATATCAACCTGACCTCGAGGAAGACGCAACGCCAATGTTGAAGGCCCAGACGTTGATTCGTATAAATCTCTTTGAGAAGTACAAAAAACAGAAGGTTGTGTTTTTACGCTGTCAGTGTCCCACAGTTTCACCACATCTATGGGGTATGAATTGGAGAAGAAAGCCGCATTTCCTGAAAATACAACGCAGACGAGAAGATAAGGATACAATCTGCGCCTTTTTGTATTTCATTTCTTCAACAACTCTATGCGTTTACTGTATTTGGACGGCGGGTTTGTAGCTTCGCCATTTACAGAAGTCGAAGGGGGTCTGGCTTTATGAGGCAACTGCTAGAGCCCTCGGAGTAACCGTCGGACAAAAATTTTTTGGCTTTAATACTTCCTTTGAGTCGATGCTATTATATAATACTTCGTGTACAATGTTTTGACCCCCCTCCTAACTCGGCCCAAAGTGTACCAATTCGGACCAACTTGGGTTACCCGGGTATGGGAAAAACATTTGAAAATTTCAACTGAAGAGGGTAGTGAGAGAGACCACAATACCGATCAGACTGTGTCGAAAATTAGGCTTTACTTCAATGTCTTCTAATAATCTGTTAACCCATTCCTCCCACAGGAAGGCGGTCAGTTGGTAGACCCGCAAGCGTAAGCTTCCATTTTTTTCCAAATACGTTTTTCTAATTTTGATAATAACCTTTTTTCTTATGAACAGCTAAGCATCTACTGGCAAAATGCCCCACAGCCACACTCCATCAACTAAATGAGGTGTCACGTCAATGCAACGACATACACATGGGCACGTGGTTAAACCGAGTCACATGCACCTTCTTCCGTCATCCGCAACATCTGCCACCGTCCCCCACTCCACCGATCCTATATCCATCTCCGTCTTATCACCCAACGGCCCCTTCAACACATGAACACCCGCCTTCATCCAGACCGCATCACCAGCAGCACTGCACACCACCACAAGACAACAATCAATTGACTGCTCTGCTCGCGAATCTCCTCGCCAACACCATCAACAACCAATCACCTTACCATCGTGGACGACGCGGAGGGCGAGGACGACATTATCCGAGAGGGGGTGTGTAGGTGGTTACACCATCTAAGTCAAGAGGTCTCAACACGAAAACAAGAGGGACCAAAAGCCACGTCAACAACACAACGGATTTTTGGCTTCAGTGTGGAGATTGAATTGGTGAGAAACTGTTGTTTTTATTTACCCCTTTAGTTATTTAGTAAATAGTAGTTTAGGTTAGATAATAATTAGAGTATTATTTTGTTTATATAAACGTAGTTAGTTTATTTTGTCCTTTTTAGTTAGTTTATTTTGTCCCTTTAGTTAGTCTAACTTGTCTCTCTTTATTTAGTCTTTGTCTCCGATAACATAATTATTCCGTCTTATTGTATTTGGTCTTGTGCGTGTTAATTTGAAACTACTGTCAATAAAAAGTCATAATTGAAATTATCGGATATTGAATTTTATCGAGAAAATAGGTGAACCAAATAAATTGGATTAGCCGCTGAAGGAGATAAGAGTCCTGGTGTTTAACCCACAAAGAAGTAATAAGAGCCTATGATACACACGGTTTTGACCCGATATCGTTTGCATATCCTCAGAATATTGTTTTTCCGATCCGTATTCATTATCTACAACAATAAAATCGACCAACTCAGCAAGCAAAATAAGTTTTTACAAGGTTGATCAAAATTTTCTGCGCACCAGAAACCTTAAAGTACGCGCGTCGCCATAACTAGGGAACACTTGGCCATTTTTTTAAAATAAATCGCGTCGGGACCAAAATTAACTTGAAATCGTACGTGTGTACGGTAGAAAAATAATTTTTCTGCGGCTGGAGCCGAGAATTATTTGTTGCGTTGTTGACAAAATTGTCGAGTTGGTGGATCAGTGTTTATAATTTCTTTTGATTTTTGAATAAAGTTTCGTTTTTGTGTTGAAATGTCCCATTATTTCTGCCAGACGGTTTTTAAGGCCGAATTTTTATCTTCCGGCAGACGTTTTCAGGGATCTGGAAGCGAAGATCGGAAGAAGGTCATCTCGAGCTATTATCGGCTAAGGTATGTTTATATTGTCAATTACTTCATGCTTTTTAGGTTATCATGTGGTTTTTGTGGGATTTAAGTTTTGATGAATTTCTCATATTGTTTTAGGTGAAAAGTATGGAGTTTTGATAAAGAGACAATGCAAAAAAGCTTTGAATTTACACATGATGCAGCTGTAGTTCGTTTCGAAGGATCTAGAGGGGTTTTAGTTCATTTTAAGTGGAATTCGACACTAATTTCATACTGTTTCATCTTTAGATCCGCAAGCTCAACACTGAGGTCCGATGTGTTTCTCCTCAATAATTGCGTACCAAGCAGAAGGACGAGTTGATCATCGAAGGAAACGATCATAAGGCCCACCGAAAACAGATATCCGGTAATTTCATTGGTCCTCGGCCACATTCTCAGCTCGAGACAGTACACGGGATGGAGACAATCATATGTCGACAGGTATGTTGTGTTTTTAACCGGCAGTCATTTTACAGGTTGAAAATTAGGTTTCTATCAGTCTGTCGGGAAAATAACGGTGGATCGTCGCATCAAAATGTCTCGCTTCCAAATCTTCAGCTTCGGCAGCCGTCGCAAAGCGATCATGGGCGATTCCGAGGCGCGACGATCCGCCGTTATTTTCCCGACAGACTGATATATATGTGTGATAGTAGTTTCTTGCAGATAACTTCACCCTCCGGTCAAAAACGTCCATCCAGCCAGAGCACAACACCTTCGAATAACAACGGAACAAAACTAAATGATATCTTATGTAATTTTGAATATCAATGATTATCAAATAAAGTTTTATATATAAATTAATATTTGAGTAAAAAGAAATAAATATAACAGTAAAGCGAAAAGGAAGGTTCATAACGAAAAAACATCAGCTCGGTATCATGCTTGTCTCTTGGTCATTGTCTGTACTGGTATTCTCTATATGCTTTTCATCATGTCTTGACCAATTGGAGGTCGTTTCCTTCGATGATCAACTCGTCCTTCTGCTTGGTACGCAATTATTGAGGAGAAACACATCGGGCCTTAGTGTTGAGCATGCGGATCTAAAGATAAAACAGTATGAAATTTGTGCCGAATTCCACTTAAAACGAACTAAAACCCCTCTAGATCCTTCGAAACGAACTACAGCTACATCATCTGAAAATTAAAGCTTTTTGCATTGTCTTTTTTATCAAAACTTTTCACCTAAAACAATATGAGAAATTCTTCAAAACTTTTAAATCCCACAAAAACCACATAATAACCTAAAAAGCATGAAGTAATTGACAATATAAACATACCTTAGCCGATAATAGCTCGAGATGACCTTCTTCCGATCTTCGCTTCCAGATCCCTGAAAACGTCTGCCGGAAGATAAAAATTCGGCCTTAAAAACCGTCTGGCAGAAATAATGGGACATTTCAACACAAAAACGAAACTTTATTCAAAAATCAAAAGAAATTATAAACACTGATCCACCAACTCGACAATTTTGTCAACAACGCAACAAATAATTCTCGGCTCCAGCCGCAGAAAAATTATTTTTCTACCGTACACACGTACGATTTCAAGTTAATTTTGGTCCCGACGCGATTTATTTTAAAAAAATGGCCAAGTGTTCCCTAGTTATGGCGACGCGCGTACTTTAAATTGCAATTTAAGAATTTATATTTATCTGAAATGTGATTGTTTTTTGTTCAAGGTTGTTCTTTATGACAATAGGTTATTATGCAAGAAGAATCGAGTTCGGCCCTTGCTTAGTTTTTGAGATCCAGATTGGTCCAAATTAAATGCGCGGAGTATACTAGGCGCGACATAAAGTCCTGAGAAATTTGCACAGTGCATTTTTGTTTTCCTTTCGGACCCGTCGCAGCAATCCCCCTTTTTTGCACTAGCGACATGCACTTTCGCGCGAGCCACTCCAATTTTCTCGCGCGACACCCGAGACAAAATGTGTCAGGACTTGATGGCGCGACTAGTAATACAAGCTGACGTTCCATTTTATGTTTTTGACAGAATTTTTACAAGAAATACAGGATATTTAGAAATGCTGAACTTGAGTTGTTGATGCCCTGGAGATATCCACATTTGACTTGCGTTGAAAAAAGTACTGACTCAACGGGGATAGCCGATGAGTTGTATATTGTATTGTCGTATCGCCATACGTCTGCAGGACTTTGAGTAAATGCGCAACGACGATTCGATAGGGCTTGATGAAATACAAAATCATGAAACAATCGAAAGGAGTGTGCATCAAGAGGAAACAGAAGCAAATCACAGTGATAATTGGGCCGTTACGAAGTTCATAGAGGAGCGCAATCATCACCATCATGACTGGAAGACACAGGAGAAAGGTGAACGCGATTAACTGAAAGACAAGCGAACGGAAGAGCATCTTTTGAAGACGGTAAGTGTGGGTTGACCCATTGCTTTGATGCATGGAATTGTACATTATGATCAAAAAGACGAGCCCAATAAACGGAGTTGCGGAGAGAGCGATAAATCCGACTATAAGTGCTTTTGCGGTGTTTTCTCCATCTATAAAGCAGATGATATCGGGATGGTCCTCGTAGAGTTTGCCGACGAATGGATCAAGGGATATGAAAAGTCGCTTCTGTTCTCCTTGATTGGGCAAATAGTAAATTATTGGACCCTAAAGATAGGGAGAAAGTTGGAAATCATTGGCAGCTTCGTATGTACATACAATTGTGTCGCCCTCGAGAATTTATTGATCGGTCTGACTTACTAGTACTGCCCCGAGAACACCGACAATAATCCCGAGATGTATGAGCACCAAGCCGCTCTTTGGTATCATCAGAAGTAATGTTCTAATCTTCGAATCCATCGCAAGCGACTTCACAAGAATGTATTCCAATTGGTAGAAGATGGAGAAGTCTTTCATTATAAAAACGCCGATCCCGACGACGAAGTTAATTAGTTGCTGCGTGTGGGAGAGGGCGCTGGTGACGCTCACACCGTAGTAACAGGGCAGAGGGAATAAAGATACAGCGCCGATTAACCCAGCTGTAATATCAAGTACCAACGACCTTGAACAATATCATAACTGCGGTTGTGAATTGTAATCCCTTACCACGACAATTCGTTGATCAAGAGTAGTCGATAGGCGTTGATAACACTGTTACTAGCTAAAACCATACTTTTATAAATGGTAATTTAAGACGTACTGAAAACCATGACGAGAATTGTGAAGGGAACCATGATTACGGTAATCCCGAGAGCAGTGTTCTCAAACACCACGTAGAAGTGTAGCAATTCAGCGGACGGTATGTCAGATTCATTCAAGAAGATCCCCATAACAGAAAACGAGGCTAGATATCAACCTGACCTCGAGGAAGACGCAACGCCAATGTTGAAGGCCCAGACGTTGATTCGTATAAATCTCTTTGAGAAGTACAAAAAACGGAAGGTTGTGTTTTTACCCTGTCAGTGTCCCACAGTTTCACCACATCTATGGAGTATGGATTGGAGGAATAAGCCGCATTTCCTGAAAATACAACGCAGACGAGAAGATAGGATACAATCTGCGCCTTTTTGTATTTCATTTCTTCAACAACTCTATGCGTTTACTGTATTTGGACGGCGGGTTTGTAGCTTCGCCATTTACAGAAGTCGAAGGGGGTCTGGCTTTATGAGGCAACTGCTAGAGCCCTCGGAGTAACCGTCAGACAAAAATTTTTTGGCTTTAATACTACCTTTGAGTCGATGCTATTATATAATATTAGGTTGTCCCATAAATAATGTCCCTCTTCGAGAGGGGTCAAGTCAAAGGTCTATAAAAAACGTAAGCAACAACCAAATTTCGTAATATTCTACCATTTTGTAGCCATGATTTCAACCTTTCGTTTAATATGTCATATGCCATATTTCGATGAAATTACAGTAATTTAGCCCGACTTCAAAATTTCGGAAAAAGGGACGATTTGTGCCATCAACTTGTGGGAGCAAAAACAGGGTACGAAAGTTTTAGAAGTTACACCAAATGTCAACGCCATGTTCGGCCAGTGTGCTGTGAGTCCGGCCACGGTGAAACGAGCGTTTAAAAAAATTCGACCTAGCCACAGGAACCCCGAAGGAAAAACACGTCATGCCAGCTTTGCGAATTTACCCTGAGGTGATAGGTCAACGAAAGTCATGAAATCCACGTCCGACGCCTTTCCGGCATTGTGGTGGTATCAAAATTATCGGTGGATAACAGTGCAATGTCGATAAATTCAAGAAAAAGCTCGACAAATTCTTCCCATATTATTGGACCAAGGCCCAGAATTAAGGCTTCGTTTTTTTTGCTTTACCGAGCCTAAGATCCTGCTTTTCTGGATCGTATCATAGCTTGTGACAAAATGTGAATCACCTACGACACCTAGGCAAGATTTTCTCAAAGGTGGTCATCCGGGGTATCACCACAGCACGTCCCAAGGTTTGAGTTCCTCTAGAAGGCGGTGACGGTCAATTTTTGATGGCGCAACGTGGGATTCGTGCATTACCGATTCCTGGAACCGGGCCAAACTGTAAACACCACCTCCTACTGTACCTGCATAGACAGCTTGTTCCACAATCGGCCTTCCACGGTACGCCACAGAAGTTCGAACATTTTTAACGGAAACGCGCAACCTCACCTTCTAAAAATTACCCTCCAGAAGCCGAATTAACCGAGATACGAGACTCTTCTTCGTCTGGTATATTCGTTAGAGATAGCCTATGCAGATTACCACCTGTCCAAGGATCTACCACGTTTCATCCGTGGTAGAAAATTCATCAATTAAGACGCCCTTGAAAAGGCCTCCAAAAGTTTTATCGGCTCCAGAAGCCGGGACTTTTAAACTACTGGAATAAAAAAATGCTTGGCACGTTGTAATCAGCGTGTTAAAGCATATGGTAATTATTTTGATTAATTAGATTGCTGTTATTACGGTAAATTTTGTCGCAGAAGTAAATTTTTCAAAGAGGGACATTATTTGTGGGACAACCTAATACTTCGTGTACAATGTTTTGACCCCCCTCCTAACTCGGCCCAAAGTGTACCAATTCGGACCAACTTTGGTTACCCGGGTATGGGAAAAACATTTGAAAATTTCAACTGAAGAGGGTAGTGAGAGAGACCACAATACCGATCAGACTGTGTCGAAAATTAGGCTTTACTTCAATGTCTTCTAATAATCTGTTAACCCATTCCTCCCACAGGAAGGCGATCAGTTGGTAGACCCGCAAGCGTAAGCTTCCATTTTTTTTTGTTTTTCTAATTTTGATAATAACCTTTTTTCTTATGAACAGCTAAGCATCTACTGGCAAAATGCCCCACAGCCACACTCCATCAACTAAATGAGGTGTCACGTCAATGAAACGACATACACATGGGCACGTGGTTAAACCGAGTCACATGCACCTTCTTCCGTCATCCGCAACATCTGCCACCGTCCCCCACTCCACCCATCCTATATCCATCTCCGTCTCATCACCCAACGGCCCCTTCAACACATGAACACCCGTCTTCAGCCAGACCGCATCACCAGCAGCACTGCACACCACCACAAGACAACAATCAATTGACTGCTCTGCTCGCGAATCTCCTCGCCAACACCATCAACAACCAATCACCTTACCATCGTGGACGACGCGGAGGGCGAGGACGACATTATCCGAGAGGGGGTGTGTAGGTGGTTACACCATCTAAGTCAAGAGGTCTCAACACGAAAACAAGAGGGACCAAAAGCCACGTCAACAACACAACGGATTTTTGGCTTCAGTGTGGAGATTGAATTGGTGAGAAACTGTTGTTTTTATTTACCCCTTTAGTTATTTAGTAAATAGTAGTTTAGGTTAGATAATAATTAGAGTATTATTTTGTTTATATAAACGTAGTTAGTTCATTTTGTCCTTTTTAGTTAGTTTACTTTGTCCCTTTAGTTAGTCTAATTTGTCTCTCTTTATTTAGTCTTTGTCTCCGATAACATATTTATTCCGTCTTATTGTATTTGGTCTTGTGCGTGTTAATTTGAAACTACTGTCAATAAAAAGTCATAATTGAAATTATCGGATATTGAATTTTATCGAGAAAATAGGTGAACCAAATAAATTGGATTAGCCGCTGAAGGAGATAAGAGTCCTGGTGTTTAACCCACAAAGAAGTCCTAAGAACCTACGATACACACGGTTTCGACCCGATATCGTTTGCATATCCTCAGAATATTGTTTTTCCGATCCGTATTCATTATCTACAACAATAAAATCGACCAACTCAGCAAGCAAAATAAGTTTTTATCAGTCTGTCGGAAAAATAACGGCGGATTGTCGCATCAAAATGTCTCGCCTCGCCGCTGTCGCGCACCAAATCCCAAGCCGCGGCTTGCAGTCGCAAAGCGATGATGGGCGATTCGGAGGCGCGACGATCCGCCGTTTTTTTCCCGACAGACCGATACAAGGTTGATCAAAATTTCCTGCGCACCAGAAACCTTAAATTGCAATTTAAGAATTTATACTTATCTGAAATGTGATTGTTTTTTGTTCAAGGTTGTTCTTTATGACAATAGGTTATTATGCAAGAAGAATCGAGTTGGGCCCTTGCTTAGTTTTTGAGATCCAGATTGGTCCAAATTAAATGCGCGGAGTATACTAGGCGCGACATAAAGTCCTGAGAAATTTGCACAGTGTATTTTTGTTTTCCTTTCGGACCCGTCGCAGCAATCCCCCTTTTTTGCACTAGCGACATGCACTTTCGCGCGAGCCACTCCAATTTTCCCGCGCGACACCCGCGACAAAATGTGTCAGTACTTTATGGCGCGACTAGTAATACAACCTAACGTTCCATTTTATGTTTTTGACAGAATTTTTACAAGAAATACAGGATATTTAGAAATGCTGAACTTGAGTTGTTGATGCCCTGGAGAGATCCACATTTGACTTGCGTTGAAAAAAGTACTGACTCAACGGGGATAGCCGATGAGTTGTATATTGTATTGTCGTATCGCCATACGTCTGCAGGACTTTGAGTAAATGCGCAACGACGATTCGATAGGGCTTGATGAAATACAGAATCATAAAACAATCGATCGGAGTGTGCATCAAGACGAAACAGAAGCAAATCACAGTGATAGTTGGACCGTCCCGAAGTTGAAAGAGGAGCGCACTCATCAGCATCATGACTGGAAGACACAGGAGAAAGGTGAACGCGATTAACTGAAAGACAAGCGAACGGAAGAGCATCTTTTGAAGACGGTAAGTGTGGGTTGACCCATTGCTTTGATGCATGGAATTGTACATTATGATCAAAAAGACGAGCCCAATAAACGGAGTTGCGGAGAGAGCGATAAATCCGACTATAAGTGCTTTTGCGGTGTTTTCTCCATCTATAAAGCAGATGATATCGGGATGGTCCTCGTAGAGTTTGCCGACGAATGGATCAAGGGATATGAAAAGTCGTTTCTGTTCTCCTTGATTGGGCAAATAGTAAATTATTGGACCCTAAAGATAGGGAGAAAGTTGGAAATCATTGGCAGCTTCGTATGTACATACAATTGTGTCGCCCTCGAGAATTTATTGATCGGCCTGACTTACTAGTACTGCCCCGAGAACACTGACAATAATCCCGAGATGTATGAGCACCACGCCGCTCTTTGGTACTATCTGAAATAACGTTCTAATCTTCGAATCCATCGCAAGCGACTTCACAAGAATGTATTCCAATTGGTAGAAGATGGAGAAGTCTTTCATTATCAAAACGCCGATCCCGACGACGAAGTTAATTAGTTGCTGCGTGTGGGAGAGGGCGCTGGTGACGCTCACACCGTAGTAACAGGGCAGAGGGAATAAAGATACAGCGCCGATTAACGCAGCTGTAATGTCAAGTACCAACGACCTTGAACAATATCATAACTGCGGTTGTGAATTGTAATCCCTTACCACGACAATTCGTTGATCAAGAGTAGTCGATAGGCGTTGATAACACTGTTACTAGCTAAAACCATAGTTTTATAAATGGTAATTTAAGACGTACTGAAAACCATGACGAGAATTGTGAAGGGAACCATGATTACGGTAATCCCGAGAGCAGTGTTCTCAAACACCACGTAGAAGTGTAGCAATTCAGCGGACGGTATGTCAGATTCATTCAAGAAGATCCCCATAACAGAAAACGAGGCTAGATATCAACCTGACCTCGAGGAATACGAAACGCCAATGTTGAATGCCCAGACGTTGATTCGTATAAATCTCTTTAAGAAGTACAAAAAACAGAAGGTTGTGTTTTTACCCTGCCAGTGTCACACAGTTTCACCACATCTGTGTGGTATGAATTGGAGAAGAAAGCCGCATTTCCTGAAAATATGTACAACGCAGACGAGAAGATAAGAATACAATCTGCATTTTGTGTGTTTCGTTTCTTCAACAACTCCATGCGTCTACTGTATTTCGATTCCGGGTTTGTATCTGCGCCATTTACAGAAGTCGAAGGGGTTCTGGCTTTATGAGGCAACTCTTGCAGACCTCGGAGTAACCATCAGACGAACTTTTAGGCTTTATTACTACGTTTGAGTCGATGCTATTTGCAATTACTGTTCTCCTGGTGCCTTTTACGATCGCTGTGATCGTTCTTTGTAAGTCACCTCAATTTTAAGCCTTTCCGGACAAGTTGCACTGTAACCCAGGGAGTCTCCCTCCTCGTTTCGGCACTTCGCACACACAGTGTCGGTCAAACTCACACGAAATGTCACCACAGAATTTTTCGTGTGGTTTTTCGACGAAACTCTAAAGTGGGCGGGAGACATCTTTGTTCTATTTCGGTTTGTCGTGAGTTAGCACTTCCTGGCAAAAACGGAAGAGAGTACCCTACTGAGTAACGGCATAATAGTGGTTCAGCCCATCGAGGCGTTATTTGGGACTTATGACCACAAGTGTCCTAAAAAGCACCCCCATTTGACATATCACTTTTAAAATTCTTGTGACAAGCTGTAGATTAGAAACCACCCCTAAATTAAAATCAAGGAGTTCTAGTACTGTTACATCCAACAACTGTCCGTACACATTCATCAATATCACACTTTCAAAAAACTTCATGTGAAAATCAATTTATTTGGCCTGCTTAACGTCCGGTTACAAGTCAAACTCTTAAATTCCTGATATGCCGCTGAGACGTTGGTGACCGGCGTAGCGAACCGCATCGTTGCCGGTAATGGAACACCGTTGAAGTCACAAAAGGCCACACGGATGGGCTGAAAATAAAGGTGACCTAACTATTATATTATAAATACAGGGTGACCCAAAATAACGGAGACAAAAGATTTCCCGTTTTTTCTGCGGCCTATGAAGATTCATGAGTGATTCCTTATTTATGCTACAGTACCACGTTAGTGTAGTTTTATATACCGGAAGTTTTGTTGTACGACGCTCTTGTGCCTTGAACCACATCAATATATCCGGTTGACTCGGACTTTTCTACCCGTGGGGTCTTTTTGCAAGAAAGCTGCCTTACTCAAAAAAGAAAATTCGGAATAGTTTGAGATTTGCTGTCCTTAATTATCACAATATGGCCTTTAAAACGAGCCATCATACTAAGCTCAACTATCGATGGTTCAAAAGTTACAGCCGAGTATTTTCAGGGAGTTGAAGTGCAAAAATCGGCCTTTTTTGAAAATGTATCGGTAAAAAGGAGTTTAAATGTTAGATAAGGCAAAATGTAATATGAGTTACTAGAACATGATTAAAGGAACATCATAGAACCAAAAGAGAAACATTTCGTAACTGCTACGGAATGTTATTTGGTAATCACTAGAATTGTGCTTTATTTTTGCCTTAGGCGGAATACCAGTCGAGCCGGTCACACATAAAGACCGAAAGTGCCCTAGGCCGATTCTCAAGAGTCGTATTCATAAGTGTACAAGAGCAGAATGCGCCGTTTTTATCTATCTTGTCATTTTGTTATCGATAACCCATCTTTCTCAAAGCCGCGTGCCATGGGTAGTTCTGGGCGAGAAACTTGTCAAGGAAAATCTGTTGCAACCAGCAAGCAATCACAGCTTTTTCCAGAATTATTGTATTTATGAATAGAATACGTTCTAGCGGTTTTAGCTTTATTCTAAAAAAACTGAATTTTTTAGCGAAAAAATTTGGAAAAAATGGCGATCTTCAATGTTGAGATTGGTACCACCGCAGAAATAAAAACCGTAGCCCAGAAACCTACATAACTGCTTGCTTAGAGACGTAGTAGTCTAGCAAAACAAATGAACTTGCCATTTCTGCAGCTGTAGTACAGCCATGCTCTACACAATACAAAGGAACCAAAATTGAGGGCCAAAAAATGGCGCAAGGCATTTTTGTTAAGCTGTAACTTTTTCCTGCGACATGACGACTCCGCCAAATTTTCGTGGATTATAGAGAAAGTCTTATGGAATATTACCCACTGTCGCTTGTGTTTCTATAACGCCTGTGTTTCGCGGTGGGCCCTTCCAAAATTTGTCTCCGTTATTTTGGGTCACCCTGTATATAGTAAGATTTTTTCAAACAATTTTGAACAAGACTTTTCCCGCCATTTTGGCAATGTTTTGGCATTGTGTTTTTGGCTCGCTTTTAGGGAGTTTTGTTGTTCCCAGCAACATTTCGAACAGCAAAAATTTTTTTCAATCTGTATTCAGGCAGAAATATCTCTTGTTGCATAATGCCAAGAAACCGAAATTGGCATTCCAAATTTCCGTTTCAATACAAAAAAATTTCTAAACAAATCTGGCCCCAGAAAACGTCGGTCCTGCCTTTTTTCGAAATTTCCGAAGCCCGGCCGGCCTCTTCCATCTCTGTCATTAATTTTGGCAAAAAATGAGTCGTTTGTGAACGCCCCTGTAGACTCAGTTTGCAAATGAGACACCCTGTACAGGGCCCTGTATCTAATGTTACTCATTAACAAGATCCACTTACATGCGTTGCCGAGTTCCCATCCACAATCATCGATGAGATCAGCTGGATATTGCTCTTTTGCCTGGCCGTCCCGCTGATCAGAATATCCTCGAATTTGAAGAATTTCAAGCTTGGAATCGTCTTCAAAATCTTCCACACCGCCTCATTTGTCATCAAATACGCCGGCCCCGAGCACACATGTGGGTATTTTTTGTCCGGATACTCGGCTTCTGATACATAACTGTAAAACAAAACGGAATTGTAATGGTATCAGTCTGTCGGGAAAATAATGAGCACTCTGTCGCGTCGAAAATCGCATCGCCGCAGAGGGAAAATGAAAGAAGAAAATGAAAAAAAAAATAAAATTGCTCTTCACTTCAGCGAAACGATTGGCGACATTGTGCTCATTATTTTCGCGACAGATTGATAAAAAAACAAACTTACAAATAGAGGTGGCAATCGGGCTGGGCCGGGCCTGAGCAGATTTGAAAAAGCCCTGGGCCGGCCTGACCGCTTCGGCCCATCGGCCGGGCCGACACTTTCGGCCCGGCCCGGCCCGGAAAGTAGATAAGTAAAAAATTTTTAATGCTAAACCAGCAAAATAAAGCACAAATGCTTTGTAGAATAATGGATGGAAATTAGATTAAACCTTTTTTGACTTATACGCTGTTTTACTACTTTTTAAAGTTATGTATATGTATGTGTAACTTATTATGTATATGTAAAATCCCACCCAAATATGCAAGGGTCGGGCAAAAATCTTCGAATTTTCTATGAGATAAATTTAAAAATTTCACTGTAATTTTGATTCCTTGATGTAAATCAAAGTGTTTAAACAGTTTTTGGTTAACCATGTACCTTATAACGTCCATACTTTTATATAGCTAACTTCCTATAGGATTAAAAAATTCAACACAATCCAACTTTTTGGCTAGGTTTTAGCTACCTATATACGGATGTTCCAGTCATCCGACTAGACTTTTTAATTTCACGCAGACACACGTAAAAACCTTCTGGAAAGCATAACAACTTCCAATAGAAAGTGCAAAGACTTTTATCCAACTTTTCTGTATTAGCGGGCCAAACCGGGCCGGGCCGGGCCGGCCTGGGCTTTCACCGGGCCGGGCCGGGCCGGGCCTGAGCAAATTTGAAAAAGCCCTGGGCCGGCCTGGTCACTTCGGCCCGCGGGCCGGGCTGCAAAAATCGGCCCGGCCCGGCCCGATTGCCACCTCTACTTACAAACGACTGGTTTTATGGCGTATTACAGGCGGCTTTGCCCACACAAAACATGCAAAGAAGTCTCGTCTTTTAATGTGGTCGAATGAATTGTTGATGTGGTAGGACAGACGATTCAAGTCGGCCACAACGTCATCGTCAATCTTGAGGAAATATTTGACGCTCGGGCAGAAAGTTTGGAAGAAATTGAAAGCAGCGTGCACTTTGATGGGAAGGAGGTCGTAGCTGAAAAAAAACTCATTTTTTCTGGAAAATTTGACGGAAATAAAACAGCTCAAACTAAGCGACAGGTACCAAGTGCGACGCTGTACAAAGACAGGCCTGATCTAGTGGCAAAAACGTGGCATGTTGCATCCGAGAGGTATCAAAAAATGTAGCAAAATACATCATTCTCCAAGTGAAAAAAACTCGAAGGGCCCTTTTCCTCACAGAAATAGCGGGTACGCTAAATCGGATTTTTTTCCACTTGGAGAGGGAGGTATTTTGCTTCATTTTTGATGCTTCCCGGATGCACAATGGTACGTTTTTTGCCACTGGATCAGGTCCGTCACTGTAATTTGCTTTGAATTTTACACACACGTCGGAATAGGTCACATACCAAAATTTTAGTTCGCGCATTGGAGCCGCAGCCGAAATACTTACTCAGCAAACCTTGTGGCCGAGATAGCACGCAAATCGTGGAGAGCGGACAGGGAAAAACACTTTTTGACTATATCTTTTCTTGCAGGGAAAAATGTAATTTCTCGCGGAAGCATTGCCTCGAAATAAATTGAAAATTTTTATGCTAAAATTTGCAAAAAACTGCCGCATTTATGCCATCTTTTCGACCAAAAAATCTACGTCGTTTCGGCAAAGCGCGAGCTAGGAGTCTCGGAAATGTCTGCGAAAAATCTATTCTAAATATGCCCAAGTTTTCATCAAAATCTAAGCATCGCGCTTGGAGCACTTTCCTTAACATCTGTCGGGAAAATAATGAGCACAATGTCGCTGCGCCGCTTGCGTCCCTGAAACGAAACTATTCACTTTCTTGGCGGCGATACGATTTTCGACGCGACACGGTGCTCATTATTTTCCCGACAGAGCGATTTTGTAGTCGAAACTTGCAACTGACGTATCGAGGTAATTGTAGCGCAAAATATCCTTGTATTTTCTCTGTTCTTCCGCAATCTCCGCCTCCAACGAAGCATTTGTTGTTCGGCCAACGATGAATCGCACTTGAATGTCGGCTGGATTGCCCTAAAAAACTTTCCACTTTTGATGTTACAATAAAATTTTTTTTGGTAAAAGTTCCTTATTCTGGCCACAACTTTTAACTTTGCGGAAATTGGTCGGAATTAGCCCAAATTTAGCGTGCACGCTCAGTTTATCGTTGTCAATGCCCGGACAGTGGATTTAGTTAGTGAGGTAACTTCTTTTTTACGTGCCACCTTACCCTTGAAAAACGGCTGCAGCCTGTGATTTTACACTTTATACGATGAAACTTGTCCGGAACTAAACTTATTGCCTCCGTATGGAACTAAATGGGTCGTCACAGCCTTCGTAGGTACCCTTAAAGCTATAGAGCTATTATAGTAATTCAGTGCCAGCTAGGTCGAAGCGTATTTTCCTAACTTTAGTGCCCAAGCTTGGGCGCACTTCGCGGAGTACCTTTGTTGTGGCCAAAATAAGGAACTTTTTCCATTTTTTTGTGGAAATATTACTCTTTACGGTAGAAATCATTATGAGACTAGTCATGGTAAAAATTTGGAAAAAATGTCGCAATTTTCTCAACTTTTTAACATTAAAATCGGCCTACTTTATCATACATCCACGTGTTTCTGGCATCATTTCGCTTCTCAAAATTTGCCGGCGCTGTAATGATAAGGGCCACAACTGTGATATTGTCAGAAATTTGGTCGCAAAATCGGACGTCTGGAGGGTCCAGCGAATATTGAAATTCGCGATCGAGGAAGTTGGCGGAGAAATTGGGATATTTTGGAGAGTACGGAGATCGGAAGGAAAAGTAAAGGTCTAAAATTGGGCGAAACAGTATATACCCTATAAAAAATTTTTTTCAAGCTGCGCCCGAGCTTTGACTTGACTTGTAGCTAGGCTTTTTTGATGACTTTAGATGATTTAGTCTATCCCAAAAAGGCCCTAAATGTTTAACTTGCTCTTAAAAATGCAGTTTTACATCCCTTTTTGGGCAACTCAAACCAAGATCTCATCAAAAAAATCCTCAGAATTTGCACGGTGCGGCTGAAAAAGTCCTCAGAATTTGCACGGTGCGACTGAAAATGTCCCAAAAATTTGCACAGTGCGGCTGAAAAAGTCCTCAGAATTTTCACAGTGCGGCTGAAAAAGTCATCAGAATTTGCACGGTGCGGGTGAAAAACTCATCAGAAATTGCACAGTGCGGCTGAAAAAGTCTTCAAAATTTGCACAGTGCGACTGAAAAAGTCCTCAGAATTTGCACAGTGCGGCTGAAAAAGTCCCCAGAATTTGCACAGTGCGGCTGAAACAGTCCTCAGAATTTGCACAGTGCGACTGAAAATGTCCCAAAAATTTGCACGGTGCAGTTTCAACCCAAAACATGACTTGCACAGTGCATTTTTCTGAAGAAAATTTTTCTGGGTTTGCAACAAAATCCGGCGCCACAAGTTCACCGCACATTTTGCGTCGCCTATTCCCCAAAACTTACAAATTACAAGGCCGGAGAGGGCGATGCAAACCAACACTTTTGCCGTCCTCCGCGGCACGACAGCAGCAGCCATTTCGAAGAAAAAATTAGTTCAAAATGAAAGAAAATCAATTTTTGTCATGTTGCCTTTCAGTCAGCACTAAAACAACGAAGTTGTTGGATTAATTTTGATAGCGATTTGAGTTGGAATTTGGAGTCGAAAGCGCTGTTATCGCGCCAAAGGAAACGAAACGAAACACGAATTCGAATAACAGTCGCCCTTTTTATCAGTTTGGTTACTATTTTGTGGTTTTATGTGCAAATTATGCTATCAGTTTGTCGGGAAAATAATGTGGACTTGCCGCGCCTTAAAAAAGTCTTTCTGCAAAGGCCGTTGAATATCTCAGCCGTCGTTGTGCAAAAATTTTTTGCAAAAAAAATGTAAAAAAATGTATGGCCTATAAGAAATCAATAGCAAATATTTCAGGCAAATCCACAAGCCTCATCTTCTTTAAAATCAAGTATCAGTCTGTCTGGAAAATACGCGCATTGAAATCGCTTACGGCTGGAGATTTGATCCGCCATTGCGTCGCACGTCAAACTGAGACAAGCTAAAACAGTCCAGTGAATGGATTGGCCATTTGCCAAAAAAAGACGCAAAAAAGCGTTGTGTCGGGGAAGAAATGGGGAATTTTTGGGGCGAGAGAGTACGTTTTTGCGTGTGTGTTTTCTCTCTTTCTCTGCGAAATCAAGACGAAGTGTAAAAACCGATAGCGAAGAGTCTATTCCGGTCACCGGACTCCTCAGTTTGACGTGCGTCGATACAAGAAGTTTCGCTGCGAGAACCCACATTATTTTCCCGACAGGCCGATACAAAGCTTTTCAGAAAGTACGTAGACTTTTTCTCGCAAAGTTTTTCGCACTGTGCATGTTATCTTTTGCACAGTGCAATTTGAAAATCGGATATTTTGGCTGAGCACCAAGAAATCTACCAAAATTTTCCGCAGAATTTCTGGGAACACCCTGACACACACACTGAAAGTTCAAAAAAAAAAATAATTCAAATTAAAAGACTCCTAAAAGAAAAATTCCGAAATGTTAGCAGAGTAGTGACTAACAATGGACGGCTTTGAAGCTCAGATATTTTTAACTCGCCCAGACATAAACAAGCCACACCTTAATTCCTGAAACCTTTTTCTTGCGCCTTGCCGACGCAGCCGAGACGTTCAACGATCTTTGCGGACGACAGAGCGAAAAAAGCGTGTTCTCTGTGAGAGGGGTCACATTATTTTTGCCCTTATGAGATACTAGTCATTCCATAAAGTGCGTAGACTTTTTCGCGGCGCACGGTGCATTTTTCTTCTTTTTGCACTGTGCAATGGCTGCCTGGGTCGAGTTTGCAATTGCACGGTGCAAAGCGCTTGAAATTTTTTACACCAAAAATTGCAAAAAAAAATACCGCATTTCATCCAATCTTCGACCTGAAAATCTCGGTCGTTTTTGCAAACTGTGAGCTGGAAGTCTGGCTTAAAAATCAAGAGTTCCAATTTATTCAATAAGACGATTTTTTATCCTTTTTTTGTTGTACCACCGTCTGCTCTACAGGAAATGTTCTTCAACTCTTTGTAGACTGATTGCATGCTCTTCGCGGGGATTCCAAACAGCCCCGTTGGCAGAGGAACACCATTCATGCCGCATTGAAGCTTATTTGTGGCCTGAAATCTCTCCCAGTTTTCCAGGTTTTCCTCGAATTCTCACCTTTATCGAACTGTAGCCAAAGGTTCGCGAATGCACCAGTGAAACGTTCTTCTTCGAACGCACAATTCCACTATACAGTACGTCCTCCAATTTGATGTAATTTACACTCGAGACGGCCGAAAGAACCGGCCCTACCGCTTCTCTTGTGACCATATACGAGCATCCTTGGCAAAAATCGGGATATATGGGTTCGGGATAGACTTCTTTTGAGACGTAGCTGCAATTGGGATAGCATGGGGATTTATAGAAAAAAGGCAGTGAATTATGACTTTTTTCATGCACGTCTTTCCAAAAAAATGTTGCACAAAACTTCAATTTTTTGTCGCACAGTGCATTTAACCTTTTTTCGCACCGTGCGTGCCTTTTCCGACCATTTTACACTTTGCATTTTCCGCGCCGACGCACAGTGCATTCTGCCTTTTTTTCGCACCGTGCGTGCCCTTTCCAACCTTTTTGCACTGTGCTTTTTTGGTTTGTCGCCGACGCACAGTTCATTTTTCCGTTTTTCGCACCGACCGCTTTTCCCAACCATTTTGCACTGTGCAGTTTTGTTGTTTGTCGCCGACGCACAGTGCATTCTGCCTTTTTTCGCACCGAGCGCTTTTCCCAACCATTTTGCACTGTGCATTTTTGTTGTTTGTCGCCGACGCACAGTGCATTCTGCATTTTTTCGCACAATGCAAATCTCAAAAAAGCCGTTTGCACTGTGCAAAATGCCAAATGCACAGTGCAAAATTGTGTGGGAAGATCCGCACGGTGCGAAAAAAGCAAAGCGCACTGTGCGCCTGCGACATCAGTCTGGCGGGAAAAAGATGAAACATTTGGTCTGTTTGCAAAATATGCAAAATATTACCCACTTACTATCGACTACCCTTGTTCCTGAACGGCCTCTTCTTGTAGTGAACGTTGCAGAAGAAGCGCTCTTTGTTCAGGCCGTAATATTTATCGTACATGCTTTTGCTGTGGTGGAATAGACGGTCTAGATCTACCACAGTGTCATCATCGGTTTTTAGCAAGTACTTGGCCTGAGGGCAATAGGTCTTAAAGAAGCTGAAGGCGGCGTGCACTTTGACTGGAAGGAGGTCGTATCTGAAATGGCTGGTGTATCACCATTTCCAAACAATTCAAAATGATATACTGCTCTGTCGAGAAAATAATGAGCACAATATCGCTGCGCCGACCGTGTTGCTGGGGTGAAAAGCAACTTGATTTTGTCGCGACACAATTCATTTTCTCGGCGACAATGACATTTTTGGTGCGTATTCTGCAAATTATTTTCCCGGCAGACTGATAAGTCGTCACTTTCAACGGTTCAAAGTTTGAAGATAAATAGTACCACAACCTACGTCTCGGTGAAGTTGTAACGAACAATATCTTTGTGCTGCCTTTGTTCTTTCTGAATTCGAAGTTCAACAGACCGGTTATCTGGCTGACCAATTAGAAAACGGACAAGAAAACTTGAAGGGGTGTCCTAAAATTGGTCAATAAATGTTACTGTCAGTCTGTCGGCAAAATAATAAGCCTTCTGTCGCGTCAAAAAAAGGGTTTCGGCCAGACTGGTATACAGAGTGGGCCACTCAAAACGGGTAAGTTTTTTCTTTGGATTTCTTCGCGGAGACTGACCAAGTTCCATGTTTAGAATAAAATTTTCGAAGTTTTAGCGATTGCATCTCAAAAACAATTCTTGAAGACCTTGGGAAGGCATTGAAAGGTCAATTCAACATATTTTTTGTTGAAATCTAATCGGCTGAAAATGCCGGGTTTCAGCTCCAGAAAAACCTAAATTTTAAAAAAATCGGCGGAGTCTCCGCGGAGACATCCAAGGAAAAAACTTGCTCGTTTCAAGAGGCCCGGCCCTGTATTACTAATGCCATAAAGTCCCGACACATTTGTCGCGACAAGTATAAAGTCCACACAACCTCCTACTGCCTCCCAAAAAAGCTACGTATATCTGAAAAACATCTCACATGCTCATATAGCCAAGTATCCCTGATCGCGTTCCGTTGATCAAACTTGTTTGGGGCACTAAGAATCAGTATAAGTATGTCGATTCCATCGCAGAGTCCTGGCTTCTGCTCTTCAATTGAGTAGTTAAACTGTCGATTTTTGAACTTCGCGATGAATATTCGTTGCTTAGCAACTTTTCTGTGGAATGTTCCGGGTTTATAGGCGTACTCAACATCTGAATGTGAAAATATACAGGGTGTTTCAAGAAATTCCCCGGAAATCAATCGTTGATTTCTCGGCGCTCAGCCACGATATCCAAAAAATTTTTTTTGCAGTAGAAAGAAGGTTATGGACGGTTTTTTGCCTAGCAAGATCTTTTTCTACGCCGACGCGGAATGCAGTGTATTCGGCAAAGACTTTTAATCGCTTTTTTGGTCATCACACACATCTTAAACGCTTTTTTGTGGTTTCTGATGGCTGAAATGCGGATAATTTACTGATTTTTGTGCTTGTCAAGCGTTCGGCAAAGGTATGGCAGCCGCTCGCCATATCTTAACTCAGATACGGACCAGAAATGGCCCAACACAATTTTTATTGTCTGGCAACTATTTTCTGCGGGTATCGTTAAATTTGTGCAAAAGCCAAAAATCGCTTCGGCGGCTTTACGAGCGGAGCAATACCCAAAAACTGTAATTCTTACATAAAATTGTGCAGAACAAGGTGGCTCCGAGTGCAACGATCAAGTAGTTTAGTCGTTTTTCCATAGTCGACATTAACGCTGCAGAATTCCTTCAGGCCAAGAGATCGAACGAATTTTATTTATGTAATAAGCATTCCGAACAACGTTTCTTTTTTCACAACTGTTTCTACGTGGAAGCGTCGGAAAAGAGACTCATTATACAAAAATTTAATAGGCATGACCCGCAAGCGGTTTCAGTCGTAGTTCCGGGAAGGAAAGGCTATCGGGCCTGGTCGGGCCAAAAATTGGGCGTGACTGTTCGAGTGAGCGACAGTTCGAGTCAAAGCTATGGATCACGTCGGTTCATTTTTGTATGCATAGTGAAGACTCGGAGAATAACTTGGCAAAAAAATTTTGCGAAGGATAAGAAATTTTTAGATTTTTTGAGATGATGTATCAGTCTGTCGGGAAAATAACGGCGGATCGTCGCGCCTCGGAATCGCCCATCATCGCTTTGCGACTGCAAACCGCGGCTTGGGATTTGGTGCGCGATAGCGGCGAGGTGAGACATTTTGCTGCGACAATCCGCCGTTATTTTCCCGATAGACTGATATACGCCTTTTCGTAAGTGCGTAGACTGTTTACCGGAGCGCACAGTGCATTTTGCCAATTTTTGCACTGTCCGCGACGAGTTTGCAATGGCACGGTGCAGAAGGTCAACTGCACAGTGCGGGAAACTCGCGACAATCGTCGGACAGGAATCGGCGACACGCAGTATGAAAAAACAAAATTTCTCTCGCACTGTGCAATTTCTTGCTCATTGCACCGTGCAATATCCTTTTTTGGGCTTTCGCTCGCACCCTAACTTTTTTTGCACAGTGCAAACACCAAAAATTGGTCCGGCAACTTAGCAGAAGGACTATGTATCAGTCTGTCGGAAAAATAACGGCGGATCGTCCCTTCAAAATTTCTCGCCTCGCCGCTATCGCGCGCCAAATCCCAAGTCGCGGCTTGCAGTCGCAGAACGGTGATGGGCGATTCCGAGGCGCGACGATCCGCCGTTATTTTCCCGACAGACCGATATAAGGGCAAAAAATGGTAAAAATATAAAATTTTGAAAAATTGAAGTCAATGTTATTTTTCTAAAATTAGCATAAAATTTAAAATTTTTTTTTTTTTTTTTTTTGATTTCAAAATCCCCGAAGGTCAATTCTTCTTATTGCTTTCTGATCATTTATCGGTTGGTCCTCTCCTCCTCCTTGATGTTAAATTTATGTGCCCAAGTCTGTCTTCAATTGCTCTGTCTGTTTTCGTTAACACTAATTCAATGCCTGAAGTCGCAGGGGAAGAAGAAGAACAAAACCGAGACAAAGGCGACAACGCTAGCTTCGGTGGATCCAATTTCAATCAATGTGCCGGCAAGTTGAAGCGAAAATGATGATTAATATAGGATTTTTTCAGCCAATGGAGCCGTTTGTGTGGGATAATAAGGTAAGTTTTGGGGGAAATCGCTGAGAAATGGGTAGCTTGACATTTAAATTGGACTTTTTTGATAATTTTCAAAAAAAAAATTTTTTTAAAGTTGACAAAAATGCTTTCTACCATCTTCTAAGACACCCCCATTATTTTTATCCTAAATTTTTCCCCGAAAAAATCAAGATTTTTGCGATTTTTTGGCCACTTCTGCCTCTAAATTAACTCTAAATATTGTCTCTCATTTTCCAGCAAGAACAGCCCGGAAAAAAGAAGAAATCCCCCAAAAAGGATCCAATGCGACCGAAGGACCACAAAGACTCCAAAGAATCCAAAAATTCCAAAGAAAGTGAGCCGACTTCAGGAGATACGAAGATAAAGACCAAGCCAACGAGCAAGAAAGTCACCAAACAAAAGGTTGCCGAAGAGAAACACGCGGATAGTCGCAAACGAGCCGAGTCTTTCGGGAGGAAAAAAACGTTAACGAAGATCAAAGAAGCCAAATCAAAAGAGGATTCTAAAGAATCCCCGGGAAGGGTGAGTGGCCTTGATATACCTACATATGTATACTATATATTTAGTATATTCACAGGGGAAGTACCCCAAATGCAACTCATAGATCTTGAAGAAACTTGGCACAAATTTAGAATAATCTTTTCTAAAATATATGCGAGAATCCTAGCTCGCGCTTTGCAGAAACAACCGAGATTTTTAGATCGAAAGTCGGCAAAAATTTAGGACTTTTTACCAAATTTTGGCACGAAAAGTTTCATACCTAATTCTACTGCCGAGAGTAATATTTCCAGAAAAAAGAAACAAATTTTATCCGAAATTGGTAACGTTATGGCCAAAAAGTGTTTTTCTCTCTGACCGCTCTCCGCGTTTTGCATACTCTCTCCGCCGACAAAATTGTTGAATATCTCATCTGCACCAGCAAAGCGCGAGCTAAAACTTTCAGGAATTGATATCTAGTCTATTCCCAACATGTGTACAAATTTTAAAGAGAATCTGAGCGTCCGACATGGGGTACTTCACTTGTTAGTAAACATCAGTTTGTCGGGAAAATAATGTGGATTTGTCGCTGAAAAATGCATCAGTCATCACATTCGCGCTAAAAATCTCCACTGACGGCTAGCCATTGCAAAGCGATGAAGGCTGATCTCAAAGCGCGACGAATCCACATTATTTTCCCGACAGATTGATAATTGATTTTATTGGAGGTAAGACTTCCGGATTTGTTTGAAATTTCCTTTATAGATTCCTTATAGACCCCAAAGTCATCACTGAAAATTTCAGCATTTTGTTTACAACTACGGCTGAGATATTACTCTTTCATAGTAACCATCTTTGAAGAACAAAGGCCATAAAAATTTTCGAAAAAAACATTGTAAAAAATTTTTAGAACACCGAATCCACCGGCTCCAGCGAAAATGACGAGACCCTAAAAGACGTCGCATCACTCAAGGTTGACCCAGCAGTTGCACCTTCACCACATTACTAGTGGTCGTTTCCTGCATGTGATGATTTTTTATAAAAATTACTGTAAAATAAACGCTTCAAATGTTTTGAAATTCAATAAAAATTAAGTTCTCACTCTTCTTGATGCTTTTTCAATTTATTTTTGCACCATTTTTATACGTGATATCACCGAATTTGAAATAAATTATCGATCTTGGGTCTCTAAACGAAGAGTTTTGCAAGAAAAACGAAGAAAATTGGCAGGAATACGGATGAAGTTGAGATTGAAGATGAGTTCGGCTTAGCACTTCGATGCGAGAACTTGGGATTATGCGCATGTTCGGTTGTTGTACTCGGTTCATCGGTTTCCTTCAACTGCGAACGAAGTCCGTCATCTGGAAACGAGGGCTTTTTTAAGGAGAAATTCTTGAAAGTCAGCGTTCAAATTTCAATGAGAGTTAGAGGAAATGGAAAGTAGAAACTTCTGCAGAGATATCAGTGTTTTCATAAAGTGCATTGACATCTGTCGTGCTGAGATTAACGCTTACAATTAGGCTATTTGCGATTTTTATTCGTAGTCTGCGAGGAGGACAATGCGCAAGCTGCGAAATATAAACTTCCTTTCTCTGGGCCAGAAAAAGGAAGTTTTATCGAAAAGTCCATGCACTTTATAAAAATGCTAATCGGAGTTTTTAACTCGCGTTTTGCAGAAACCAATCAGATTTTTTGCATATTACAGGAGCTAAAACGCGCCATGAAGGTTCTGCAGAAGAAGTTTGGACAAGTAGCTGTGTTGTTTGATGTTATCAGTCTGTCGGGAAAATAATAGCACTATATCGCAACGAAAATTGCACCGTCGCTAAGAAAATGCATTTTGCCGCAAAAAAATCAAATTTCTTTTCATTTCAGCGACCCGAGCGCAGTACTATATATTATATATGGTGTCCATTATTTTCCCAACACTCTGATAAAAGTAATTTTTTATACTTACGCTCCAACAATAAAACAGTCATCTCATCGACCTCTTTGACCACCGCCTTTTCTTCGGGGTTCAAGGCGTCGTATAGGGACATAATATGCGACAACGCTTGCCGAGTCTTTTCTCTGGCGGCCGGGGAATTGATGATCTGATTTTTGGCCATCTCAATTGTCGCGGGAATACTCTGAAAAAGTATTGTGTCAAGGGAGTGTCGAAAAATCGGATGGAACATTAGAAAACCCGAATTTTGCTTATTTATCGTATCAGTCTGTCGAGAAAATAACGTGGATCTTTCGGGCTTTGGAACCGCTTATTATCGTTTTGCGACGACCAGCTGCGGCTGGAAATTTGCCACGCGATTGCGACAAGGCGAGGCCGTTTTCTGCGACAAATCCACATTATTTTCCCGACAGACTGATATGATAAATTCCTCCTTACCTTGCTGAAATATGTATTCAACCGTTGACTGACGTTGAGTTGCGCCAAAACTTCCTCACACAGCATTACGAGCCGATCAACCACCTCATGCTCATTCCACAGATCCTCGTTGTCGGCCAGGCGATCGTCATCTTTGTGGCCTTTGAAGATGTCGACAAAGATTTGGGCTTCTTTTTTGGTTAGTCCGTTGGAGAAACTCTCCAGCAGCTTCTCCGCTTGTTCTAAGATGAACTTACACTATTTTTATAGTACTGTAGGCAACGTCCAAGTTTTGATATCGAGCATATATTTTTTAGGCCAAAATTGTCGAAAATGTGATGACTTTTTTAAGAATTTTTGGCGTGTAAATAAAATCTTACGCCTATTTCTATGTAGAGCGCAATGTTTCCACAAAAAAAAATTATTGCAACTGGCAAAAATATGGCAAAAAAGAGTTTCCTTTCGGGCCGCTCTCCGCTTTTTGCGCACTCTCTCGCGGTAAACGTCGTCAAATATCGCGGCCATAGCAAGGCGCGAGCTAAGATTTTGCAGAATTTATATCTCGCCTATATCCGAAGTGGGTGCAAAATTTGGAAAAAATCGAAGCGTCGCACTTGGGATTCTGCCCTTGTTCAAAACATTGGTGGGGACTGAAAAAACTCGAGCTGAAAATTGCGCTAACGCTTTCGAAAAGGCTCCTATAATTCTGAGTTAAGTGTCAGCGAAAGTGATACTACATAAGAAAACCTTATCTGTTGTCTTATCAGTCCGTCGGGAAAATAATGAGCACTCTGTCACATCCAAAATCGCATCGTTTCCAAGGAAATAAACTGTGTCGCGGAAATCAAATTGCTTTCCACTTCAGCGACGCGATTGGTGTTGCAAAATTGTGCTCATTATTTTCCCGACGGACTGATATAACCTAGGTAATATATATTTGGCGGCAAGGTCGGAATGCCGATGAATTTTTACGCCTACTTAGCAAAAATAGATTTTTATGGAGCTGAGAACCACTATTTTCAACCGATCAAATTTCAAAAAAAAATCTGGAATTTACCTTTCTATGTCTTCCAAAGTCTTGAAGAATTATTTCCGAGCCAAAACCGCTAAAATTTAGAACTTTTTTATTTTTTTTTTTGCCAAGTAGGCGTAAAAAATCGTCGGCATACCGACCTTGCCGCTAGACATAAATCACCTTTGTTATATCTCTTTACATCCCGCCTATCCAACTATTAGTCTGTCGGGAAAATAACGGCGGATCGTCGCAGCAAAATGTCTCGCCTCGCCGCTATCGCAGCCCAAATCCCAAGCCGCCGCTTGCAGTCGCAAAGCGATGATGGGCGATTCCGAGGCGCGACAATCCGCCGTTATTTTTCCGACAGACTGATATGCCCCTCCCTCAGTCGCTCACCGTCAAATCCATGGAAGAAGCGGTCGTATTCCGTAGCCGTCGCCGTTGCCGCCACCAAGACCGTTAGCCAGAGCCTCCACATCGTCCTCTCCCTTCCTCCGATTGCAGGTAATAAACAGCCAACGATCAGGGATTGTCTCCGACAAGGCGTGTTGTTATACAAAGTCTTTTGTTAACCCCCTTCCCGCTACTCGTTTTCTTGTTGTCGCCTTGGAAAGGAAGCAGTTTTTTCGAGCGGCTAGAGGTTATTTTTTCCCATTGCACAACGGTGGGAAGTCGGAGAAAAGGCGAAAGTAATCGACGGGTAATTTGTTCGTATGAAGGTCAAGCCTAACTCAATCATGCTTTATGGGGGAAAAACAAAAAAAAACGGAAGGAAGTGAATATTCGAGGGCTCACAAAAGATCCAGACAAAACTTTGCGAATCCGGCTACTGGTCGTTCCAGAAAGTGCCTAGAATTTTCGTTTTTTTTTCGTCCAAAGCTTTTTGCAATGCAAATTTTATTTTTCCGCTGTGAAATTCAAAAGTCGCCGCGACGTTAGGCACAACAGTCGCAGAGTGCTAAAAGAAGAAAAATTCACAAAAAAAGTTTACGCACTTTATGAAACGACCAGTCAACGGATTCGGAGCGAGGTAAAACACATTTTTAGCATTTTTATAAAATGCGTGGCATTTGTCGCAACCCACACCGTGCACAAAAATCGCCGTTTTTTGCGCTGTGCAATGTTTGTCGCGCCGATTCGCGGCGACAAAGTTGAAGAACCTTGCGATTTTTTTATTGCACGGTGCAAAATTCGAACTGCACAGTACAAAAAGTTTGCGATAAAAAGTCTACAAACTTTTTAAACGGTGCAGTATTATTTTCATAAAGTGCATAGACACTTGTCGCAGAACTGCGCACAAAAACCCCCGTTTTTTGCACCGTGTACTCACCTTTTTTTCGGTTTTGCACTGTGCATTTGAAATATCGCCGCGACGCAAGCTTTTTTCAAGTGCGCCATCGCGGCCTTGCTGATGAATTTGCACAGTGCAGACGGCTTTTTTGAAGTGCGAAAAAAGAAAAATGCACTGTGCGTTAGCGACAAGGTTGGTGAAAAATTCGAGATGCACTGTGCGTTAGCGAAAAAATGTCCATGCACTTTATGAAAGTGCTGTGATAATAATGTATATACAAGACATGTCCGACACCTTTTTATTGTTACGAAAATAGGATTTGTTATGTACAAAAAGTGTGAAGGCATAACTTGAAGATAATCTTTGCAATGCAATAAAGGCCATTCCATTTTTAGGTCAATGATCGATTCCCAGACGCCGTCGCTGTATGCGGCTTTGTTGCAGAAACTGAGACCTTTATTCGCCCTCCCACAAACGTTCTGTACATTTCATCACGTAGGCTCTTGTTGAAGATTAGGTAGATTATGACCGCGCTTCCTGAAAAGTATAACGAATGTTTTGCGGCCAAAACAACCCGTAATCCGTCAAATGCTATATAGTATAAAGTCAAAGGAGGTAAAAATTGGTCTGTCGGGAAAATAATATGGGGTTTTCGCTACAAAATTTCATGCCTTGTCGCCGTCACGCACAAAGTCTCTAGCCGTCGTAAGATGGGCGATTTTGAGGCTTGACGAATCCAAGCCTTTCGACCCACCAAATATCAGTCTGTCGGGAAAATAATGAGCCGTGCCGATCGTGTTGATGAGGTAAAAAAAGAAGTTTGATTTTACCGCAACAAAATTCATTTTCTCCCGTAGCAATGCGATTTTCGATACGACAAAGTGCTCATTATTTCCCGACAGACTGAAAATATAGACTTTCGACCTTACCATGACAAGATTGCCAGCAAATCTGCCCAATCACCACCATAAACGGAGGCGCTCCGAAATAGTTCATGTAATCGTAGATGACCGGTGCCATGACGAAGACCGAGCACAGCAAACTTGATTGGATGATGGCCTAAAAAAGAATTTAAAAATTTAAAAAAAAAGTAAAAATTTTATCTCAAAATTTTATCCAAATATCCCACCGTCTTCTGATGCTTTGAAAGCCCGCTTTCTCCGGTCGACTTCTGTTTCATCGTCTTGTAGATCATCACTGCGCAAATGAACGTGTAAATCAGCACCATGGAGATGGGGATGACAATGTTGTGGATGATCAACGACAGGTTCATGTACTAAACAGTAGCTTTCTTTTAGTTTGAGGCAAGATATCAGTCTGTCGGGAAAATAATGAGCACTCTGTCGCATCAAAAATAGCATCAACGCCGGCAATGAAATTTGTTGGGTTGCGACAAAATCAAATTGTTTTTCACCTCAGCTACATGATTGGCACAGAAAAATTGTGCCCATTATTTTCCCGACAAACTGATACCATCACAAAAATTGACAACTCCCTTACCTCAGCATCAGTCTGCGCCTGGAAGGCCGTTCCAACGTAAGGGTTGCTGAAGCCGGCGTAGAAGGCGGCCGTGGACATAAACGGCTTGGTGTACATGAAGAAGTAGTAAAAGTAAATGACAGGCAAGATGCACCAAAAATAGGTTCTGTGCCCACTGAAGAAGAGCTGCATCAGATTCACAGTGGCCAGGTCACAGAGACGATTTATGGCCAAGAGAACGCACGTCATGCTGGCTGCACACCAGAGAGCTGAAAAGAGATTTTGGGTTATCAGCCTGTCGGGGAAATAATGAGCGCAATATGGATGCCCTAATTATGTCGCTGAAGTGAAAAGCGATTTGATTTTGTCGCGACACAATTCATTTTTTCGGAGGCGATTTTTGAGGAGTTCTCATACTTTTCCCGGCGGATTGATATGTATTTACATGTGTACTACAGTGGGGGCCTGATCCAGTGGCAAAAAACGTACCATTTTGCATCCGGGAAGTACCAAAAATGTGTCTAAATGCTTCCCTCTTCATGTGAAAAAACTTTGCTCTGAAGGGCGCGCCTTTTTTCCTCACAAATACTTAGAAACGGAGGCATTTTGCCACATTTTTTGTTGCTTCCTGGATGCAAAATGGTACGTTTTTTGCCACTGGATCGGGTCCCCAGCTGTATATTGGATTTTTTTTGCAACAACTTTGCACCTCGCTCGTAATGTCTGTCTCCGCACAAACTGCGGTTCACTCACCCGTAGTGAGCGCGCCAGCGAAATACTCCAACATTGGGTTGTCGCAGAACACCCCTCCTTGCAAAGCGAACCATCCATACAACGTGGCGTTGAACGGGATGGTCAAAATGTCAATAATCCCTACAAAAACATTGATTATCGTCTTCCCAGACATTTCTTACCCAAGAAAAACATAAATTTGTAGCACGATGACTTGAGAAACTTCTCCTTGGACATGGTGATCAAACATGGGATGTAGAGCAGTTCGTAGGCGATCCCGGCGAAGATGTAGAGCGTTCCAACGAAGGCGTTCGGAGTCTTGACGGCATCAAAGTAGCCGGCATCGTATAAAGTGCAGTTGTAGAGCCGATCAAACTTCTTTTTGTCGAATAACAGCAGGTTCATGATGGCCGTAGGCGACTGCTGTATAGCACTTTGCGCTCTGTAAATAAGTGTTTTTTTCCAGTGAAACAAGACATTTTCATGCCGCGGGTTTTGTAGCTTCGAACCAACTGAACTTTAAGGGCATGAGCATGAAAAAGGAATGGATTTTTGGAGTTTCACACCGCGGAGAAGGCTAATTGGAAGCGTGCTAGACTGTCAAAGCACTGTCAAGTGTAAAGAGCGATTGAAAGCGGAAGTTTTTGAGGTCAGGTTTTTTAAAACTATATAAAGTTTTGCGGATATCAGCCAGTGGGGAAAGATGACCGCAATTTCTCTACAGGTTGTAGAAAGGAATGAAGGACAGTCATGTTTTCAACGCGACAGAGAGGTCACTATTTTCTCGACAGACAGATACTGGACAAGTCGGGAAAATAATGTGCATTCATCGCGCCTTAGAATCCCCATCATCGCTTTGCAACGACTATCCGCTGCCGGAGATTTTGAGGGCGACTGCAACAAGGCAAGATGTCATAAAAATCCACATTATTTTTCCGACAGATCAATATCGCCCACGGTGCGGCACGGTAAACACATATTTTCTTGGAAATTGACATGTTCCCAAAACTTGCATGCCTTGCCAAAACTTTCAAGCCCTGCTCATTGACTTGAGTCAATAAGCTGGCTCGACACGTTAATGAGAGTAAGCATCAACATGAGAAGACTATATATACACATACATATAGCATTTTCGGTGATTTAAAGGTAATCCCCGCCTCATTGCCGTATTTGGGGTTATTTACGGCAACAAACCTTTTGTGATAAACAGGTTTGGTCGAAAATTCGTTCAGGCCGCTAATTGCATAAAAAGTGGCAAATCGGGCATATGTATATTATTGTAGTTTACAACGCAGGCAAAGTAGGGGAATGAATATAATGATCGTTTATTAAAACGCGTTTTGCTACAATTTGAAGCTTAGCCTAACAGAGGGCGGACATTGTTAAAATCGATGTCTCAGAATTAAACCAAAATTGGTCAGCTTGACCGTCATGACAGACAAAACATTCGCTTTCTTTATTTTTGCCCAAAATTACCCTATGACGGCATACTGTAACATTTTTTCTATAAAAAATATGCTCTAATCGAGAAATTTTTGGCTCAAATCGAGTTCAGGTGTATGTTTTCGACCACGTAGAACATTTTTGTAATTGTCACCAAAAACTAAAAAATTACATCTAAGCTATGTTGCACATGAGGTAACATACTATTTCGAGTGTAAAATAGGCTACTGTAGCTTGTAGCACTTTTATATACGCTTTAAAAACACGTCAGCCTTCATGATTCCATAAGCTTCAGCTAGACTTACAGAGGCCTCTGAGGCCGAGCCAAAAATCGCGGCTTGGCCCAAGGGCCGGAATAAGAACGCTGGAACCGGGCCGTTTCGAATTCGCTCGGCCTCGGAGAGAATATTGCACAAAAAGCATTGGCGACAAGCATGGGAAATTTTCAAAAATGCGCTGTGCAAAAAAGAACAAATGTCCACTCCTTAAATACACTATCACTTGAACTTTAAAGTAATAATATATACTTTTAAGACCAAGCGGATGTCCTCAAGATCCGCCACAGACAGCCATTGAACTAACAATATTCATGTAAGCGGCACAGTGGACAGGTGGGCACAACGTATTCGAAGGGAAATGTCACAACACCAGTGTGATTTCGACAGTGTAATCTCTTGTTTTGATGTCTGTAAACTATCAAAACGACCGCAAAATACGCGAAGGTTCAAATTTGCTACGAGAATCAAAATTTTACTGTAAATAACAAGACAATTAGACGAAAGGGGACGGCATGTTGATAACGTCATCGCTTTGCGATGCCTAGTTGCGGCTGCAGATATGGTGTCCAACAGCGAAGAGGCGGAAGATTTTTCTGCAAAAATTCCACATTTTTTTACCATACACGTACACGTACTAAGCGGGCCAAAAAACTTGTTGCACGGCCAGGAGCAAATTTCACGCTGCACTGTTGAGTCGCTTTTCAGATGCAGCCGGGATATTCAACGATTTTAGCGATAACTTGAGTATGGGAAATGCGGAGAGCTCTCAGAAATTACACTTCTGGACCGTATTTTTGCCAGGTTGAAAAAAATGGACTTTTTGTAAGAAATCCCGGTCGTTTTCACAAATCACGAGCCAGATTTCTATCATAAGTCCGTCCGGAAAGTCGCCGAACTGATTTTTGGCGTTTCCACTGTGCGAAAAAAGTCAGGGTGCGAGCGACAGCCCAAAAAAGAATATTGCACGGTGCAAAACGCCAAAAATTGCACAGCGCAAAGTGCATTTTTGTTTTCGCAAAATGCATGTCGCCGATTTCAGTACTACTAGTCGCGACATAAAGTCCTGACACATTTTGCACCGTGCGAAAGTTCGGGGTTTGGACGTCGCACCCCCAAATTCATTTTGCACTGTGCATCCTTCTTTCATTTCATCCGCACTGTGCATCTTTTCGCATTTGTCGCCGCGATTTCCCCTTTTTGCACTAGCGACGTGCAAAACCCGAACTTTCGCACCGTGCATTCTTCATTCATTTCGCATTTGTCGCCGCGATTTCCCGTTTTTGCGCTAGCGACGTGCACTTTCGCGCGCGACAAACCCGAATTTGGGGGCGCGACGTCCAAATCCCGAACTTTCGCACGGTGCAAAATGTGTCAGGACTTTATGGCGCGACTAGTAGTCGGGACAAAAAGTCCTGATAATTTTGCACCGTGCGGATTTTGCGCGGTTTCTGTCGCACTCTGAAAAAACGATTTGTCGCTTCGAAAAATGGGAATCGCGCGCGACAATAAGGCAAAAACAAACAAAATGCACTGTGCAAATGCACTTTTCGGGTCAAATGCACCGTGCAAAACACCTTTTTTCGCGATTTTCGCAGCGACGGCCCAAAACGTTCAAATCCGCACAGTGCAAAATTATCAGGACTTTTTGTCTCGACTAGTATCTCTTGTTAGAAAAAAGTATACTAAATTTGTACCAACAAATTTAGTTTCCATCAAAATCCGAGCGTCGCAATTGCCGAACTTCCCTGCCAGTTGTACCCAGAAATGTATGTACTCTACATAAAACACCATTGTCTTATGTTTCAGCACTACTTCCTCCGACGTTTAACAATATGTATCATTGCATGCCAGACCGTTACACTTTACTTCCTTCTAGAATCGTAATTTTTGTTTAATACCTTGCTCATAACATTGTTACAAAAACTGTAATTGTGAATTCAGATGTTTGCAATGACATTACACAGAAATTAATGCAAACTCTTGTGGATGTCTGGAGAGTATGACTGAACTTGGTGTTGTGGCGTGACGACCTTTAGCTGTAGTTCGGAATTGTTTCAAGCGTGTCTGCAAGCATGGTGTCATAATTGGACAGAAACTTTACTGCCATCATATTTGAGGTAGCTTTATGCCAGCAAACATATCAAAGTTTGTCGAGAAAATATTGAGCACTCTGTCGCATCGGCACTAGGTTCCAGAGGTCGGAACGAAGGTCAAGATCTAGGATGTTGACCGCAGTAAGTCCACATGTTCCTAGTATCAGTCTGTCGAGAAAATATTGAGCACTCTGTCGCATCGAAGACCGCATCGCCGCCGAGGAAATGACCTGTGTGGCGCTAAATCAAACTGTTTTTGCATCAGCATCACAATTGGCGCTCCGCGTGAGCACTTTTTGTGACCATCACTTTCGCTGATAGGCATGGCTCTTGGGCCGGCCACAGGATCATGTCTAACCACAACATAAATCTGCCGCGAAAATAATAAGCGCATTGTCGCTGCACCAATCGCGTCGCTGAAGTGAAAAGTAATTTGATTTTGCAGTAACACAATTCATTTTCCCTGCGGCTGAGATTTTTGATGCGAAATAGTGCTCATTATTTTCCCGGCAGACTTTTGATAGATTTTTTGGTACAACACCATCAATTCTTCTCACAAAGCCTTTACAAGAATATCAAATCATCATTTTCTCCTTCTTCTTGATGACCGGTCGGTCTCTCAACCATCTACTGATTTCAAGTCTGTTTTACTAACACTGCCACAAGTCCAACGCCGATATGGTCGACTACTATCCGGCGGAGACTCCGCTGAGCGAGAATAAATCCAGCAAAGAGGTTCAATCGTTAGATCATAGCTCGCCGGAACTGTCGGTAAGCTTACAATTTGGAAAAATCCTTTGTAGTATACTGTAGTAGTCCCTTTGCGAAGTCGCCGGATTGATTTTTGGCGTTTGCACAGTGCAAAAAAAAGTGCGAGCGACAGTTCAAAAAACCTATTGCACAGTGCAAAAAGCACGAAATTGCACAGCGCAAAGTGAATTTTTGTCTTTGCACAGTGCATGTCGCTGGTTTGATTTTTGATCGGGTGCGAGAGACAACAAAAAAAAGTCAATTGCACGGTGACAAAAGCAAGAAATTGCACAGTGCAATGTGAACTTTTGATTTTTCAGTGCATGTCGCCAGACTGTGGGCGTTTGCACTGTGCAGAAAAAAGTGCGAGCGGCAGCCCAAAAAAGCCATTTGCACGGTGCAAAAAGCGACAACTTGTACAGTGCAAAGTGAACTTTTGTTTTCGCACAGTGCAAACGTCAAAAATTAGTCCAGCGACATGCAAAAACAATATCGTCGAGTAAAGTCCAACGACTTTCCGAACGAACTATCGGTCTGTCGGGAAAATAACGGCGGATCGTCGCATCAAGCCTCGCCGCTATCGCGCACTAAATCCCAAGTCGCGGCTTGCAGTCGCAAAGCGATGATGGGCGATTCCGAGGCGCGACGATCCGCCGTTATTTTTCCGACAGACTGATAGCAAAGTAGCTACTTACCGTTCTTTGGCAAATGCCCAATTTTTTCAGGAGATTCTGGAAGCGCAGCCGGTTCGTTTGGCCTGGAAGAACATCTGTGTCACACATCCAAAGACCAATCGGACCATTTTGAGAGATGTATGCGGATTTGCGGAGCCAGGAGAGCTGGTCGCGTTGATGGGCGCTTCAGGGGCTGGGAAGACAACATTGCTGAACACTTTGCTCTGTCGCAATTTGAAGGGATTGGAGGTGAGTTTCGCAAATTTTTTTGGTGATTTTAGTATCTAAAATTGAGTTATTGATGACATTATATATTTTGACAAAAAAGCTGTGACAAATTCTCTTTAAAGTTAATTGTAGGTTTCCGGTCGGGTCCTAGTCGATAATCATGAGCTGTTCGAGAAAATCACCATGGTTAGTGGATATGTGCAACAGGAAGAGATGTTTTGCGGTCGATTAACGGTCGAAGAACATCTTCGGATCCAAGCGACTCTTCGATTGCCCCATTTGAACGCCTGCAAACGACAGGGTCGGATCGATGAGGTAAGAATATCGACTTGAAACGGAATGCCAATTTCGTGGTAGGACAAAAGACTTAGTTTGAAAATATTTTTTTTTTCTTTTTTGGAGAAATACGAGAAAATCTGCGATTTCACCAAATTTTTGATGAAGTCCAAAAGATAAAAAATAGTTTTTTGCCCAAGGTTCTTCGTATTTCAGCTTCTCCGACTCCTCGGCTTGATGAAGTGCCGCAACTCGAAGATTGGCGTCAGCGGAGTCGAAAAAGGCATCTCTGGCGGCGAGGCAAAGCGCTTACTTTTCGCCAGTGAGCTCCTGAACAACCCACCGTTGATGTTTTGCGACGAACCGACCACTGGACTGGACTCGGCGATGGCCGAAAGTGTCGTGAATTGTATGAAAGAGTTGGCAAAAAGAAATCACACCATCATTTGCACAATTCATCAACCGTCTACGTCGGTGTTTCGGACCTTCGATAAGGTAAAATGTGGAAAAACACCTTTTTTGATGAGTTAAAAAAAGTTTTCAAAAGTTTTTCAAATTTTGGCTGTAGGCGCTCAATGGGCAATGGCTTAATTACTGAAAGTTTTAGCCCATGGTTTGCAGCGGCAACCGAGATATTCAATGATATTTTTTCGGAGAGAGTATGCAAAATGAGGAGAGCCGTCAGAGAAAAACCCTTGTTGAGCATATTTTTGCCACTTTCGCGTGGAAAAAATGGCTGTTTGGTAGAAAAATTTTATTCATTCCACATTTCAACAAGTTTGAACCCTAATTCAAACAAAAAAAAAACTGTTTAGGTATTCTTCCTGGCCAATGGTCGAGTCGCATATTACGGGACTCCGGCAAGTTGTGTGGAGGCGTTCAGCAGCCTCGGTTACCCATGCCCGAAGAATTACAATCCAGCGGACCTGATCATCGAAAAGTTGGCGGTGGAGCCGGGAAACGAGGAGGAGTGTAAGAACAGGATCAAGACGATATGCGATTCGTTCGAGTCGTCGGAGGCCGGAAGGAGTTTTCTGAGCAAATCCAAGGAAATGACCGATGAATCGACCGTTTTGTACGACAGAAAGACGGCTCCGTTTTATATGCAGGTGGGATTTTGTTATTTATGCTTAATTTTTGAGATTTTCTGAGATTTTTTGTCACTTCAAATTTGAATTCTAATTTTCCGCCAAAATTGGCATTGTGTTTCAAGTCAAAATATGGATATCATTTGGCTAAAAATCCAATGTAAAATACAATAGACTTGATTTTTCTCCGTTTTAGCCCCAAAAAATTTGAATTTTAATTTTCCCGCCAAAATTGGCATTCCGTTTCAAGCCTTGATTTTCGCTAGTTTTGACTTAGAACACGATCCAAGCTTGTTGAAAAGCCCACTTTTACCTCATATTAGTCATTAAAATTCAAATTCAATTTTTCCCGCTAAAATTGGCATTCCGTCTCAACCCGTTATTTTGCTAAATTCAACCTCTAACTGACCTGTAAGTCACTCAATTTTAGATGAGTGCCCTTTTGAAACGCTCCTTCATCGACACGTGGCGGAATCCCGCGATGGCCCGTGCCAAATTCATCCAAAAACTGTTCCTGGGCCTGTTTCTGGGCGCCCTCTACTTCCAGTCGGACTCTGACAACTTTTTCGGGATCCAGAACATCAACGGAGCCATGTACTTCATCGTGGCTGAGCTGACGTACTCCACACTGTTCGGGATTTTGTCGTTTATGCCGGCGGATTTCCCCTTGGTCAATCGGTGGGTTGGAATTTTGGTTGGTTATGTTGTAGTAGGTAGTGGCTCAAATTTAATTTTTTTTGCTTGTTCTCTGGATTTTGAAGAAATTTAAAGTAGAGGGAAAATGGATTTTTTTAGAAATATAAGAGCGAAGGAATAAGAATTTTTTCTCGAGCTCGAGAATGTTTGCTGGATTCGCTACCAATTTCAAAAAGTAGCGGAAACCTCAATTTGCAACCTCCAAAAAAGACGTCGGAAGCAAATCGGCCATTTTGCGACGGCGCAAAATTGGGAGGTAGCAAATCGGCCATTTCGCGACGGCGCAAAATTGGCAGGTAGCAAATCCATGGATTTGCGACGTCCAAAAACAAGCCCCGCCCCCTCAATTTTTCAGCCATCACGTTTTGGCTTTTTTGACGGAAAAACACCGTTTAGGGTGAAAAACTTAGCTGATAAATCGTACATTTACGAAATTATGAATAATAAAAACGTCCCTCTTCATCGTTATAATATTTATTAATAAAAGACGTACGTTTTCATGTAAAATATGCGGTTTTTCCACAATATTGTCTAAATACGGCCGGATAGTCGATGGATGGCGTTGAAGAACATGGCCGCTTACAGATCTTCCTGGAAATCGAAATCAATATAAATTTCCTTCTGATTAGAAGAAAGCCTTCTGTTACCTCATAGTTCATGTGTCTAATCCAAGCATCGAAACGGACATGATGTTGAGCAAAAATACGGCCGACTGGAGTGAAACCGAATTCCAGGCAACAATTTATTACCTAAAAACAGAATAATAATACTTAAATCAAATCTTACCTCCTTTAGCAACTACCACACTGCTTTTCCATTGTCCGATTTCGTTGTTTCTGCCTCCTGAAAACGGTTTGTAAGACTCTTGCCATGAATAATATAAAAAAAAAATTGGAAATCTCGTCTAAAGTCAAAAAATAATAACAAAACAGCTTACCATGGCCAAAAAACGGTTGATTTGATTGATTGACATCCTTGTTATTGGACCTAAAATCCGTTCTCGGACTGCGTGGCATTTCGTTTTCACGGGCCGCGAAAACATTCGCAACTTCATAAATTCTTTTTTCCTGTTTTCTTATGTTTCCTTTTGTTGAAATTGGCCAAATAGATGCAGAGAAGCTGAATTAGAAGACAAACCGGCTGAAGTTGATCGCCATAAACATCGGGGACGAAATTGGCGGGCAAAAAAGGCTTTTTGGCTCCATGGCCATGGTAAGTTGTTTTTTTATTATTTTTTGATTTTAGACGAGATTTCCAATTTTTTTCTAGGCAAGAGCCTTATAAACCGTTTACAGGAGGCAGAAATAATGAAATCGAACAAGGGAATGGCCAAGTGGTAGTTGCTAAAGGAGGTAAGATTGGATTTAAGTATTCTTATTCTGTTTTTAGGTAATAAATTATTACCTGGAAGTCCGATTTCACTCCCGTCGGCCGTATTTTTGCTCAAAACTATGCCCATTTCGATTCTCGGATTAGACACATGCAATATGAGGTAAATGAAGGTGTTTTTTTCTGAAAATGATAAGGAAATTTTACATTGCTTTTGATTTCCAGGAAGGTAATTTGGCGGCCATGATCCATCCCTCGACTTCGGCCATATCTGGCAAAACATGTTCTTCAGTTCCATCCATCGACTCTCCGGCAATGCTTGGACAATGTTGTAAAAAACGCATATTTTATACGAAAATGTACGTCTTTTATTAATAAATATTTTAACGAAGAAGACGTTTTTCTTTCATAATTTCGTAAATGTACGATTTATACAGGGTGACCCAAAATAACGGAGACAAAATTTGATGGGTCCCACCGCGAAAGCTTTGTTGGGTTTGGCCAAATAAAATACAGTGGGGAAATCTCCACTCTTTTCTGTACCTATTGGATACTTTTTCTTGTTTGTGTTACCTCAGGGTCGGCTTTATTCGACATGTCAAGTGAGCGTGGTGCTATTTTGACTCTTTTTCGCAGTGGAAAACGCCAATGTGACATTGTTAGAATGCTTGGAGTACCCAAGCAAACCGTTTCAAAGGCCGTAAAGCGATTCAGAGAGCTTGGCCACGACGGTGACCGTCCGAGGAAGGGAAGGAAACGCACCGTCAACACTGCTCGGAATCGGAAGATCATCAAACAACGGGCTGAAAGGAATTCGTTGGTGTCCATGAGGAAAGTGGCCAAGGAAACTGGCCTAGCCCGTGAATCTGTTAGGCGTATAGCCAAAGAGCATCTACAGTTACAGCCTTACAAGCTCCGAAAAGGTCAATTGCTCACAGAGAAAAATAAGCAGGTACGGCTTGAAAGATGTAAGAATCTCATCCGTCGGCACGCAGGTAAGAACTCAAATGAAATTTTATTTTCAGATGAAAAACTGTTTTCCATTCAGCAGACCTACAACCCCCAAAATTCTCGTCGTTGGTCCTCAGACCGTCCAAAAGAGGATGCCATTGTTCCCCGACGCCAATACCCCCAGTCTTTGATGGTATGGGCAGGGATCTGCGCCTCGGGCAAAACTCCCTTAATTTTTGTTGAAAAAGGCGTTAAGATCAACGCAAAAGTGTACCAAAAGGACATTTTAGAGAAGGTGGTATTGCCATGGTCTGCTGAGCACTTTGGCCAGCGTAGATGGACTTTTCAACAGGATTCGGCCCCGGCACACAGCTCAAAATCCACTCAAGATTGGATTCGGGCCCATTTCCCGGATTTTATCCCTTCGAAGGAATGGCCCCCCTACTCTCCCGATCTCAACCCATTGGATTATTCGATTTGGTCGATCCTTGAGGCCCGAGCTTGTAGCAAGCCCCATGACAATATCGAGTCTCTGAAGGCTTCACTCATCAAGGAATGGAAGCGTTTGACTGCGGAAGAGGTGCGTGCCGCGGCCCTCAACTTCACCGAACGCTTGAAGCTCTGTGTCGGCGCACAAGGTGGCCACTTCGAAACTACTTAGATATGATATTTATGTTATGTAGTACTGTTAATTAAAAAGTTTGTTTGTTGTTATTTCAACCGGTAAATAAATATTAAATTAAAATCTTTTGTCTCCGTTATTTTGGGTCACCCTGTATACAAGCAAAATTTTTCACCATAAATGGTATTTTTTTTGTCAAAAAAGGGCAAAACGCGGTGGTTGGCTGCAAAACTCAGGGGGCGGAGTTTATATGTATTTGGGACGTCGCAAATCCGCGGATTTGCTACCTCTCAATTCCGCGCCGTCGCAAAAACGCCGTTTTGCTACCTCCTCTCTCGCGGAGGTAGCGAAAACGCCGATTCGCGACCGACTTTTTTCGGAGGTCGCGAAAAGAAGGATTCGCTACCGAGACCACGTCGCAAATCGATCATTTCGCTACTTTTTGAAATTGGTAGCGAATCCAGCAACCATTCTCGAGCTCGAGAAAAAATTCTTATTCCTTCGCTCTTATATGGCAAAATTATTCATGGTTTTTTTCAGCTTGCACTTGGCACAAAATTTTTTTTCAGCGAGTACCATGACGGCCTCTACTGTCCGGCCAGCTACTACATCTCCAAAATCCTCTCATTCCTGCCGCTCTTCACGCTGGATGGGCTGATGATGATGATCATTGCGTTCTGCATGATCGCATTGAACAACACGGTGCGCACGCTGTTCGAGCTGCTGGCGACGGGCGTGCTGATTGAGTGGTGCGCCGCGTCGTGCGGCGTGATGCTGTCGACAATGTTCCCGTCGTACACGGTGGCCATGTCGGTGGCGGGCCCGATGCTCACCGTGTTGTCGCTGGTGGGCGGGATCTACGCGAACGTGGGCGAGTTGCCCGTCTGGATCAGCTGGATGCAGTATATCAGCTGGTTTAAGTGAGTCGTTGAGAGGGGGGATTTTGGAAAAAATGGCGATTTTTTGTCGGAAAATGAGGTTGATTTTTGCCATTTTTAGATATGGATTTGAAGCGTTTGCTATCATTGAATGGACCGAAATGGAAACGGATGGATGTGTGATCCCGGTTCAGCATTTGGTGGGTTTGGAGGTGAAGGGCTTTGGAGATGGGTCAAGTACTACATTGGGGAACCTGATCCAGTGGCAAAAAGCGTGCCATTTTGCATCCGGGAAGTATCAAAAATGTGGCAAAATGCTTCCCTCTCCAAGTGAAAAAACTTCGTTTTAAAGGGCGTCCTTTTTCCTCAAAAAAAGAGAATCTGAGTTTTGAAATCTGAGTTTTTTCACTTGGAGAGGGAGGTATTTTGCCACATTTTTTGATGCTTCTTGGATGCAAAATGGTACGTTTTTTGCGACTGGATCAGGTCCCCCACTGTAGTCGTTCCAGAAAATTTTCCCAACAAAATCCAACAACAATTCCAGGAGTCCACCACGACCACGATCTCCAATCGCTCCGCAACGGAGGCGTGCTTTGGAGCCGACCAAATTTTGGATCTCTATTCGCTGAAACGCTCCAATTTGGCGTTGGACGTTGGCGTTATGCTCGGGTTTATCACCGTGTTCTCGGTGATCGGGCTGCTCGCTTTGTTTATCAGACTCAAGCTTTCCCGCTGAGGGATTTATTTTTTACTGACAATAAACTACTGATTTTTTTGGGAATTGGAAAAAAATTTGTAGCCAATGAATTAAGTGGAGAAGTGCTTGAAGAGTAAAGCTTCGTTTTTTAATGAAAGGTGGCCCAAAATCAGATTATTTTTTTTGTCAGACCTTTGAGATTCCAAGCTCCGTTTTGCAGAAACGGCCGAGGTTTTTAAATCGAAAAGTTTCAACAATGCAAAATTTTTTGAACTCTGGAATGAAAATTTTCATGCCAATTTCTACCACCTGATAGTAATGTTTCCACAAGCAATCAATTTTGCCCGCGCGAAACTGGCAAAGATATGGACTAAAAGTTTTTTCCTCTCTGACCGTTCTCCTCGTTTCGCGTACTCTCTCGGCGGCAAAGATCGCTCAATATCTTGGCTCTCCCTGCCAATTGTAAGCTAAAGTTTTTTAGATATTGCGGCCGATACGCAACATATGCATGTGCAAAATTTGTAAAAAATCTAGCAATAGTCATCATACTTGCGGCCCTTCCCTTGCAATTTTCTTCTTATTTTTGAAGTCGATTTATTCGAAAAATACAATGGGAAAATGTCAAAATATGCGGTCCATTCTATTGCTTATTGGTCTTCCTTGCAAGTGCGACGCTCCTTTTCTTGCTTGTCCTTCAATTCGATGCGGCCGAAATCGTAGATCTTCTCCGCCTTTCCGGTGTGGATGTACTCGGGTGGCACGGGGAATGTCAAGACACGACGGCAGGGCTAAAAAAAATCATAGCCTTGGCTTTAAACTCAAATGCTGCAGACTATTTCACAATACTTTTTCTACAAATCAGGCCATAAATTTCGTAGAATTTTGCAATAGTGCGTTTTTTTCGCCGGCGATTTTACTGCCCGACAAGCATAGGCTATGGGCATCTATATAATATAAGATGGGATAAAAACTCACAGCCGGGCCGTCATTGCAGTCGGTGTAGACGCGGAGTTCGGGCTCGATTTGAGTGGTTTCGCGGGTGGTTCCATCCAACTCGAAGTAGCCCTTGCGGTCGGTGACTGCGGCGGCCAATTGGTCATCGCTGTCTCCGGGGTCTGAAAAACAAGCACGTTACGACACTGTGCGAAAATAAAAGTTTTCCTTGCACTGCGCAATTTGTTGTTTTTTGAACAGTGCAAATTTTTTTTGGGCTGTCGTTTTGACGTTTTTTGCATAGTGCCTGTCGCTGAACTCCAGACATGGCAACCGGGCCAGGGCGGGCCGGACCTTGGAAGTTTTGAAAACGGGCCTGGTCGAGCCTATTTTTCAGGCCTCCGGCGACTTTGCAAACGGACTAGCAGTCTGTCGGAAAAATAATGAGCATTATGTCGCTGCGCCGATCACTTTGTTGAAGTGAAAGAAATTTGATTTTGCCGCGGCACAATTCGTTTTCTCGGCGGCGATGCGATTCCGGTGCCACGGAGTGCTCATTATTTTCCCGACAGACATATATTTAAAACATGTAGACTTACTGCGGTCAACATCCCAGGTCTTGACCTTCGTTCCGACCTCTGGAACACCGTTGCAGACGAGGGTGCCCTTGACGGCGACGCCCTGCTTTCGGAAGGCCAAGGCCGAACCGCAAAGCAGGAGGCAGACAATAGCGAGCGACTTCATTCTGTAGTGGAACTTTGTTAATTTAAAAATTGAAAAATGATGACTCTAAGGCTCGAATATTAATATATATTCAACGTAGTAGAAATATAAGTACGTCAAAGGGTATTTGTGGCAAGTTGGCCACAGATTAAAGTTATGTTTGACGTCTCAAACGGACAAGATTACTTCCTGATTGCTGATTGTTTATTACTTTGTTACACAATTTGACGGAAACACCAAATGATCAAAAATCACCCCGTCAGACAAGATTAAACCCTGATCGCTTTTTCTTCAGATTTTTCAACTCAATAACAATGCTATCAAAGAACAAAAAATTTGTTTTCTTATGGCTAAACTGGCTGTTCGGGCTATTAGAAAATAGAAAATTTTACACGTAAATCCAGCGCAGTTGAAGCTATTTGCCGAACAAAACTCTGATTTTCTCCCTACGATCTTGCTTTACCACACTATGTTCCTCCGGATCAAGGCCGGCCTTTTGACAGGCCGAAGATCCCGGCGTGACTGAACGGATGAACTCCTGCAGGGCCATGCTATCATGTCAAACCTCATATTGGTATGTCGGGCAAATAATGTGGATTTGTCGCGCCTTGGAATCTCCCACCAGCTAGCCGCGGCTGAGGATTCGGCAAACTAATGCAGTAAGGCGAGAAGTTGCTCCAACAGCACCATATTATTTTCCCGACAGACCGTTAAAGTAGCACGCCAATTGACTCCACAACGTCCCATCTCACCCATTCAACACAATCAAAACTGAATTTCAGAGGCGATTCTTCTTTCGCTTTTAGTCAGGCCCTTGTTTTATTTATTGTTTCGTTCCGCCCTTGACAGTTGGCGTTAATTTATTGCCCAACGAAGAAATAAACAAGACCGTCAAATGTGTGAATCAACACTTCTGTCCTGTTTTTCGCAGATCGGAAATAAATAACCGGGCCCCGCTGCTTTGGGGGACCTTGACGTTTGATGTTGTGCCGTTTTTCCAAAAATACATTTTATTTTGAGATTCGAGTGAGTCATGATGACATTCGCCTTGAATTTTGTGATCAACGCAACACGAAGATCAAAGGAAGATCGTTCACCGTATTAAGGCGATGATTAAGCATGGCTGCAAACCGGGCCAGCCCGGCCCGGCCCGGGCTTGGAAAATTTGGAAAGCCCGGCCCGGTTCGGCCCGGAAAATTTTTATACTAGGTTGGAAAGAAAGAAAGCGTGGAATGAAAGGAAAATTATGGCAAATTTTCGCAAAATGTAGAGAAATTAGCAAAACCTACATTCATAAGGTCACTTTACATTCGCTATCAGCAGTGTACCCGAAAAAATGAAAAATTCTATCGAAAAAGCTTATTTTTTCCTTTTTTCCCGGAAAAACTCAGAATTCAAAAAAACCGGGCCGGTCCGGGCCGGGCCTAAAAATCGAAGCCCGGTTTCGGGCCGATAAATTAGTCGGCCCGGCCGGGCCGGAAGATTTCGCGAAGCCAGGCCCGGAGCCATGCCTATGATGCATGGCTGGTCTATCAGTATGTCGAGAAAATAATGGAGGGTTGTGCCTTGGGATCCAAAATAAGGCGAGGCTTGGCATTCTGCTGCAAGAAATTTACAGTATTTTTCCCGGCAGCTGATAATATCATAACAACAAATCAGAGATGACTGTGTTTAAAAAATGATGACTCTTTAATCGAAAAAAGATTTTTTAATCATGTTTTTGATTAAAATATATCATTTTGGTCTTTTGATGGTTGAGATATTTTTTGCAAGAATAACACAACACTATTGGTCGCTGAATCAGCAAAATCTTTGCTCTTTATGTTTTTTTGAATTTTGAAATGTTTGCAAATACATAACCACTTCCTAGAAATTTTAGCTTGCGCTGCGCGCAGCCGAGACATTGAGCGATCTCTACGGCCGAGAGAGTGCTGGAAACGCGGAGAGCGGTCGGAAGAAAAAACTTTTTAACCACATTTTTGGAAAGTAATGGTTTATTTTTGTTTTTATATTATAATATATTTTGCTCAAAATAAAAATATATATTATACTTCGTAATAGAATAATACGATAGAGACGGCTACGTGATCATTTTTCGAACTCGGTAACAAAACAAGGCCAGCAACGGGGTGAGCAGAAAGGCAGTATTTATGTAAGGTCGGGTTGAGTCGTTGCATAAACTGCCGTAGCAACAGCATGAGGTCTGAGCGGTCGAAACATTGAAGCAGAAGCCTCGAGGAGAGGAAGTGCCATTTTGCTGAAAAAAATCTATGTAGAGCCTTCAGTAGACGCATTTTGCAAAGGTTTGGAGTCATTTTGGTCCTTTCCGAGATGCAAAATCAGACGTTTTTTGCCATTGCATCAAGTCCCTCACTGTACAGGGTGTACCAATTTTGTGGCCCAACTTGAATTGGCTATAACTTCTTTAATTTTGAGCCAAATTTAAAAATTCTTTTTTTCCCTGATTCCTCAGACGTCCCCAGTCCCAAAAATTGGTACACTTTGTATTTCAATCCCAACTTACATAAAGACATGTGTAAGCAGGCCCGCAGGCCCTGTTAGCAATTTGTGCGGAGAGATCCACAGTTTTGGAGCAAGTATTTATCGCGTTCCCGCAGTCAATTATCGCCAGACTCCGCGGGTTGTTGATGTAGACACCTTGTGCGCCGTTGTAGCAGCGGACGGCGGAGCGGAGCGGGACAAGCAAAAGCGCTGTGAACAGGGTCAGCAGCGGAGACATGTGGCCTGAAAACGCGTATTAGAGCAGTTGAGCGACAAGCTGGCAGAACAAAGATTTACTTACAAGGTCACAACCTTTGACAAGCGCAAAATCTCATCAGAAAAAATCCAAAAATTTATTCAAAAATAAGGTTTATTGAGAGATGAAGAAATGTGTACAACTTCAGTTAGATTCGGAAGAGAAACAATGTTGCTGAAACAGGCACAAGGACGATTCATTTTTGAGAAACGATCACACGAAATTTTAGGATTGTAGACATTCTAAGGGACTGGTTTATTAGTCTGTCGGGAAAATAATGAGCACTCTGTCGCAGCGAAAATCGCGAGATTTTTGTTGCGGCAAATAAAAAATGAATTGTGTCGCGGAAAAATCAAATTTCTTTTCTCTTCAGCGAGGCGATTGGTGCAGCGACATTGCGCTCATTATTTTTCCGACAGAATAATAGACATTCAAAGAGACTGGTTTAATACAAAAACAAGTCTATCAAAGGGAGAAATGTTTATGATTTTGCATAAAAAAAGTAAAAAAAATTATCAAGGAAAGTGGTCGAAGTGCGACGCTCAGATTTTCTCTAAATTCTGCATATAATTTTTGCATAGGCCACATATCGATTCTTGAAACTTTTAGCTGGCGCTTAGCAGGTGTTGCTGAGATATTCAACGGGTTTGCGACAGAGTACAAAAAAAGCGGAGTGCGGTCAGAGAAAAGAAACACTTTTTGGCTATGTCTTTGCCAGTTTCGTGCGAAAAAAAATATTTTTTTTTGGAAACACTACTCTCTACGATAGAAATAGATAAGAGTTTTATATGCCAAAATTTGCCAAAAAATTGTTGTATTTCTGACGACTTTCGATCTAAAAATCTCTTTTGTTTCTGCAAAGCGTGAGCTTGAAGTTTCAGATGAGTCTTAGAAAAAAAAATCTAAATTTGCGCCAAGTTTCATCAAAATCTGAGCGTCGGACTTGGAGCGCTTCCCCTGCTAATCATTGCACCAAATCGACGTAAAAATGAGTTATCCCTTGGCCATTGTTTCTAGCCTTGCTTACGAAACTTGCTTACAATAAAGTTACAAAATTGATTATCGCTTTCAAGAGGTGTGCGTATTACGAATAAAATAAAACTGAAAAATGAAGTTCTTGAAGATTGATCGGTTAAAATATGAATTTACGGCTCTGGAAGCCGAACAGGATTAGCAACGGAATGATCAGGTAGCCAATGTTGACACCGGCACGAACCGAGTCATTGCAGAGATTGCCGTAGCAGCAGCATTGGGTTTGGGAGGTGGAAACGTTGTAGCAGTAGCCCTTGTTGGACTGAGCGCCGGCCTGGAAATGAGAGGGAATTTAGCATAGATTAAATGCTGGGATAGTACTACCATGGAAATGTCAGTTTGTCGGGAAAATAATGAGCACCTGAAGCATTGAAAATTGCTCTACCGCCGAGGAAATGAACTGTCTTGCGACAGAATCAAATCGCTGTCACTTTAAGGACGCGAACGGCGCAGCGATGTTGTGCTCATTATTTTCCCGACAGACTGAGACTTTCCCGATAACTGATACTATAGCCGGTACCCGCGACATAAAGTCTACAGTGTGGCCCAAAACAATGGAAACTTTTTTCCATGGGTCCCGCCACGAAAACCTTGAGGTGTATCCAAATAATTCTTCCACCGTTAAATTCTCCGTATTTTTCTGCCCTAGGTCTCTTATATTCATGCCCATATCGGTTTGTTAACATATTTTTTTGAATGTCAAACAGAGGGACTTCGATTTCCGACCTGTTTCGGCAAGAAAAAGGACAGTGTGAGGTTGATAAATGGCTCGGTGTAGCAAAATCTGTCATGCCAAAATCCACCAAACTTATTCCCCACTTACATAAGTGCAGGTAGTTCCGGGTCCGCAAGACCTTGTGGCGATCTGACCGACAAGATCGACCGTCTTCGAGCAGGTACTAACACCTCCGCCGCAGTCGACAGTCGGCAAGGTTTTTGGGTTGTTCACGTAGACCCCTTGGGCCCCGTTGTAACATTGAATGGCCGATAGAACGGGGAAGAGGGATAGAACAACAAAAAAAGACAGTACGAAGGTCATGATTTGGCAGGGGTTACTGTAACTGCTGGAAATTAATTGTTAGAGGAAAAGTTAGAGATAGTGAAAATTAGTAAATGATTTGCTCGAAAACCTCGATTGTCATGGAAAAATAGCATATGGTAAGTAACGTATATAAATGACAGAGTATAGAAATGTTAAGGAAGTAATAAACAACAGTATTTCAGTTCACAAACAACCACAAAATACATTTTTGCAACAATAACTTCAAATTTGCGATGAGAAATCAATTTTCCCCAAAAAAAAACTTTATTGTAGTAAAAAATGGACGGTTACAATTACAGAGTATTGAAGAAACGGGCTCAAGGACAATTCACTTTTCAGCTAGCGACAAATTGAGAGGAAGATCTTGTTTATTTGGACTAGTATTATATAAAAAGGGTAAAATAAGAGGAAAATTGGGATTTAGTTAGTCGAAAAAATTTTTCCTGTATGGTTTATGAGTGGGACATCTTATTTGAATGAAGTTTTTAGAGCAACAGAAGGGCTGAAACAGAATGCCAAGGGTTTTCATTTTTTGGCGGGAAAAGTGAAATTTGAATTTTTAAAGCGAACAAATTCTGGGAAATTGATTTTTATATAAACAAAATTCGAAACAGGACTTTTTTAGCAAAAAAATGCGAATTATTGCACCAAATCGGGATAAAAATGAGTTATTCCTCAGCCATTGTTTCTAGACGCAAAAATTGGTTAAAACTTTGATTGTAACTTCGAAATACATTTGTGAACACACACCACAGCATCCGTGGATTCTTCCAAAATGCGTATATACAGCATAGTTTGGCAAAAACTTGTCTAAAATACGAATTTACGGCTTTGAAGTGCCAGCAAAATCAATAGTGGCATTACGAGATAGAAAATATTGAAGGCGGGCCGAGTCGTCGCGTTGCACAGGTTCCCATAGCAACAGCAGAGCGTTTGCGAGGTCGACACGTTGTAACAGTAGCCGCGTGGAGAGGCGGTTCCGTTGGCCTAAAGAAATTTCAAAAAATCTTCACTGCATGTCAAGTGTAATATAAAAACTGGCAGCAAAAGGTGTGACAGTAAAAATTAGACAATTTCACAGCATGCAACTCACAAACGTGCAAGAATACGCGGATCCGCAAGTCCGGTACGCCATTTGTCCGACAAGATCCACACTCTTGGCGCAAGTGTTGATCGTAGCCCCGCAATCGACCGTGGGAATGTTGGTTGTCGTCACATAAAGCCCCTGATTCCCGTTATAGCACTGAATGGCGAAGAAGAGGGGGATGCAAGAGGAAGCGATTAAAAGCGATTTGAGGAAGTGCATGATGAAGCGTTGATATTATTAAGCTGGAAAATACTGTACGGTTAATGAACTAACAGTTGAAACTCAAAGTACCGCAATCTCGACAAAGTTATTTTAGTCCAACGGCTTCGAATAATGCGTGAATAATGCGTGATTATAAAAGCATCACAAATATTGCAGCACAAATAATTGTAAGGAAACTGTAGGCCACTAGGAACTCTATCAGTCTGTCGGGAAAATAATGAGCGCTCTGTCGCATCGAAAATCGCATCGCCGCCGAGAACATAAATTGTGTCGCGGCAAAATTAAATTGATTTACACTTCAGCGTCGCATTATTTTCCCGACGGCTAATACATAGCCAAACGTAATATCAACCTGCCAGAAAAATAATGTGGATATGTCGCAGCAAAATGGCACGCCTGGCGCCATTTTAACCGCGGCTACCCGTCGCAAAACAACGATGGGCGATTCCAAAGCACGACAAACCCACATTATTTTCCCGACAGACTGACGCTACAAGACTGTTCGCACAGTCACAGAAGTGACTTATGCGGTGTGCACTGTGAGAAAACAAAAGCTCTGTTTGCATTTGGCAAACGCCAAAAATCACTCCAGCGACTTCGCGAACGAACTATCAGTCTGTCGGGAAAATTACGGCGGGTAGGCGCGCCTTGTGATCGACCGCCCATCATCACTTTGCACCTGCCAGCCTGGGGATTCCGTGCGCGACTGCACACGTTTTTCGGCGAGGCGAGACATTTTGCCCGTCGTTACTTTCCCGACAGAACGAGATTAGTAAAGCTTTTCTCGTTCTGCACGTAGCCAAAAGCCCTCCCTTTACCTCAATTCATGCAGCACTTTAGAAGTTTTTGATGAAAACGTTTTGCCAAAAATTACAAAACCTCACAATACTACAACCTATTACTCTTGTATCATCTAAAAGCAGCTCTTATTATATATATCAACTACAAACCCTTCCCAATTCATAGCGTAAAGCCAAAAACTAGGGCCGACCCAAAGTTCCCAAGAATATATACTAGTAGTGTAGACGTATGACAAGCGCAAGCCTGAATGTGAAACTAAGGACACTCCGAAAGTAGACGTTATTTCCCTTAAATTCCCTACTTTCCCAACGATTGAAGGGCTTCCGAAAAGAAAGGTGGAGATTAAACGCCGCGTGATGAAATGAGAAACACGGTGAGAAACAAGTGTAACAAGCGAGGAAGGCAAGTGTAATGCAAATGTACTTGTGTTCCACGGTCAAAACTGAGGGCAGAAGGTGGAAAAAAAGAGGCTACGACAAGTTGTGGGCAGTCAAAGTAAGAAAAACGGGATGCCAAGGAGAGTTTACCATACTTTTTCATCTTGTTGAAACTACAATACCGTAGAGTAAAAGCGCAACAAAATAAACAAGGGAGTACAGTCTAATGCTTTGTTGTACTAGTCTGTTTGCAAAGTCGCTGGACCGGTGGAATAGGGTTTTTGGACTGTCGCTCGCGCCCTGATCACTCCAGCGACCTTACGCATTTGCTAGTAGCAAAACGTAGGTATATTATCCTAATACAATTTACAACGTAGCTAAGTACACAGTAAGATTAGACACCAACTCTAGGGGCCCATTGGCCCCAAAAATTCCCAAAATTGCAGGGTATATTTATGGCCATTGATATGTGTATAAATCACCTTGGTCCTGGCTTACCAACTTTCTTCCGACTCCTGGCTAGACATGGTTCCGGGGCCGGGCAGTAAATATAAATACTGCTACAATGCCCGTTCGGCCCGGCCCCACAAGGGCCCGGACAGCCATGTCTAGTCTCTATGTGAAAAACCCGTGCAAAAACACTCAACTAAAATAGCAATATTATGCTATGCATATACCTATACATCTTACGATTTCTTTACATTTGCTCAGTCTTTTTTTCCCACGTTAATTCCCTCGGGTAACATGATTGACCAATCTGCGTTGAGTGCGTGCCAAATCACGCAATTCGCAGAACCACAAGGTTCGGTACGCGGAATTAAAACCGCTGCACTCGTGCTTTCCAAACCGTAATATCGCATGTCCTCGGCCGTTTCCTCTCACGCTGCCTGTTTCTTTTGCCTTGGAGGCTATAATTAAGTGGGCCGAAACACCTGACTGTTAATTTGAATTATTTATTTTCGCATTAGGACATGTGCCAAGTTAAAGAATGGAGAGCTCGGAGGGTAGGAAATCAACGAGTGAAGGAGTAAAGTTTTTTAGGAGTACGGTAAAACTTACAAAAACGATTACATAATTTTGGTAAAAATATGAGCGATCACTTTTCTTCTGACAGTCATCCAAAATTACCGTGACAGCCACCCCAACAATGTCCACCAATCCACTTAATTAAAGACTGAACTGAAGGAAGCAAGGCCCATCAAACTTTCTCGGACATTGCCTACTATTCGTATACATTCATTTTCCCAACCTCGAGGCCGCACAAACAGTTTCAAATGTATCCCAGAAGACTACAAAACGCCCCGAAAGCGGCTAGTAGCCATGGGAATTCGAGTGCTCGTTATTACTGGCGCCGGGATCGCTGCTACGATACGCCGGGGTTTCTACGAGTTTCCGCGGACCGAACAAGAAACGAGAGAGCCTGGAGAGCGGCGCTATTTCGAAAGCCGGAATGACCAGCGTACTTTGAATACGGAAGTACTGTAGAAAAAAGGGGTTGAGGAAGTCTGGGGAAATATACAAATTTACAAATTTGTAGGCCAAAGAGCACTTTTAGAGAGAGGCTAAAATGGCGGGGAATGTATGTAGCCTAAAGACAAAGGCGTCGCGGCATTCAGATGTCTTTTCAATTTTGCAAGCATGTCAGGCACAGGCTGACATTTTCACAAAAAGTCTTGAATATTTTAGTTTGAAATTTGTAGGGGCTCAGCGTTATTGGTGGCGCTGAGAGTGGTCATAGCGAAGAACACATTTTTTGCTGTAAATGTGACCCAAGACCGTCCACGCGACTACGACTCAAGATAGAGCGGCTCCAACCCAATTCAGACCATATAAAGCAATGCCAGCAACTCCGAACCTGTCAAGCCAAACCCACCAGCTATTGTATCCAAGTGGCATCAGAGCGAACACAAACTGTTGCGTTCTGCAACAGTACGGTCGGGAAGAGCAAGGAAGACAGAAGGGGGTTGAGGAATAGTGGAGAACAAAGGTTTCAAGAAGAAGGTCAGGACGAGGCGTGAGCCAGAGGGTTAGTTTACTATGCTTTGTTACCTTGATTATTTTTGTGTTGAACAGATTTTTTTCAAAATAATTTTAATTTAAAAATAGTGACAACTCGTACGATTGCAGCGAAAAAAATACGTTCAATTTCACTCTGTCCAATTTCCATGATTGGACAGACCGAAAGTGAGGCTAAAAAAACTTTCAGAATTGCGGAAATTCCAGATCATACTTTGCTTTTTTTATTTATTATATTATCAAAACCAGCGAGTTTCAAAACACATGTACTCGTCCTTCCGGAAAGTCGCCAATTTTTTTAAATTTTTGGGTTGTGCGAAGAAAGCCAAGGTGCGAGCGACCGCCCAAAAAAAACCATTTGCACATTGCAAAGAAAATTTTTGTTTTCTCAGAACAAAAGTTTGTCAATTTCAGTCCGGCGACTTTCCGTAAGGGCTAACTACAGCGGGAGACCTGATCCAGTGGCAAAAAACGTATGACAAAATGTTGAAGGGCGCGCCCATTCCCTCACGAAACGAGCGGGCGCGCTTTTGAAATCGAAGTTTTTTCACTTGGAAGCATTTTGTCACATTTTTGATACCGCCGGAATGCAAAATGGTACGTTTTTGCCACTGGATCAGGTCCCCCACTGTAATATAATAGTCAAATCTTCTAGTCTCTTCAAAATGTTGCCTACTTCCGGCTGTCTGGCTGCTCCGAAATGCTCTTTACATCTTCAGGTCTACTGGCTGTTACTGGCTTGACTTCTTCATCACTCCCAAACAATCCAAACAACCATCTTTTGTGCCTTTCTTCTGACTCGCTAAATTCTTCTGAATACGAAGAACCAGAATTCTTTTCTTCGTCGTTTTTCACTCCGATTTTTCGAGCACTCCCATAGCCATGGTCTTCATAGAGGTTTTGATGACTTTCCGAGGACCCAGAAGTCTCTCCAGAGGCCGTTTCGGAGCCATCAGCGGATCTTATATCCACTCCGGCTTCATAATTCGGTAAAAACCCCTCTTCTGAAGGCAAAACTTCAAAGGCCTCGCGTTTTGAAATTACGGTATCTTCAGTTTTCAAATTGTCATCGTTCTTGGGATCAATCGGAGAGGCGGTTACAGTAATCAGGGTTTTCCTGGCGGTCGTCGAAAAGTTAGAATTCCAAGCAGCTGCTGGTAAAGCAGCTCCATTTGCAGACTTCACAGTCGCACACGGAATGGCAGCAGAATCATCCAGGTCTTCTTCCGCCGCGGCGTCGTCTTCGAAGAAGCCGAGGAATCGCCGGGCTCGGTAGAGGTCGTGTTTTCGAAAGGACTCTGAACGGAATCTGTAGGAAAATTAGTGGTTGTGAAGCGAAGCCGGGGGAGAATTTTTTGAAATGTTTCGTAAAAAAGGAGTGTGCTAGAAGCCCCCCAAACATTTTTTTTGAAAATGGCTCTTATGTTTTTTACTGGAAGAAAGGTCATGTGGTCACTATTTTCCCGACAAACTGATATTATTTTATCATAGTTATCAGTCTGATATTATATCATAAGTCTGATATTATATCATAATATCAGTCTGTCCGGAAAATAATGAGCGCAGAGTCGCTGCCCCAGTCGCGTCGCTGAAATGAAAACCATTCCACTGTAGTCTCAAAAAAAACTTAATTTTCGTACGTGATGATTTCTAACTCCGGGCTCTACATTATTCAATTTGGCACATATCCTAATGCGTTTTAAATAATCTCCATTAACAGCCAGGTGTTTTTCCCGACAAACTGACGAGTAGAATTCAAGAAATTCTGGGTACTTTTCCTAGCCGCCTCTGCTAAAGCGCACTGAAGTCACTATTAGTCTGTTGGGGAAATAATGTGGATTCGTCGTGCCTTGAAATCGCCTCTTATCGCTTTGCGACAGCTAGCCGCGGCAGTAAATTTAGTGCACAATTGCCATAAAGGTTGACATTTTGCACCGACAAATCCACATTATTTTCCCGACTGATTGCTATTACACTCCCAGTATTTTCGTAGTACATTTGCAACCTCCTCCTACCTTCATCATCGTCCGAATTTACATCAAAATCGGTCTGAACGCCCTCATCCACACTCCTTCTCATCTCGTGATATAGATTGGCCGCATTTGCAATCACCGTGCTCGCATACATTATTACAAAAACCACCACAAAAACAACAAAAGTCTTCATTCCGACTAATGTCTGGTCTCCCCCAACGACGATTTTGATTATATACGATAAAAGTGGGGTATTACTAACGGATTGACCTGATTTATTATGGAAAATGCGGACGGAGAAATTGAGAATAGGGCATGGTATTAACTTAGATATATATTTTTGTCTAGAACAACTTGATCAACGAGAAAATGAGTCTGAAACACGTGAAAAATGTCGTGGATTTGTGTAAAATAACTCAAAAATCAGCAAATTTTTTCGAATATTTTTGTACAAAGATAGTTTGGAGTTAATCTTGAGGTAATTCAGTGAATATATGAGCCCTCGGCGAAGTAGGAAGGCCACTCTTTCTTCGTTTTTTCGGCAAACATCATGTCCTTGGATTGCTCGTCGATTTTGAGCGATCTTTTGGTGATCTCGGCACTCTCCTCTTTCGGCAAAAGCGCTTCTTTTTCGTAGTCATGAAAGCCGTAGACGCCGAGGAATCGCTTGAATCTGGCGAATTTCTCTGAAAAACAAAATGGTAAAGCAAAATCATCCGAAATGTCAGTCTGTCGGGAAAATAATGAGCTGCGCCATTCGTGTCGCTGAAGTAAAAAGCAATTTGATTTTGCAGCGACACAATTCATTTTATCGACGGCGATGCGATTTTCGATGCAACAGAGCGCTCATTATTTTCCTGACAGACGGATAGAGAAAAATTATGAAAAAAAAGCACTTTTATCTAGGAAATTTTTGTCCCAAAGGTGCGTTAATCCACTAATCCATCCGGATGATCGCTGGAGTAATTCTAGCGATATGCGCCGTGTGAAAACGAGAGCTTGCTTTGCACTGTGCAATTTTCGGCTTTTTGCATGCAATAGGGTTTTTTGGGCTGTCGCACAGTGGTGCGATTTCAACAAGTCGTTGAAATCGCACCAGCGGCTTTGTGAAAGGACTAGTTGCCTCTTTTTGTCATTGAAATTTTTTAGCTTTTTTGTCTCTAGGTCTTTTCTGTCCCCACTAAAGGAGTGTCTGGTTTTCTAGTAGGCCACCCAGAAAAATTGCGGAACACAGGGTCCCAAGAAAATTTTTCGCTTATTGTCAAATTTTCTTTAAATTTTGCACACAGTTTGCACGTAGGCGTCTTATCAACTCAGAGTTTTAGCCCGCTCTTTACAGCCGCAGCCGAGATATTCAACGATCTTTTTTGCCGAGAGAGTACGTGAAATGCGGAGAAAGGTCAAAGAGAAAAACCTTTTTTGACCATAACTTTGCCAGTTTCGTGCGGTAAGATTTGATTTTTTGTGGAAGTATTTCCCTGTACAGTAGAAACAAGTGACAAACTTTTCATGCCAAGACTGACAAAAAATTACAAAATTTTCCGAACTTTTGACATAAAAATGTCAGTGTTTTCTGTGTGCTAGAAGTCTCCCATTTGACTCAAAAAAGCTGAATATGTATATGTATAATATTTCTATGCCAATTTTCTTCAAATCCTGAGAGCAGATTCTCGGAGCCCTTCTCCTGTCAGCCATTATGTAAAATCTCACCTTCCGGCTCCTTCAGCGTGATCGTCGCCCTCACCGTCACTTCAACCGGATATCCCTCGCGTTTGATTCCATTTATCTTGCCTACGAGCAGAAGAAAAATAATTGAAAAGTAAAAAAACTTCATAACAAACCCAAGGAATGGAAGAGATTCCATGGGATGGTCGTTTAAATTGTCATCGGTTGTAATAATATTTTTATACTTTAAAAGTTAGATGGATGAGAGCGAAGAACCTCGGGAGCATTTGGCTTGTAAACAAAGGCGTTGTAATGGGAACAGAGATGAGCCAAGGGCTTCCGGCATGTTGTACTTGCTATTGATGATGACTTTTTTTGAAATTTAAAGTTCTCAATGGGTAAGACGCGGATTTTTTTGAAATTTGGCACGCAAGATATGCGTGTGTTGCAGATTTATCGCTGAAAATTTTAGCTTTGGCTTTCTGCAGAGAGCCAAGATATTCAGCAATCTTTGCAGACAAGAGATCATAGAAGCTAATAATTGATGACTTTTTTGAAATTTAAAGTTCTCAATGGGTAAGAGGCGGATTTTTTTGAAATTTGGCACGCAAGATGTGCATGGGTCGTAGATTTATCGCTGAAAATTTTAGCTTTGGCTTTCTGCAGAGAGCCGAGATATTTAGCAACCTTTACGGCCGACATATCATAGAAAATTAAGAGAAAAGGAGAGAGAAAAAACAATTGAATTTCGACTCAAAAATTCCTTTCAATATATGATTTATTACAGCGATTATTCTCAATAAATAAAAATCAATTCAGCGTGGTTCAACACGGATGACTTCGACTCCCCGGCCGGGCGCTGCATCGACCTCGGGGTAACTGTCGAGTTGAAGAGAGCAAGCTAAATACACCGCGTGTTTGCATGGCTTCTTCATGGATCCGAACTTGCAAGTGCATGAAAAGGTTTTTGGACCGGTTTTGCGGAGGTGATAAACCTAAAGTAAATAATATAAAAAATTATCAAAAATCTCAAAATTTTTTTATGAAATCGCTCTGAACTCACTTGAAATCTCGTTTTGGCATAGTCCTCGAAAGTTTTGTACGTCGAGCTGTATAGAGAGTCGATAAGTCTCTCCTCAATTTTAATCTTGCCCGCACTTTCGCTTGGCATCAAATACTCATCGGTTCCCTCGATCCCAGTGATCGACCGACCATACAAACTCAAGCTATACGCCTCACTGTACAATGGTTGCGGTATTTCCGTCGAAATCGCGTCCTTCTCCTCAATCCAGTCGACTTGAATGGTCTTTTGCAGCCATTTGTTGAAGAACTCGAATTTCATCTTCTCCCGCAACGAATGCACTCGTTTGATGGCATGGAACTCGCTCTCCAGCGCCTCGCAGGTCACTGGAAACGGACTGGCGCCCTGATACCAATAGCAGTTGGGTGAGGAGAGCCAGGAAGTTGTGAAGTGATCCAGGACCGGCTCCGCTACTCCGAGCTCTCGCCATCGGTCCACGGCTTTGGCGGAGGCTGGAAATGTAATATTAATCTTGTCAGATATATCATCAGTCTGTCGGGAAAATAATGACCACTTTCAATAATCACCGTTCTTGCACCGTGCACTCAGCTTTTTTTTTTTTTTTGGTTTTGCACTGTGCATTTGAAATATCGCTGCGACATAAGCATTTTCACAAAGTGCTTGGAAATCATTTCGCTTTCGCACAGTGCATCTTGAATTTTTGTCGCCAACGCACTGTGGATGTTTGCCTTTGCGCATCGTGCAAACCTCAAAAAAAGCCGATTGCACTGTGCACATTTTTGAGCAAAACCGCAGTTGAGAAAAGCTGACGTCGCGGCGATATTTCAAATGCACAGTGCAAAACCAAAAAAAAGGTGAGTGCACTGTGCAAAAAATCGGGGGCTTTTGTGCACAGTGCGCGCCGCGACAAATGTGCAGGCACTTTGCGAAAATGCAGCGATATTTCAAATGCACAGTGCGTGCGCAAAACCCCGCGATTTTTTGCACCGTGCACTCGCCTTTTTTTGTTTTCGCACTGTGCATTTTAAATATCGCTGCGATGCAAGGTTTCCCCGACTGCGCCGTCGCGATTTTGATCAAAAATGTGCACAGTGCAATCGGCTTTTTTGAGGTTTGCACGGTGCGCAAACGGGAAATTCCACAGTGCGTTGGCGACAAAAGTTCAAGATGCACTGTGGGAAAGCGAAATGATGCCCGGGCACTTTATGAAACTACAGGGTGCGCCAAAAATATTGGGACTCATATTTTTACTTGCCCTGCGGGCTGTAATGGTACAAGAGCAAATTGGTCGCTTGTGCAAACGTGCAATGCTTCCAAGAATCTATCTTCAAAGTTTCAGACAGAGTAGTCGTATACGACACCTGTTCTGCCATTATAAGTGCTCACAACTAAGGTCCCCGAGACACGGACCCCAAAATGGATAAAAATTGGAAACACTAGTTTTACCGTTGCATGCTATGGCAGAAATTCACTTTATATGACAGAGTAGCGGTCGCTTTCCATACACTAAAAATGATTTTTACTTATAATGACGATTACATCTTTTACAGCCCGTCAAAGTCGGCCTAAAAACGCGCCGTTTTCCAGAAAACTTCCGTAAGATCAAAGATTTTTATGTAGAAGTTTCCATGTAAGGTTCCCAGCGTATTAAGCATCAGAGATACTTTTATAAGGACAACGAGAGTCTGACTAGTCGTCTTTGACAAATTATTTTTTTATCTTCTGCCTCTGGGGGATGAAATAGTGACTACAGCGGTAGAAATTACTCTAAGGTTGCTCGTCAAGTGATCTTGGACTGACGATCGCTAAAAGTAATTCAGTTGTGTCAGCATGTATCCCGAGTATAGCGTTACGTCGATTTTTACGCTCAAGTACTTTTCAACTTGTAGTAAACTGCCAAAATATATCAAGCTTCGAAGGACCGTGCCTCCAATCCGCACCATAAAGTTTTTTCCATACAGAAACTGTCCCCTTGTAGGCGTAGATTTTCTTTTACAGTATGACAATTCCCTATGTACACACTCTATAACCACAAAATTTTAGAGCAACACGGGCGATACTGTGGTATTGAGATCGTTAAAAACATAAAAATCCGAACTTTCGGGATTTTTTTTGTTTTTTCGACCAGCGCCGCCATATCGGTCGTCAACCATGATTACATACGTTGTTACGAAGTGAATAGCATGTGCTTTAAACACAATAAATTTGAAGGATCTTACTTTCCCTTAGCGGAAATAATGGCCAAATTGATTTTCCGGTCATCCACTTGAAAAGAAAATTTTGGTCCCATAAAAACTTTTGAATATTTTTTCAAGTTTGCAATAGGCCCCAACCCTGGCATTACCGTTGCCGTATAGCAAGACTGTTACCCTTGCTAAAACGGCCAAAAGTTTTGATTCCAAGGCCAGCCGAAAAAAGCTACACGGAATTGATCTTTGTCCCAATATTTTTGGCGCACCCTGTACTACATTTACTACCCTACTCACCATTACTGAACTGCTCATCGGTTAGAGCAAAGCCGAGGGTTGCGATATCCCTTCGAATCGCTTCAATATGCTCCACGGATTCGGCTGATTTGTTGACCTTTGCCTCCACGTCTTTGCTGACTTCCCGAACATCATGTAATCGTCGAGCTTCTGGGAATACCTCCTGGCAGCACTCAGTAATGGCCGGGGAGATGTCGGACTGAACAAACTTTAGCGGGCTACTCTGTTTCGCCGCTAAAATCTTGAACAGCTCTGAGATCGGATTTTTGTGAATTCTGGAGACCAACGCCAAATATACCGGTCGAAAAACGTTCCCAACATAGGTGCCGGCAAACAGCATGACATGAGACTGCCTGGAATTACATCAGATGACAAAACTGACTATAAATTTTGAGTGTATTAACTTATCCTTACCAGGTCAGATGAGGAACTCCATTAATTGCCAAAAATTCACTCTCACTTTGGATTTTAATCAACGATTTGGTCGACCAGACAATACAAAAGTCACCGTGCCGCTTATACGGAGTTGAGCCCACCACAAACACTGCATTCTCGTCAGCCGGCTCTTTCGAATTCTCCGCGATATGGTTGATGATCTCCAGGTCCTCCAGTGTAATCAATGTGGGCTTCGCGGCCTCGGTTTTGAGACGCTTGCAGATCATGTGGATCTGGTTTATCGAAGGCACTTTGGACGGGTCTTCCGTTTCTTCCTGAAATTATATTACACATGACATCACAAGAAAAAAACTCATTACCAAAAGAGTTTCTCTGATCTTTTTTGGTTGGAATTCCTCATCAAACAGCTCCTTGACACGTCTCTTCAGCGCATTTGTGAGTTTCGCCGTAGCCACATGAGCATCTGGGTTGTGGGGGACGTCGATTGTGTGGTAGCTGACGGTAGGCTCGTAGGCGCTGTAAACCACCTTGGCCCGAAAGCCACAACCACGAGAAGAGCATCTGTAAGTCAATTAGGTCAAGATTCACAAGATTCATCTAATTGTACACTTTTTTGGGATAAGATTTTATAAAAAAACCCCCAAAAATTTATACAGGGTGGGGCATCTTTGTGGCTCGATTTGAATTGGCTATAACTTCTTTAGTTTTTGGCCAAATCTTAAAATTCTTTTTTTTCCCTGAATCCTCAGACAACCCTATTTTGTTTGATACCAAATATGTTATACATAGGTAAGTGCCATCTACAGTTATTGGATTTCTTCCACACCGTACTCCATTTTCGGACACACCGGGAAAGACCGAAAAAACAACCGAAAAGCGACCGTAGATAATCGTTCTATGTATAACATATTTGGTCTCAAAAAAATGGGGTTGTCTGAGGATTCAGGGAAAAAAAGAATTTTAAGATTTGGCCAAAAACTAAAAAAGTTATAGCCAATTCAAATCGGGCCACAAAGAAGCCCCACCCACAGCATTCCGAATTATTTTTGCCGCCGACCGGCGTCCGAAAAAATGAAAAAATGAGATTTGCCTCTTACATTTTTGCCAATATCTCGCTAGCCTCGAAGTGTAACGCGAATCTGAAAATTGTGTTTACAAGCTGACACATTTGCCCTTCAGAATATATTAATTTTGTAATGATACTTATTATGTACGACAAGGAAACCATTGCTGAAAAATGACAAATTTCAACATTCAATGCCAGAAAAATGTACTTTCTAAGTGCCAAATCACAAAATTATGGGCTTCATTGGATACAGCATCTTGAATACTATAAGATAAAACAATTTCAGGCATTTTCTGGCCCGATTCGCAGAGTTATAACCGAAAAACTGCAATTTTGGCCTTCTTATTGAGCTATCTGCACTTTAAAAGTACATACAAAAAAACATTTCTATGATTTTTGTTGCCCAGGTTGTGATGGACCACTGTGCAAAATCTCAGCTTTCCAGGACTCCTCCGAAAAAAGTTATAACGGTTAGAATATGTGACCCTTGTATGCCCAATATTTTGTAAAATACGGTAAACTACGGTGCAAGATGGCTTTGTATGATGGAATTCCTATTGCTGCTGTCGCGTTGGTTGGGGTAAAAAAAATTTATCGCAATTACACGGTCAACTACATATAAAAATTTCCCAGCTATGTCCCCAACTTTTCACTGTTTTCCCTTTAGTATAGCGAAAACTTGAAATCGTGTCCCTCGTGCGGAAAAATCTGAGAAACAGTGTTCAGGTTTCGAGTAAGTTTACGTAGGCCATATAGAGCTATTTTTTACCATGGTGTACTGTATTTTACAAAATATTGGGCATACGAGGGTCCCATATTGTAACCGTTATAACTTTTTCCGTAGAGGTCGTAGAAGGTTGAGATTTTGCGCGATGGTCCATCACAACCTGGGCAACAATAATTTAAGAGGGATTTCTTGTACGTACTTTTAAAGTGCAGATAGCTCAATAAGAAGGCCAAAATTGCAGTTTTTCGGGTATAACTCTGCAAATCGGGCCAGAAAATGCCTGAAATTGTTATATCTTATAGTGTTCAAGATTCTGTACACAATGAGGCCCATAATTTTGCAATCTGGCACTTAGAAAGTACATTTTTCTGGCATTGAATGTTGAAATTTGCCATTTTTCAGCAACGGTTTCCTTGTCGTACATAATAAGTATCATCACAAAATTAATATATTCTGAAGGACAAATGTGTCAGCTTTGAAACACAATTTTCAGATTCACGCTACACTTCGAGGCTAGCGAGATATTGGCAAAAATGTAAGAGGCGTATCTCATTTTTTCATTTTTTCGGACGCCGGTCGGCGGCAAAAATAATTCGGAATGCAGTGCCACCCTGTATTATACTTTAAGTCATCATACCTGAAATACTCAACCTCCTCTCCTTCCGAATTTCGATAGGAATGATCGCGCTCAAGGCCTTCCGAACCCTCGGCTTTCCACCAGCCCTCAAATGCTTCAAAGCTCTCAAATTTTCTGATCTCTTTGTATTCGAATTTGGGCCTTCGGCCAGTTCGTTTGTTCGGCTTTTTGGTTGATTTTTCCGCCATTTTATGGCTAAAACGACCAAATCAGAAAGGATACAGCAACAAGAAATATTCAAAAAAGCCTTTGCAGGCCATCTCGCGCAATTTTTAACACATTAATACCCCAAAAACTCAAAGAAATCTCTCATTTTACCTAGTACAACATAGCAAATGTCACAATCTAAAATAAATCCCTATTTTGCCCGCAAAACAACAAGAGATCCTGCATATTTGGTGGGGTGAAAAACAAAAATAACAGAAGGGAACCACAATTTTTCGGGCGCTTTTCTTTTCGAGCACACAAAAAAGGCGACTTCCATGCGGAGAGAGCGAGAAAAAAGGGGTGAGAGAGAGAAAGCTTTCGGAGGGAAATGTTTTCGGGTGCTGAGAGGCCGTTCCGAAGGTCATGCCAAACGCTTCACTGCTCTCTGCGTTCAAATTGGGGCAGTTTTTTCGGCTTTATTTCAAGTGCAATATAAGCCAATTGTAATATAAATTTTCAATCAATTTCATGCCGGAAAAGCTCTGTAATGTTCAACAAAGACCGATAAGTCTTCTAGATCGCATTTTCAAACGTCTTAAAGTACCAGTTCGTCAAAAAATGATCAAAACATCCTTCTCACCAAGTATAATATAAAACATCTTTATAAGCAAAGTTTATTAACTAACCAATCAAAGTACTGTGAAACTTGATAACCCGGATCAAGAAATATTGATAACAACAAAAGTTAGGAGGCTAACCCCTTTGGCCACCAGCCTACAACATGAATTTTGAGATCACGGTTGAATGGCCTGAGGGGTACAAAATTTATAAGATTGACTCAAAATTTCACCTTAATCACTGATATTTGAAATGATTTAATTTAATCCTCCTCCTCCTCATCACTCTCGGCCAGGGATCCATCATCTTCGTCTTCCTCTCCAAAGTCAAAAATCCCGGATTCCTCTGCGTATTCGACCAGTCGGTCGAACTCGGAGCCATAGCAGTTGAGGCCCATTTTCACATGTCTCAAGTTGACCAAGTCTTCTGCACCGAGGATCAGTTCGATAATTTCTTCAGCAATCGAGGGTGTAATCTCGTTTCCACTCAGGTCCAAGTACTAAAAATCAAAATTCTCAATTGGAATATAACTCACCTTCAATCCTAAACAATTCTCGACCAAAGCTGCGACAACATCGACGGCTCCTCGTCTGCAGAGACAATCGCCAATATCAACATGTTCCAAGTTGGGTAAGAAAGGAATGGCTTCGGCCAGGGCTCTTGCTCCTTCCTTATCGCAAGTGTTGTCGTTCAAATTCAAATACCGAAGATTCGGACAGCCTTGAATACCCTTGGCTAGCGCGACAATACCCTCCTTTTTGATTCCGTTCTGTGGAAGTTCGATTCTCTCAAGTGTTCCGAGGATCTGAAAGATTTTTACATTATACATTGCATCAAGACAATAAGAATGTCAAAATCTAAATTAGAACTTACATTAAAGGCCCGTCCCAAAGCAATAGCTCCATTATTCTCCTGCCGATTTCTCCCAGCGATAAAAACTTTCAATTCAAACTTCTTCCCAGCTCTGGCTGCATTTGCCTTGCATTGCTCTAGACGATCGGCTATCGTAATACCAGCGGCTCCAAGACCACAATTGTTGAAATACAACTTCCGCAGGCTAAAACACGGCGACGAAGATAGGAATTCTTGGATTCCGGGGATGGCCATAGGTCCAATTGCATTATCACTCAAATCCAGCTCATCTAAATGAACGTCGGCTTTGATCATGGCGTCACTTAGGTTTTTCTAAAATAAAATCGGTTGAAAAGCCTCTGTGGAATCTAAACACCAAAGAAATTATGAAAACAAACACTTACTAGGACCAATGGGATCTCGGACTTCAATCTGCCCGTAAACATGTCGGCAAAAATGGCTTCTCTCAAGGTCGGCTGCCTGGAGAGTGAATCAGCTATCACCTTAGACGCATCAACTCCTAGCGTGTTGCCAGACATGATAAGACATTCGATCTTGGCTACGGCATCGATCATGTTACTGATTAGACGACCTAAAAACATACAGGGCAATATACAAACACGTCGATTCCAACATAATCTAAAAGACGTCAGATTTCGCCCAATTTTTAGCTAAAAATCAACCAAATTCGGAGTCTTACCAGTTTCCTCGGTGTCCAATTTCATTCCGAGATGGTTAATTGACAATGTGGCCTTTCCGGACTGCATTTTACCAAGGCCAAATAAATTAGTGTATAGCAATAAAATTTAGGAACACAAATCTAACCGTTTAGGTGTAAACAACAAAGTGCAGCAAGCAAAATTAGCACCGAGATGAAAAAAAACTTTTGAAATAACGATGAAACCTCCACATGCAACGAAATGCCAACAAAATTGTTTGCGTGGTGGAACCCAGGCTATTTAGCGTCAGTTGGAGAATACGAATTCCTGCGGGTCCAAATAAAGTCATTTATCCTCAAAAAACATTTTTCACAATATTACAAACATTTCTATTAATCCAAATCGTCCTCTTCGTATTGTTTTTCCAGAGCTTTCTTCTCGAGCAACTTGCTCACATATTCTTCAATTTCGTTGAGTTCCATGTCAGTCGAGTCGTCTTCCGGGTCATGGTCACGATATTTCTCGGCCACGTCTTTGCAGAAATTGTCAAAAGCAATGTCCTCGTCTTTCTGATCAGGTACATCCTCACCATCACTGAGCTCCTGGATCCTCGAACTGTCGCTGTCTTCTACGGTGGAAAGGGAGTTGGCATCGTTTGTGGACTCCTCAACTTCTTCCGAACCCTCCTCCTTGGAGCTCTCATAATCCTTTTCGTCAAACTCCTAAAGACAGGATACAAAAAGAAAAATTTATATTACCTTATCCTCTGCTCCACTGCCCTGACATTCCTTCAAAAATCTGATGGTGGCGGCCATGCCAATCAAAACAGAAGTCATATACATGACAACAATTGTGCTGAGGCTAAAGTGTTCTTGGAGAAATTGAATTACTCCATAGGGTTTATGAAATTCATCGATCTTTTCCAAGGCTCTTCTGATACCAGCTATTTTGGCGGCTTCGGCTGAAAAACGTTGAAAATCTTTTGAACCAAAGGTTAATCTTACTTCCAAACGCTGTCAGATCGACCGTAGTGACCCCAGCATCCTTCAAATTGACGTTTCCGCCATATTTCAGAAGTAAAACATTCTTTTCAGCGATATTATACTTGATCAGTTGATGGTTCAGATCGCACTTCTTTTCCTCACCATTTTGAACAACTAGGAATACAGTATTCTTTTCAGGACTTCCTTGGCTCACAAAGCCCTCGATTTGATCGCACGCAGTCTTGTCAGTTCCATAGATGGGCAGTTTCAAAGTTCTTTCCATGGGGAAAATACAGGAAATATGAGCCAAAGCCGATCGAATTGCGTAGTCAGCACATTCCTAAACGTCGAGCAAATTGAATATTTTGCTCGGAAAGTAAAATTGCAATCACTTAAAATTAGCCTAACCTCATCTTCGTTGAAAAATGGAAGACCAAGTTTAATATTCCAACTTCTTCCGTGGTATCTCGGAATCTGAAAGGGTCTACAGTTCACTTCGATCTCCTCGCATTCTTCTCCATCAATCGAGTCGTAGAGGTTTTCAATTTTCTTATCTTCCGCTAGTTTCGACTCCTCGGAACACGAAGTTGGAGCAGTGCATTGGCCTTCATCTTCAGCGGCGACAAACAACACGAACAAAAACAACACCCAAATACATTGCATTTTGCAGTCAAATGAACTTATTTCTCAATTTTTTTAGTTTGATGACAAATTTGCATAAAATTAATTATGAAAAAAATTTGAATATCAGAATTTTGTAAGAATCGAAACTCCCAAAAAATGCGGTAAAATGAATTTATTGGCCGGAACGGAGATTGGAAATCAGTAATTTCAGTGGCCTGAGAGGTCTTCTTCCTTGTTGCAGCTGATCTCTTCACTCTCTAAAATCAAATCACTCGTAGAACATAATCAAAAGGGCTAGCAGTTAGTAAAATAGTCTAGACTTGTCGACCAAAACATAAAATCCTCGAAAAAATGGCCGAATAATTCAAGATTAACCTTACACTTGACCTATCTGGAGTTCAAAACAAAATGCTTAAAATTTTCGCCAGATTTGGAAAAAAATTAGTTTTTACTGGCCCTAACAGACGATATAAGCAGGGGTGGTCAGTGGGCCGGCCCGGCCCAAACGGGCCGGCCGGGCTCAAAAATGGAAAATTACAAACGGGCCGGGCCCGTCACGGGCCGGGCCGGGCCGCGGGCCTGGGGTTTTTCCGGCCCGGCCCGGCCCGTCTAAATTACAATGCCAAACCGTTGGCATTCATTGTTTTCGCGCCGGGAAAATTAATTGATGTTGTTATAGTTGCTGTTTCTCAAGTTCTAAAACGTTTACAAGTCTATAGTTCCATTATAAAACCACAAAACTATCACATTGATCCTTTACTAGCTAGATCAACGCCTTTTTTGCCTATGTTTAGATCCCAAGCTTGGGCGCAGTTCGCAGAACCCTCTATAAACGGGCCTGCACGGGCCGGGCCGGGCCGGGCCAGGCCCGTCACGGGCCGGGCCGGGCCTGGAAAAAGACTAGACGGGCCGGGCCGGGCCGGTGATTAGACGGGCCGGGCCGCGGGCCGAAAATCGGAAAAATAGGGTCCGCTGACCACCCCTGGATATAAGATCCACCGAGTATGGTCGGTCTTACCTAAAAGCAAATCAACAAAACAAATTAGGCTTACCTCTTCTGTCCTTCTCGGAGTCCTCCGGTTGCGTCGGCTCGGTATTTTCGGTAAATCTCTTTCGCATGTGCTAAAAAATACCCACTCATAACTTTACGCAATTAAAACTTCGAAAAAACCCTTAAATCCGCCCATAAAACTATAAAAAACATACATGATACCACGTCTGATATTCTCGATCGGTATTGTTCACAGAACTGGCCTGTTTCGAGAGTACCTTCGGTTTCACAACTTCCTTCTTGGATGCCGAACGCCGTTCTGACTTCTTGTCAACGATAGGACCGTGCTTCTCCTTGCTTGGCACCTTCTTGGCCACCTCCGCAGACTTGGCATCCTTCGAATGTTTGATGTCCGCTTTTGGTTTTATAGGCGGGGGATCAATAACGAGTTCGGATGAGCGACCCTCAAGAGAAAACTTCGAGCCATTTTCGGATCTTTGAGTCGGTTCGGTCTGAAAATTTTGTAAATTTTTGGTATCTTTGATACTACAAGTCGTAAAACAAGAGAAGCTTGGTGAAAATAACCGTAAAAACGCAAAATTCAAAGGTCATTAGAGGCCATAAACATCACAAGCGATAATCATCAATGCCACATCCAAAAAGAAAAAAATTCGTGATTTTCGGATATTCACCATGAGAAGTTCATCTAAACCCAAAGACACTCAAAAATCTCAAAACAACTTACATCCTCGGGGAATTTGTTCTTGTTCTTGATGCTTTCGACCGGCACAACACCTTCTTTCGCGCTTTCATCGAATGTCGCGCAATGCTTTGAACAACAACAGCCCATTGAGGAGATAACTCGACGCAATCAGTTGAACATTCAGTTTCGGTCAGACTTCAAGGCTTTGAAAGTCGACCGGTAAATGCTGAGCAGTGAGGGAAAATGAAACCATTCTCGCCAGTTTTAATTGATGTTTGGGAAGTGCAAAAAACAACAAAATAAAAATTTCACAATTACGAATAACGTTGAGCGTATAAAATGTCGCGTGCAGCGTGCAGAAAGTAATTCGTCTCGGAAATCCGTCATACTGACGGATTTTGTAAAACAGTAATTTGTGGTTGTCGCCGAACCTCTAATATTGCAGACGGCTCCCGTCCAAGGCGTGTTTAGGCTGCAAATGAAACGCCAGCACAGACTCGAGGTGGACAAGCCCGGAGTGGACCGGGATTGGCGGCTAGACGACTTCCAGTTGGGTCGTCCACTCGGTAAAGGCGCTTTTGGGAGCGTCTACTTGGCCAGGGACAAGTATGAAGAAGTTCCCATTGCGATAAAGGTTTGTTCCATCATACTTTGTATCAATTACCTTTTGATCTTCCATGGACAATATAATTTTGATCGTAGTTTAGATAATCTTCAAAAGCAAGTTGAAATCAAGAGAAATGGAGGAGAATCTGGTCAGAGAGATCACAAATCATACGCATTTATTGTAGGTGTCTTTCTTTTTTGTCTTTGAATTTTAGGTAACATTGCACAAGATTGATCTCTATTTGCAGGCATCCGAACATTTTGCGGCTTTATAATTACTTCTACGATGACCGAAAAGTCTACATCATGTTGGAGTTAGCGTTGCATGGAGAAGTCTACAAGGTTTTGCAGAAGTGTAAACGGTTTCACGAAATCGACGCGGCTAAAGTGAGGTTTGTATTATAAGTCATGTAATTTTGCTACTCGTACTGGAAAGAGCTGTCGCAGAGCTCAGTTCTAACTTGTAATTTATTTTTATCATCAGGATGCTGAGTGAGAAGGAAGAAGGAACTAATTTTTACATTGTTTTAGTACATCTATCAAGTCTCCGATGCGTTGGACTATTGTCATGAGAAGAAGGTGATTCATCGAGACTTGAAGCCCGAGAATCTGTTGTTCGACGAGGACTACAACATAAAATTGGCAGATTTTGGTTGGTCCGTCCATTCTACAAACCATAGGTATGTCTGATATTACACTTGAAATTTCTTTAAAAATTTAGGCGAACTTTCTGCGGAACCTTGGACTATATGGCGCCGGAGCTCGTTCTACAGAAGGCACACTCGTTTCCAGTGGATTATTGGTGCGTCGGCGTGTTGTTGTTCGAGTTTTTGACTGGGGATGCCCCCTTCTACGCGAAAAACGAGGTGGCGACAATGAAGAGGATCCAAACCGGCCTTTTTAAGATCCCGAATTTTTTGAGCAAAGGTGCTGTCGACCTAGTGCAGAAGGTAATGTGTCAATTCATCTTTTTTGAATTGTTCATGACGTCAATTCATATTAACCATGACGGTTTTAGTTAGTCCGGCTAGAACCCAAAAAACGGTTAGACCTCAAAGGAGTCATGTCTCATCCATGGATCGTGGAGCAATTAGCCGCCAGATGTAAAGCACAGGAAATGTAAATAATGACAAGAATAACTTTAACTCCAAATATTTTTTACGTATTTTAAATATATTATATGTTCTGTATAAAAGATTGGATAAACATACTAACTTATTACTCAATAAAGGTTAAAGTGTTTTATTTCATATTCACAAGTCCAATAAATAGGTTAGTGTTAAAAAAATATATGTATCTACCGTTCACATTGGTCAAAAATTCGATTAAATTCGTCGACCGAACCCAAATATCCCGGCAGGCTGAGATCCACAGCATCGTCCAAGAATTCTTGAAGTTTCTGGATCAAATGATTCCAGTCTACAGCTCCATTCGAGTTCAACAGTTCTTTAAAAATTTCGCTCCACATAATTCCATCGAGCCAGGCCCTAAAAACCGAAATCAATGGGGACAAAGGTCACTTACGACTTGACGTAATGCTCCGCCAACCCCACTTGGCCACCCAAAACTCTCGTTTTCAACGGGCTTCCAAACATCAAGAAGTGCATGCAGGAGAGGTAACCTCGGACCGATTCCTCTTTGTTCTCCTCCATCAAACAGCCGGGATCATCCACCACCACCAGGAGGTCATGTTTCAGCAACTCGCCAAATGTGGCGTCTTTTGGGATCCTAAAATTATAAAAAAAAAATATAGAAATTACTCACTTAGAATTGAAATAAACTCGGCGAGGTTCGACGACTCCCTTCATTTTTCCTCCACTGATCAACCGCGCCAAATGATAGCCCACCACGGAGAAGACACCTTCCAAATCTTTGTGCGGAGCAGACACCAGATCCTGAAAATCTCACCGTAAAAATTTTGACAACTTCTGGGGCAACTTGTTTTATCCGACCAACTCACCAAGAACTTGACTCCGTCGACTCGTGGAGCACAGAATCTGTTTGGTTTTCCGGGGGTTCCCAGTAAAAATGAATTCTCGACATTTCGCAGAGGTCTGTCGTAGAGACGCTCCGTGTCGTTCAGATTGGCGACCTTCTGCTCTTGAGTTTTGGGCTTGAACAACATCAACGTGTCCTCAGTCTCGACCGGAGTCGAAAACAGAGCAGTTGTCTGTCCATCAACATCAGTAGTCACGTATTTCTTGAGGTCATCACTAAAAATCGAAAGTCTAACAAGCGAACCAACTTACCAAACATTCTCTCTGAACTCTTGCGGGGAAATGGTGCAGTTCCGGAAGCACTCCTCAAATAACTCATTGATCTCGTCAGCTCGATCCTCCTCGAGCAACACCTCGCCAAATACTGAATAATATTGCCAGTAGAACTTGGACGTCTCCTTCAGCATCTGCATGAATTTGACACGATCCATGGAGCTGCTGTATCTGGACTAAAATCGCTAGTTTCAATTGGCATCTTAAACTTGCCATCGTTTTGTAGCAACGCATCAAAGGCTCTACTTGCGAATCGTCCTGGAAGTCCGGGTTGTTCAAGGAATTCAGCAACAATTTTCGGACCATCACCGGCTTCGCTTGATCCACGCAAAACTTCTCCAGCAATTCCGTCATCCTAAAACACAAACATCCAAAAAATTTCAAACAAACTTACGCTAGCAGTATTGAATACTTCTCCGAAGCCGGCACATAGTTCAAGACCCTGAAAAAGTCAAATTATTTGGAAAAAGTAGCTAAAATACGGCAAAATGCAATGACTTACATGCTAAATGCATGATTAAAAGTGTTGACAACAGCTGGAAGGTTCTCTTCAGACATATTTCTGGAGAAGGTCGTCGAAAAATAATTTTTATGAAAAAATGGAAATTCAAAAACGTGTTGGACCGGGCTTTCGGTGGAACGAACAACGAGCCCCCCGTTTCTCCGCCCACTTTCAAAATGCCAACGCTTTGGCATTCATTGTTTTCGTGTTGGGGATTCGCATTTGAGGGATGAAATTGCTATATTCTAATTTTTTGGGGTTGCTTATTGTTGTATTGTAATATTTTCAGCTTTTCGTAGCTAAAACTTTATTTCTTTGTGCCACAAGTTGTGCTTTATGAAGGTTTGTAGCGAAAAATGCGATAAAGCCAGAGCAATCTAGGCAGCTCGCGCCCTCGACGAGACGTCTTTTCGTTTTCTCTCTATTTCTTTCTTTTCTCCCACCACGACACCAATTTTCAATGCCAAAAAATTCTGGCTTTTTGCAATAATCAGAAGAAATAATTTTTAGTCGATTTTCAGCTATTTTAGAAGCTATTTGCAGTTATTTTCGGCCGCAACATGGACAAACCTTCCACCTCTGCGGCAGCAGACGATGAACGTCGGAAATCTGTTCGTTTCCAAGCCAAAAAGGAGGAAAGTGAAGCCGAAAGTTCGTCGGAGAATGAGGAAGGTTCTGGAGAAGAGTCCGACGAGGACTCGGAAGAAGAGAGCTCATCCGACGAGAGTGTCGAACTTCCACCACCTTTGGCACCAAATCGAAGCCGTCGATTGAATGCGGGCAATCGGTATTCGAAAGTCTTGGCTGAAGAAGGGCATAAAGCGGAAGGCGATGAGGTCTACGAAACTCTGTATGGAGGTTTTAAGGAGGTAGGCCGTTTTTGGGCTCTTTATTTTTGATTTTTAGGTTGAAAACGACGATAATTTTGAAGCGGACTCGGATGACGAGAGCGATGAAGAAAATAAGGATTTGGATGAGGAAGAAGAGCGTGGGGAAGAGGCGGAAACCGAGGAGCATCAAGGAGACAACGATGAGGATCTAATGGAGCCAAAGAAAAAGGTATTTCCCTCTTTTGAGCTTTTAATTTTGATGTATCGATCACTTTACCTTGTATAATATAAATTTTGTAGAAGAAAAAGGTCGCAATCCAAAAGAAACCTTCCTGGCTGATGGCTCAGATGTCCGAAGACTCCGTCCCGCTAAATGCATTGTCCACAGCGGATCAAGCCCGCCGGCTGAAGGAGTGTAAAGCAATTGCTGAGGAGAATCGCCGATCGCTCGAAGAAATGTTGAAAAAGCAGCGAGAAGAGAAGGAAAAACAGAAGATAAAACCTCGAGCGCGGTATTTACAAGGTCCAAAAGAGTCTTACTACTCGGATTCAAGCAAGACCTACCTTCTAAAACCTTCGATAAAACAGTGGAAAGAGGCCCAAGTTTATGAGCGGAAATGCGTTGTAACTGGAAAACCCGCCAAGTATCGTGATCCACAGACTGGCCACTACTATTATGGACTAAATGAGTTCAAAGAGATCCGAAATAATCCGCAAAAATATCCGATTTTGTAAGTTTTCCCCTTTTTTTGGGTCTTTGTGATTTTAGGTATGAAGTTTGGATATTTTTAGAAAGAAAACACCGACAGCAGGTAGCCAAGTGATTGATAATCCACCAGCGACTAAGCAGCTTTCTTATCCAAGCTCCTGGAATCCCCCAGAGCTTGTTAAAGAGGGTGAAGATCAGATTTCGATCGAATCCGCGGCAGCCAACACCTTGATCTGGATGCATTCGTAAGTTTTCCCCATAAAATGGATTTTGATTTGTTTTCTTCTGCTTTTAGGAAGTCTAACGACCAGTCAGCGTCTCCCCCATCAACTAAAGAATTGGAAATGGTCCGGGCTCTCTTCGATGATCGACCAAAGAGGCTAGAACTAGCAATAGAAGAGAAAAAACCAAGTCCAATGATTATACCCCAACCAAGTCCGTCCGTTCGTCGCCCGGTGTACATTTTGAAGCCGAGAGGATTGGATGGAAATGACATTTCTGCTCCACAAAGAATCTCGCCCAGAGCAATGAAACGGCCAATTTTCATATCACCCTCGGGTCCTGAAGCTAAAATACAGAAATTGGGTTAATAAATTATTAATTTGAGGGAGAATGGAAGTGATTAGTCAAAATTGAGAACAGATAGAAGCAGTATGAGGGCTGGAATGCCAGAATAAGTAAGTATAACATCAAAAAATGGCGAAAGTTACAGAATTTTTGACTAAATTTGGCAAGGACAATATAAAAATTCCCGTAAATCATAGTAAACGAGGTTTTTTTGGTCGGAAATTGTTTAGAAATCAGGTATTCAGTTTGAAATTTGATCACCACATGTCTTAATCCAAATCTTTCTCAACTTTGTTGCTATTTGCAATGAACTTTTGGGATTTGCATACAATTTATTCTTTTTTCTTTTTTTAAAGATTGCATAATCAGGCAATAAAAAACTGTTTCAAAATGGAAATTTCCTTCCAGGCTTTGGTTACTGTATTCTCTAAAAAGTTTTTGCAAAAAATTATGAAATCTTTTGTCATCATTTTTTTGCCGTCTTTATTACATACGGCGCTTGCACTGGGTAATCGGTCCACCACAAAAACGCTACGCACCTTCTGGAACGAGTAGTAACTTCAAAAACCTATTTATTTCATAATGTCCAACTGTTGGATGCAATATTTTCGATACCCGCAAAAAGCTCAAAAATCAAAAATACCAAGGTCGTATCAACTTTCGCTTATAGTGCAGTCTCCGACGCAAACGGAAATCGGCTTTGTCCGGCAAGTCGACCAAACGCACAAACAAGTGTCCATCTTTCCCAATCTTTGCCTTCAAATCGTTGGATTTGCATGCACTTTAACGGGTGATTTCATGCCGTTGCTCTTTGACCTGCGACAAACATGGACACTATAAAAGTCCGGTAAAGTCGCAGTTTTAGCATCAACCTTCATAGCAAGCATCAGCCACTTCATCAACAACCAAGCCTCTGTTCTAATCATGCGATCCTTTGTCGTCATCTCCTTGGCCGCCCTTGTCGCCTACACCATCGCCTGCACCTGCAAAACCAAGACTTTGGAGGAGATGTACTGCGAGTCGGACTACGGTAAGTCCAGGCAACGAATTTTGGACAAAATTTTTGCTTAGTTGCTCGCGTCCTAATCACTGGATTCGGCCCTGGACCGAACGCCAACTACACCAGTTACACCTTCTCCACTGTCCGCAACTTCAAGATCAACAACGACACCAATGTGGATCCAACGGCGGCTGCGTACAGTCAATTCATTACCCCTTCCACTTCCGCCACCTGCGAAATTCAATGGCTCAGCCCAGGCCGCGAATACGTCATCAATAGTAGGTCTAGAAACAAGAGAAATGTGCCAAGTGGCGACGCTCGGATTTCCTTGAAATTTTGCACACTTACTGCGCATAGGCCACACATCAATGCCTGAAAATTTTAACTGGGTCTTTGCAGGGACAGCCGAGATAATCAACAATATTTGCGGCCGAGAGAGCAGGTGAAACGCGGAGAGCGGTCAGAGAGAAACGCACTTTTTCGGCCGTACCTTTGCCATTTCGCGAGGAAAAAATTGGTTTTTTGTGAAAAGTGAATCTTGCCTTCACTGCGAAACTTGCATAGCTATTTCTACAGTGCACTGTAGAAATAGCTATGCAAGTTTTTACATCAAAATTCGTAAAAAAGTATGGATATCTGTAGGAACGTTCGACCTAGAAATGTCCGCCATTTCTGCAAAGCGCTAGGAATTTTTGCAAATGCCGTGTAGAAACGTAGCCCGCTGTTTTTGAAATTCAGCTGAAGGCTTTCTTACCGAAACCCTAAAATTTCGAGCACCTCTACCGTGAGCTCAAAAATACATATTGAATCCACTGTCACACGGCCTTCTAAGCCGTCTAAATTTGGAATTTCAGCCGAAGAAACCCCAGCCAACGCCCTGTACACCAACATCTGCCTTCAATTCCCTCTGACCAACCAGTCCTCCGAGTATACCGATGCGTTGACTCAGAAGGTTCAGACTTTCTCTCAAGATCCAACCATCTGCCAGTAAATGGTGACTCCTTTTGAGTATGCGGCCACCGGTTGGCCCAGCTCTCTAACTAATTTATTGCGAACTTTTTTACTCATACACCACGACTGGTCGTTGTTTTAATTCTACTTTTTTATGATAATTGTAAAAACTAATAAATCATCAGATGCAATGAAACTCTTTAGTCATCGTGTTGCCATTACATACGATAGAAGCTTTATGCAACAGTAGTAGTGATGTAGAGGGAAATGAGGCTTTTCTGCGCTCTTTTCATACGAGCTAATACAAATCGAAAGAAGAAAAAAAGTGTTTGAACCAAATTGTAGGCTCCCTATAAAGAAGAAAATCTACTGTCGAATGCAATAGAGCCATTTATACCATAAACGGGGCAAGGTCTCTAAGAAGTATTTGGTCGGGGACTAAGTTCGTAGAGGTTTTTTACTGCTTCGTTTTACAAGGATTGTTTGTTGTCTGGCAAAGGTGTTGTTGGGCGGCATAGAGCTTCTTGTTGACTGTGGAGTTCTTTTCAAGCTCTTCCCAATGTACCATGCCTTCCCAGTCCTCCAAAATGCAGATCATCGCCTTTTTGGGCGGGGCATGTCAACTGAGGAGTCCAGTGACCGGAATAGACTCTTCGCTATCGGCTTTTTACACTTCGTCTTGATTTGACAGAGAAAGAGAGAAAAAAGACATGCAAAAGCGTACTCTCTCGCCCCAAAAATTCCCCATCTCTTCCCCGACAAAACGTTTTTTCGCGTCTTTTTTTTTGGCAAATTACCAATCCATTCACCGGACTGTTTTAGCTTATCTCAGTTTGGTGTGCGGGGTCTTGATTCCCCTGGGGCCACCCACTTCAGAAGACAATCAACACTTTGCTTGATATTGCCGTACTGACACCACTTGTTATCACCGTAATGATTCGATACAAAAACCGCCGTTTGTGTCCACGTGTTGTTCTGCGAAAAAAGCAGGTGTCGAAAACGCAAATTTTTGCCTCCTAGATGGTTCAATTTTAAGCCCAAAAAATAATAAAAAATTACGTTTTCAAAAAAAACCAACAACATAGTTTTGTAGAGGGGAAAGAGCTCTATCGAATGCATATACGCACTTTGCCAAACAACAAACTATCGTTGTAAAGCAAAGCAATAAAAAAAACTCTGCGAACTTATTCCCTAACCTAATATGTTACAGGAACAGGACCCAAGATCCTTTGACAACCGAACGACTGATCGTGAGTAGAATATTCCAACTGGGACGTCCAAATCGCCGGCGGAATGCCAGGAGTGGGTGGTGTTTTCGTGGCGGGATGCAGACAAGGGCTGGGTGTTCCAGCCGAATGGCGGAGAATTGCAAGGAGAATGGTCGGTGGATCCTGCTGGGGTGTTTCTGGTCCTACTCCGCAGCGATACTCCATTTTATTGATTTGGCAAAGAAGGAAATAGGGGCAAAAAATGCAAAAGCTTTCATACTAAACAATCAAAAAAAAAGCAAAAATGCTTTGCAAAATTGATGGATGGAGATTAAATTAAACCTTTTTAACATTTTTTCCGGACTTAAAACTCTTCAAAATCCATTGTTATGTAGTGTAATCCCACCCAAATGTGCGCGGGTCGGGCAAAAGTCTTCGAATTTTTCGATGGCAAACTTAAAGAAGTCACTGTGATTTGATGACTCGATGTAAATGCAAGTATTTAGGCATGTTGTGATTCGGCATGTGGCCTTATAACGTCCATATTTTTAACTGGTTAACTTCCTATAGTATAAAAAAATCCGACACCATGAAACTTTTTTGGCTAGATTTTAGCTACCTTTACTGCTATTCCAGACCTCCGCTTGACGTCTTAATTTACTCATACACACGCAAAAAGCTTCTGGAGAGTATAAAAACTTCCTGTAGAAAATGCAAAGACTGTTAACCAATTTTCAGCATGCGGCACAACGATCAGAAAAATTTTTTACTTTAAATGGGGAATCTGATCAGGGAGTTTTATTAAGACTTAATCAAAGATCAAAAATGCCAAATCTTATCAAAATCGGTCTACAGCAAAAAAAGTAGTAGCGATATTACAATTGAAGGTCAAGACCTAAAAATAAACCGTTGTGCGTCCAAGCAACTTTGCTGATCATTTATTTGTACCGATTTGGTCATAAAATAGCTTTTTCTACGATTACACGTATCTGAAATTCCAATTTGGCGTTTCGGACTGATATTAACCATGTTATACATGACAAAATTAAAGTGAAATTTTTTTACGGATTTGACCCAATTATTCTATAAAATAGGTAAACAAGAGCCACAGTTGACGAAACTCTCCCTCTTCCCTTCTCTAAAGACCCCAAACCTCATTCTTGACAAGTCCAGATCTGCGCATCTTCTCCTCCAAGAATTCCGCGATCGAGGTTAGTAAAATCTCCCTATTTGCTCCCGTTTCATAACTAATATAGTTTTAAAACTGCTCACATGTTCCATTACCTTGGAGTCCTGCTGAGGCGCTTCCTCGGCAGGATATTGATCTTGATCATGGATAACATAATTTTTCCATCTAAAAGTACTTTACTACTTTTTGGGTTGTCAAGACGAGCTTATTCTGGCGTTACCTTCAAGATTTGATGGGCCTAGGCATTTTAAACACAAAAAAAAATAAAAAATAATGAATTGATGGTACCTATTTTGAAGTATTTTTGCTACTGCTGCAAAACTTGTAGACCGATTTTGCTGAAACTTAGCCCACACGAAGAGAAAGGCATGCTGAACAATCCTCCCTGATCAGATTTGTCAAAAAAGTACTTTACGCTCTAGAAGAGCCAAAACTTTTGCAAAAACAGGCATATTTTCGGCCAATTTTACCATAAAACCATAAGTTTGTTATCTAAAAAAATCGAACTATAATAAACTGAAACGGATTACCTTTCATATGACATAATAAACTTAATAAAACTATGGCCCTTTGATGGCGTATGAGCCTGATTTATCCGACCTGTCTTTAAAAAATTGAGAAAATTAATGCCAAAATTCTTGGCATTCTGTTTCTGTTCGTTGTGTGCGGGTCAAACAGGGCCGGTAGCGAATTTGAAAACGCCTTTTGGATGCAATTTTTTCGATCCCCCAAGTTAAAAAAAAGTTAAAAAAACAAAAATACCAAGGTCGTATCAACTTTCGATAAAAGTGCAGCGGAAATCGGCTTTGTCCAGCAAGTCGACCAAACGCACAAACAATTGTCCATCTTTCCCAGACTTGGCTGCTTTCGCCTTGAAAACGTTGGATTTGCATGCACTTTAACGAGTGATTTGATGCCGTTGCTTTTTGCTCTGCGACAAACATGGACACTATAAAAGTCCGGTAAAGTCGCAGTTCTAGTATCAAGCTTCATAGCAAGCATCAGTCTTGCATCGACATCCAAGCCTCTATTCTAATCATGCAATCCTTTGTCATCATCTCCTTGGCCGCCCTTGTCGCCTACACCATCGCCTGCACTTGCAAAACCAAGACTTTGGAGGAGATGTACTGCGAGTCGGACTACGGTAAGTCCAGCCCACAAATTTGAGACAAAATTTTTGCTTAGTTGCTCGCGTCTTTATCACTGGATTCGGCCCTGGACCAAACGTCAACTACACTAAATACACCTTCATCACCGTCCGCAACTTCAAGATCAACAACGACACCAATGTGGATCCAATTTTGCCTGCGTACTTCGAATTCATCACCCCTTCCACTTCGGCCACCTGCGAAATTCAGTGGCTCAGCGTAGGCCGCGAATACGTCATCAACAGTAGGTTTAGAAACAAGAGAAATGTCGCAAGTCACATTTCGAGTACCTCTGCCGTGAACCAAAAAATATATAGATATTTAGTTTGCTGTAACACGGCCTTTTAACGATAAGCCGTCTAAATTTGGAATTTCAGCGGAAGAAACCCCAGCCAACGCCCTGTACACCAACATCTGCCTCCAATTCCCTCTGACCAACCAGTCCATCGAGTACACCGATGCGTTGACTCAGAAGGTTCAGACCTTCTCTCAAGATCCAACCATCTGCCAGTAAATGGTGACTCCTTATGAGAATGCGGCCTCTGGTTGGCACAGGCACTTTTCTTGCAAACTTTTGGCATGAAGAGCAAACGCAAGAAATAGAAATTCATGCCAAAATAAACTCTTCAGCAACAGTACTCCATGGTACTGTTGCTGAATGCCACGAGAGTGTCTTCGTGCCGGAACCATTTGGTCAGGCGGGTTTGCCAAGACTCAAGAGTTGCTGATACTAGGCGGGCCAAAAAGTCTTGACATGTTTTTGCACCGTGCGGACGCATGAATTCGGCGTGGCGACAAGGCGTCGCGCGGTAAAAACTTTGGCGGGTGCGAATGAAGAGCGCACTGTGCGTTGTTTACCCTTTTCAAAACAATCTTTTTGCACTGTGCGGGGTCGCAGCGCACCGTGAATTTTTCTTATCGCAGCGCGACAAATTTGATGCGCGACGGCGCACTGTGCAAAAATGTCAATACTTTTTTGGACCGCCTAGTATTGGGCTATACGGGCAGGATTAGGGCAGAAGCGGATCCATCTTGTACCGCGGTTGTGTCGACGGCCCTGGGTCGTACTAATTAAACTAAATTTGCGCCAAGTTGCATCAAAATCGCACCGTCGCATTTGGAGCACTTCCTTTGTAAACTTAAACTCCTTGGCCATCCCAAGAAGCAGCAAATCTCCTTGGTCAATAAACGACCTTTCAAATCTTAAACAGCTCATTAACTTTGACCGTATGCCTTTAAACTTTAAACTTCATTAGCCTTTGTTAGATTAAAATAAGTTGCCATTTCTGATAAGGAAGTTTCGGAGTTCGGGCCCACGTCAAGCTCAAAAGGGCATTCACAAGTTTGCACCGCTCTCTGCTCCTACGTTCCGAAGAGGGTTGGCACAAACAAAAGCGACAGTTCTTGACACTTGTCAAGTTATTTTGAGGGCAACAACTTTCCCGTTGAGGTTCGTTTTGTTTGAACCTAAAACAGTGTTACGTGAAGTGCGGAGTACAGCATGTGACCGGAGCGGAACATGAAAGCTGTAATGTCAGTTTGTCGAGGAAATACAGAGCACAATGACGCTGTGCGGATCGCGTCGCGGAAGTGAAAAGCAATTTTATATTTTGCCGCAACACAATCTATTTTCTCGGCGGTTATACGGTTTTCGATACGACATTGTGCGTTTTCATTTTTTTCATTACTTTCCCGACGGACTGATAATCGCTTGTCGGAAAAATAACGTGCATTTGTCGAAGAAAAATGACTTGCTCCGTTTCAGTCGCACACCAAATTCACAGTCATCGCAAGGCGTCACAAAATGATGATTGGTGGACGAACCCATAATATTTTCCCGACAGACCGATTATGAGATCTCAAGAAAGTTATATGTAGCCCGTTTTTGTTCGGGATCCGCCGGTTTTCATAAGGTTTTAGAGGACAAATTTTTGGATCAACGAGATTTTGGGCTGCCTTGATTGGCCGCTGTTAACATGCGGAATGCTGGTAAAAGGCTCAATTAATATAAGTATAATAAGATTTGCCAGATCAAGGATGGTTGGTCACCTATTTTCTGAAATTTTAATTGTTGCAGATTGTCTTAAAAACAGTGAGCGCAATTCGCAGCAAAAATCGCGTCGCCACCGGGAAAATAAATTGTGTTGCGGCAAAATAAAACTTCTTCTAAATTCATCGACGCGATCGGCGCAGAGACATTGTGCTCATTATTCTCGTGACAGACTATTATTATTTTCATAAAGTGCATGGACATTTGTCTCGTGCACAAAACCCCCATCATGCACTGTGCATTCCTTGCTTTGTTTTTTGCACTATGCGGCGAGATATCGCTGCGATACAAGCTAGGAGGTTGTACAGTGCAAATAGCTGATGTTGCACCAATAATGTTAAGGCAAAATTGTATCGGCTATCTTCGTTTTTCCTTGTCTCTCGTCTTTGAAACGCTTGCTGAAGCCTTGCATATTATGCAGCACACTTTAGGATACTGTGTGTGGCCTAGTCATCCCATCCAATTTTGTACGATCTGCAAGACTTTTACTACCACGCAACTTTGTGACTTGCTCTTTGAACAAAACACAGTACAGTATCTATATATGCAGGTTGCTATTTTGGCATTTGTAGTTCCTACTCCGCATCCCTTTGTAAATCATACCAAACACATTGCAAACCACGTGGTGCTTGGGGCCATCGGTCAGAGTCTCCGTTTCTCTCTGTTTTTTCTTGTTCTGGGCTACAAACCTTTCATTCCCTTCCTATTTTACTCTATTTTTTGATTCTTATGATATACGTGTCCTTTGGACCTCATTGCACAAAAACATCGATACCTACAATTTTAGGCACCTTGCAGTTCTGTAGTATGTCATATTTTGCTACGATCTTACCGCGAAAATCAAATCCACACCCCTTTTACACCTCGAATTTGGTATTTTCATGATAGCATTACAGCAAAACTTGCTACAAAAAGGCAATGCAACAACAGCATGTGCCTCTTTTGTAGCTACTACCACAAAAGGACCGTAGTTGGTCCAGTTGTTTTTTATTATTGCAAACGTACGTGACAGTATTCTTGAAACATAAAGGTCGAGATTTTTTGGGTATTGCCATTTCAAATTGGCCATAGCAAGGGCAGTGTTACACAAGTAATGATGGCGTGCTGATCTTACACTTTGTACCCAAACGTTTTATTTGATCTCTAGTACTTTTTAAGGCTTATTGGAGCGCTCGGATTTACAATATGTTTCAGAGTTTATTTTGGCATGAATTTCTATTTCTTGCGTTTGCTCTTCATGCCAAAAGTTTGCAAGAAAAGTGCCTGTGACAAGTACAAATTTGTGCGGTTTACTGTAAACTCTAAGTAAACTTGTAAGAGCTCAAGCTCAATCATACGGCCTATTCACTACAGATAATTCATCAAGATACAAAAATTTTGGTCGCTTTGGCAAACAATTCAATCTACTTTTGCATTTTAATCGTTGCCTATCATGCGTTCAAGTTTGCGCTCCACGCAACACCATCAACAAAACTGATTTTGTTAGTTTTTAGATAGTCCTCGGCAAGATACGATTGAATGCTCCAAACATGGTGAATATCAGCTCCGTGAGTTTGCATTTACATTTAGCGGGTCCACAATTTACAAACACGCTCAACTTTGCGGGCATGTCTGGAAATCGGCCAACATTTGGTTCGAACAGGAAACTCAAACGACGGATTTTGCAGTTAGATGTTGCGGTGTAAAGTTCACGGTGTATCAGTGGCTTAGATAATTACCATAAAGTTCACCATACATTTTTAAACGTCCCGAAACCAATTTTTTTAAAACGAAACATCCATAACCTTGAAAGCGGTGATGAATTCAATAGATTTGTCTTCATATCAGCACCAGACATTTGACAATGCAAAATTTCTATCATACTGCGTAGATTACGGCAGAAAAATCGCAATTCTAATTGGTAGATGTCCCTCTGCAATGCAACGGTTTTTCGACAAACGTGAAGAAAACTTATCGCCAATTTCTAGAGCTCTTCTAAAATCGCTCATTTTGCCGAAATTCATAATTTTTTGTGCGAAAATTACTGTACTAATTACCGGGCGGGCGCACACTTGCGGGCAATCACTTTTCGGGCAACCAGTTTGCGGGCAATTTTTTTGCTGGCAGCCGACATTTGCGGCCAGCACCGGCATTTGCGGGCAGCCTGGGACATTTGCGGGCAGGGTCGACAGTTGCGGGCAGCCTGGAAGATTTGCGGGCAGCCGACATTTGCGGGCAACCGACACCTGATTGTGAGGGTAACAGGGTGAAGGGGGAAAAATTACTATGATATTTTGGAAATTTGCCGACATTTGCGGGCAGCCGACATTTGCGGGCAACCGACATTTGCGGGCAACAGTTCCAAAAGTTCCTATACAGTCTGTGTGGTTGTTTTTTCCTGTTGCCCGCAAGTGTCGGCTGCCCACAAATGTCGGCAAATTTCCAAAATATCGCAGTAATATTTCCACCTCCACCCTGTTACCCTCAGGTGCCGGTTGCCCGCAAATGTCGGCTGCCCGCAAGTGTCCCAGCTGCGCGCAAATGTTTCAGCTGCCTGCAAATTTGACCCCCCAAATTTTGCCCGCAAAGTGATTGCCCGCAAGTGTCGCGACGCCGAATTACCGGTGTCTTGCCGACTTTACTATTTGTGGATACGTTTAAAAGGGCTCCCTAGATCTTAATTTGCGCTACGATGCATCATCGCGATGCCTTCAAAGCCGTGAAAGCGATGTTCAAATCCAGTTTTTCGGCCCTTTATTGCTATGGGTCTACGGTTCCACTTCAATGGCCCTGTATTTTACATAGCTTTTAAATTGTAGCATAGCAACGTTTCAGGCCCCTCTCAGCCCGTACCTTGAAGTCTACCGCGCAAACCACACAATTGCCGCCACCACCGGCTTCGTTTTGAACTTGTTTCTGTTCGTGGTGATCCGGGAATGCACCCGCAACTCAACGCAGCCGGCCAAAGTCCTGCTCATGGTCTCCACGGCGCACGATCTTTGGTACTGCGCGTTTGAACTCTTTCTGCGGAGGGTAGGTCGTCTTTGCAAAGTAACCCACTCAAATACAATGCTAATTACAGAAATAAAAGTGTGAATTTGCAGAGAATTGAGTTTAAAACGCAAAAAATGTATTTTTTGGAAGCAAAGAGTGATTTAGGACAGAAATTGGATTTTGAGATTTTTTATTCGAATTTTAAAAGAAAGTAAAGGCAAAATTTGTAATTTTAGCTTTTGTGTCATTCATATTCTTCGTAGAAGATACGGGGATGTTGTTTTTTATCAATAATCATGCATATTTGTTATTAAAAAATTGAATTTTTATGCTAATTTATGCAAATTTCCGATTAAAAGAAATTTTTTAATCAATCTGTCGCATGAAAAGTCGCCTCTAGAAATTCATTATACGACAGTTAAAAATAATTTTTTGGCCATGCAAATTTTCATTCCAAAAATTTTTTTTATTTAAATTTATGCAAATTTTTGAACAATTTTAATTTTTTGTCACCTAAAAATCAAAAAAAAAATCCAAAAGATCGTGTTTTAAAATATGCAAATTTCTTGGTAAAATTTAATTTATGCAAATTTTATAAAAATAAAATTCAAAAAAAATTTACTTTTCAGGTGATATACCAAACCGACGGAATAATGTACGTATTAGCGTTTGGTTGGGACGCTCACTTCAGCAGCTATTTCAATTATCTCTTGGGAATCATCCACTTCTTCAACATGACGCAAAACATGATGGTGCAGACCGTAATCCACAGGTTTCGTTATCACATTGTGTGCTCCACAACCCCGCCAGATTACCGCTTTCTCTTCCGCAATCTGCTAATGTTTGCTCTGCCTTCCCTGTACCTGAGCCTCTCGCTGAAAGTGGCGTTGATTTCGGGCACTGAGAAGTCGTACGACAGCGCGATGACACAGTTGCCAGAGGAGTGGCGACTGGTCGACGGGTCTTCGAATGTGGTGGAAGTGGCGTTGTGGGATGACAAATGGACGAAAATCTTCGTGCTCAACAACTGTTTGGTGGCAGGAGTCGCGTATCATATGTGCTTGCATTATATACGGATGTGTTATAGCAGCATCAATAGGACGCAATTGTCATCGTCGGTTTCGAGCAAAACCATAGATCATCGAGGCCAGTTCAATCGATGTTTGGTGGCACAGGTAAAAAGACTAAAAAAAGGAACTTCTACAACAAATTGGCAAACAAAAAATATTAACAAAAAAATGAAAAATTTTTTAAAACTCTAAAAAATTCGTCCATTAAAAAAAAGTACATATATCTCTTTTTCAGACTGTCTGTATGACTATCCTAATCATAATTCCCTCCGCTCTATGGTGTCTCAATTTCATCACCAAGGCTCACGGCCTCTACCTTGGCCTTCCATCCATGATTTGTCTCTCTTGGTTTGGCGCCATCAACGCGTCAATCCCGTTGGTCTACGTGAAAACTGTCCGTCGATGCGCGTTGGACATTTTGTTCTGCAGAAGACGGAACGCGCCGGATCTGTCTACCATGAGTAAAGTTGACGAGACCAACTCGAAAAGCGACAGAAAGCACTAACTTCTCGCTACCATAATATAAAGGGAGGTACCTCAGAGTGCGACACTCAGAACTTCTTTAAATTTTACGGATATGTGAGGCATAAACCTCACATCAATTGATGAAAGTTTTAGCTCGCGCTTTGCAGCGGCAGTTGAGATATTCAACGATCTTTGCGGCCGAGAGAGTACGCAAAACGCGGAGAGCGGTCCGACAGAAAAAAAACAATCTTTCATCGATTTTCTGCCAGTTTATGGAGCACAATGAAGTGTTTGTGGAAACTTCTAAAACACAAGATATTCAATGATTTTTGCGGCCGAGAGACTAGGCGAAGCGCGGAGAGCGGTGAGAGAGAAAAAACTTTTAGCCATATTTTTGCCAGTTTCGCGCGAAAAAATTGATTTTTTGTGGAAACATTACTGTGAAATACCATACATAACTGTGAAACAAAAGTTTTGCGTTTTACCCGACTTTTCGACCTAAAAATCTCGGTCGTTTCTGCAAAGCGCTGGCTGGAAGTTTTGCATGTATCATTGAAAAAAATCCATCGAAACCTGTCCCTTTTTTCGTCGAAATCTGACCATCGCACTTGGAGTATACTTCCCTTGTATTTTACTTACCATTGATCTCTACGCTATCATACACATTACATACTGTATTTGTATTGTCATCAAATATTTATTTGTTAATAAACTTGAGTAAGGCGGATATTTTATGCGTTTCGATGAAGACACAAAATTTCCGATAGAACATTTTTATGCATACATCGTCGAATTTAAGTGTTTAATAAAGTTTCTTATCGCTTTATCAGCACAATTAAATAGCCGAAAACACCGCGTGGTGTTCGGCTGTTTGTTTTTTGTTTTCGATTAAAATTCGGGACTGGATAGATAACACATTCAATGTTACAGTCAGTTTGTGACCTCCACAGCCTCATTCTCATGTTTTTCTCACATTTTTTAATTTTTCGGGAAAATAGTGAGCACTCTGTTGCAGCGAAAATGCAACCGAGAAAATGAAGTGCCGTGGCGAAATCAAAATTTGTTTTTCACTTCATCGACGCAATCGGCGCAGCGACACTGCGCTCATTATTTTCCCGACAGACTGACAAGCGAACATTTATACAGGGTGCGGCAATTTTTCGGCCGGATTTTAATTGGCCATAACTTTTTTAGTTTTTGGGCAAATGTTAAAATTCTTTTTTTCCCTGAATCCACAGACAACCCCATTTTGTTTAATACCAAATATGTTATACCCGTTCGTTAGATTACAGTAAAAATTTGAGACAAAGAAAAAGCTCTAATTTTTATAGCTGACAATGGAATTGCCCCTAGTGCGACTCTCAGATTTACTTTAAATTTTGCACATGGGCCGGACATAGGCCACACATCAATTCCTGAAAGTTTCAGCCCGCAACTTTCAGGAGCGACCAAGATATTCAACGATTCTTTGCTGTCAGGAGGGCACATGAGTGGTCACACAGAAAAACTTTTTGGCTATATCTTCGCTAGTTTTGTGCGGAGATAGCTGACTTTTTGTGGAAACGGTATTCTCCATGGCATGAACAGGCATGAAACTTTTTACGACAAAATTCGTAAAAAAAGTCATTTTTTCTGGCGAGTTTCACACACGCCGAAAAAGCAGAGAAAACGACCGAAATGCCAATAACTATGAACTAGGTCCCTGTATGTACAACATATTTGGTATTAAACAAAATGGGGTTGTCTGAGGATTCAGGGAAAAAAAGAATTTTAACATTCGGATGAAAACTAAAAAAGTTATAGCCAATTCAAATCCGGCCGAAAAATTGCCGCACCCTGTATTTAGACTTTCTCTACAAGCTTACTATTAATGAGTATTCGCGGTTTGGGCTCGAAAAGTGAACTTGTTTTACATGGGAAGTACCTCAAGGTCAAGGCTAATTTCTAGGTCTTTAACTTTTGCACGTACTTCGGGTGTAAGCGACATACTAATTCCTGAAAGTAGCTTTCAGCACCAGTCGAGATATTCAACGACCTTTGCCGCCCAGAGAGAACGCGAAACGGGGAGAGCGATCAGATTGTACAGGGTGCCAGAAAAAACGGGAACTTTTTTTTATGGGTCCTGGCGTCAAAATGTTTAGGTGTAGCCAAATGATTCTTTTACCATTAAATTCTCCGTGTCCTTCTGCCCTAGAACTGTGACTTTCATGACCATACCGATTATTTAAAATGGCTTTTTCGAATGTCAAACAGAGGAACTTCCATTTTGGACCGTTTTTGGAGCTGTTATAATACAGAGTGTCCAGAGAAATGTGCCGGAAAGTTTTTGTCGATTTCTCGGCGCTCAATCAAGATATCCGAAAAATTCTTTTTGCAGGATAAAGAAGAAAATGGGCGGTTTCTTGTGCAAAAGAATCATTTTCTCCGCCAGCGCGGAAGGCAGTGTATTCGGCGAAGACTTCTGATTGCTTTTTTGATCATCGCACCAACTTTAAACGCTTTATTACGAACTTTGATGGTTGAAACAAAGATATTTGCATATTTTCATGTTTACCAAGTGTTCGGCGAAGGTATGGCGGACGCTCGCCGAATCGGCGGAGGCCATAACTCAGCTGCGGACAAGACATGGTCCAACACAATTTTTATGGCCTGGCTAGAACCCTGCTGGCTTCGTATGCCTGCGAAAATTTTGCCACCAAGCTTTGGCAGAAGCTAAGCCATCGGAAAACCACTTGGTGCACCAGAAAACAACAAAAAATTTTTTGTTCAAATTTCCTTTTGCCTTGCTGTTTCAAACCTCCGCAACCTCTGGCACATTTCTCTGGACACCCTGTAGAATTGTTAATTTGATAACCGCATTTCAGAGATGGAGACTTTATCGATGTTGTGCTATCTCGTGCAATCAGCCATTGTGCTTATTGTCCTCTACAACGTTATCACATGGCTTTTACAATCACGGAAAATTACTAGCTATAAAAACAAGGCTGTCTTTATCACCGGTTGTGACATTGGATTCGGTCGATTGACAGCGATCGAGTTGGCCAAGCTCGGTTTCACAGTGTTTGCTGGGTGTTTGAAGGAAGAGGTAATATACCCTCATGGTCATAAAATACGAACATTCTTCCCTTGCAGTCAATAAGATCAATTGAAGACGAAAAAGACGGGCTAAAGGGCCAGATTATTGGAGTAAAATGCGATGTGACAAGTGATGAGGAGGCAAAAAAGGCTACAGATTTTATTAAAGACAACCTGAAGGACAAAGGTAGGCCGTGGGTTCCATTTGCTGCGCAAAACATGTTTTAGAACTCTGGGCAATCATCAACAATGCCGGCATTTTCACCTCGTATGGCCCAGCCGAATGGTGTGACGCGGAGATTTACCAAAAATCCATGGAGGTCAATTTTTTCGGCGCTGTGAGGGTTACGAATGTAAGAGAAGAGAAAATTTTTTACGCTACCACCTTTTAGCCTCTAATTCCTCTTCTTCGCGAATCCCACGGTCGAATTATGGTTGCCGCATCGGTGGCAGCGAGATGCGGCACAATCTTCGGCTCACCGTACTCAACGGCCAAAGCCGCCGTGAATAGTTGGGCGGAAGCGATGGCTTTCGAATATTCGACATTCAGCATCAAAGTCGGCGTTCTTGAGCCGGGCGTTTTCACTACGAACATCATCGATAGGGAGGCCAAGAGACGAAGAGTGGAGTTTGCGTGGAACCGGCTGGACAACAGCGTGAAGGGCGTGTATGGCCCGAGATACGTTGAGGAACGTAAGATCTATATCGAATCTTCAGAGCTAAAAACCGACTGTTTTCCCGTAAAGAACAACGCTCAGTTTTTCTCAACATTTCGGATTTACTTCGCGCATAGGCCATAAATTAGTTCCTCAAAGTCTTGTGAGTCTGTCGGAAAAATAATGTGGATTTGCAAAATGTCGTGGCGATGGCATGAATGATGCTATCGCGGTGGTCAACTGGCTTGGCTAAGATTAGTATCAGCATGTCGGAAAAATAATGTGGATTTGTCGCAGCAAAATGTCTTGCCTCGTCGCAGTGGAGTACCAAATCTGCAGTCACGGCCATCGCAAGGCGATGATAGGCGATTCCAAGGCGCGACGAATCCATATTATTTTCTCGAAAGGTCAATATCAGTTTGTCGGGAAAATAATGTGGATTTTTCGGAGCAAGATTTTTCCAAAATTGCCGCAGTCGCGGACCAAATTCTCAGCCCGTAAAAGAGCCTTATTTCCAAAGGTTGTAGCGACCTCAGTTTGCACTTAAAAATCTTGTTATTTCGTAAGCAAAAAATAATGCCGCTTAAAAATACATATTCCAAAAACGAACTCTCTGCGCCGCCTCCGCCGAAAGTTATAGCCTCCTACTTTCCTTCACGTCTCTTGAAAGACCCTGTAGTAAAAGAAATGGATGAACGTGTTACACAATAATAACAATAATATATTTTCAGTCCTTTCATGGTGGCACAAATTCATCGCCGACCAAAGCTGCAGCGACATTTCCTTGGTCATCGATTCGTACGTTCATTTTGTCACCGCCGAACATCCGAAGTTCCGTTATCAGCCCGGCTTTTTCTCGAAATGGGTGTGGGGAAAAGTGAGTCTGCTGCCAACGAACTGGCTTCTGAATATCTTCCCCTTCGTCAGTGACCCAATTCCGATTCCGGCATACGTCGATAAACAGAAAAGTCTTTGAAGTTGTTTGTTGTAAATTTATTCACTTGCTCAGTCATTTTGTGCTTATTTGCTAACGAAAAAAGACACTAAAAAGTACCCCAAGTGCGGCGGTAACTCTGATGAAAGTTGGCACAAATTTTGACTAATTTTTTTAAAGGTAGGTACTTATGTATATCAATCTGTCGTGAAAATAATGGGCACTCTGTCACATCGAAAGCTGCGTCGCTGCGGAGAAAATGAGTTGTGTCGTGGCAGAATCACATAGCTTTTCACGTCAGCGATTAGTGCAGCGACATCGGTCTCATTATTTTTCCGACAGACTGATATTAGAGAAGTAACAAGCGAGACTCCTAGTTCATGCTTTGGTGAAACGGTCAAGGTCAAAAAGTCGGCAAAAACATAGCTCACTTTTGCGAATTTTTGCACGAGAATTTTCACGCCGATTTATACCGCAGATGCTAACGTTTCCAAAAAAATCAATTTTTTCGGTCCAACCCCAGCAAAACTATAGCTGAAAACTATTAGTTAAAGTACAGCTAAAAACAAGTCTTCTCTCTGACCGCTCTCCGCGTTTTGCGTACTCTCGTAAAGACCGTTGAATGTCTCAGCTGCCTCCGCAAAGCGTGAGCTGAAATTTTCAGAAATTGATATTTATGCTCTGAAAAGACTTAAGAGAAAATTTGGCGCACTCGGAAGCCCGCTTTACCGTACATGTAGCATTTGTCATAAACAACAGTTCTCGGAAATAGACCCATTTTGTTAAGCCAGGAGTAATTGAAAACCCATGGAAGAGAACGGACAAATGGATTATTGTGATCTTCGCCTGAGGCCAAAGAATTCTCGGAAAGGCGGCTTTTTCTTGCACGAATATTTTTTGCGTATTTGCATTGTAATAAAAAATTGGGAAATGGAATAAAACGTATCATTCGGTTCGTTTTTCTAGTACATCAAGAATTATATCTTGTGACTGCGTGAGGAAATTGTAGTGTAAATAAAGGAAACAACCAGAAGAATCTCGTTTCTTAGTCGAGATTCGGGGGTGTACGTATATTGTAGTATTATATTATATTTCAGTGTGTCGGGAAAATAGCGAGCGCTCTGTTGCATCGAAAATCGCATTGGCGGCGAGAAAATGATTTGTGTCGCGGCAAAATCAAAATTTGTTTTTCACTTCAGCGACGAAATTGCCGCAGCGGTATTGTGCTCATTATTTTCCCGACAGACGAATACTATTCCGTTTCAAAAGTTTGTCGACCTTTTGTCACAACCAGAGATTGCCACGGCTCCTGAGCCTCCGGCTCTGAGCGGCTCCCGCTCCGAGCTGGGAGCCAGAGCCCAAAGTCGGAGCCAGGCTTGTCAGCGTTCAGAAAAGTAAAAAGTTTCGTGACCTTGTTAAACCAAATGACTTGAAAAATACTGCGGAGGATGTGTTGCGTACGACTTAGCTACAAAAACGGTGGCTGTATGATTTCTGGCACCAATAACTTTTATTTTTGGAAAAATATAAAAAAAAATTTTTTGCGCGGAAGCCGGGGTTCGGAGCCGAAAACCTTTTTAAATTCTGAACGGAGCCGGGAGCCGGAGCTGCAAATTTGGCCTCAGCTCGGGCTCTGGGAGCTAAGAGCCGAAGCCGGAGCCGAAATTTTGACCGTAGCAATCTCTGGTCACAACCTTTCCAAACTGTGCAATTCACCTTTTGCACCGTGCAAAATCGCCATGGAGCAAGGTTTTGCAACTTTTTCGCCACAAATTTTGCCCGCGCGACAGACGTTTCATAGCGTTTTTTTTAAAGTGGCAAAATGCAGTGTTCTAAAAAGACCCTACGCAGTTTAGAGTTTTCCATAAACTGCATAGACGTTTCCACTTTTTCGCACAGTGCATTTTGAACCTTTCTGCGCACTTGTCGCTAATGCACAGTGCATTTCTATTTTTTCTTTTCGCACAGTGCAACCACAAAAAATCCGTTTGCACTGTGCAAATCACCTCCGAAAGGCGGCTTCGGAGCGACGGAGGTCGCTCCGTCGCAGCGACAAAGACGAAAAAAGCTCATGTCGCAGCGATATTTCAAGTGCACGGTGCAAGAAAAAAAGAGTGAAATGCACGTGAAAAACGGAGGTGTTTTATGCAAGCTGGGGAAGCGCTGAAATGTCCGTGCACTTTACGAAAGTTCTAATGAGACTTCCCGCGGAAGAACGCCTCCTTCTTGAATGCTCGGAGACCAGAATTGCAAATAGATTCGGATATGAGTTTGGTACAACTCAAAGTCTTCTCCATTGTGTATTTTCCCATTTTTAGGGCTATTCGCTTCATCGCGTTTTTCATGCGGGCGACATGCGCTTTTTTGAGGGGTGACTATAAGTTTCACGCGTGACGCTGGCGAAAAAATTCTTCTCTGGCTTTATGCCCCAGGTAGTAGACGTCTTTCTGGCACTAAAATTACCGCTTGCGGTTTGTCTCCTAGAGTTTTGCAGCAACTTCGGATCTGTCCTATCGGTCTGTCGGGAAAATAATGAGCACAATTTCGCTTCGCCAATCGCCTCGCTGAAGTGAAAAGCAATTTGATTTTGCCGCGACACAATTCATTTTCTCGGCGGTGGTGCGATTTTGAATGCAACAGAGTGTTCATTATTTTCCCGACAAACTCTGATACATTTTTTCGCAAAATCCTTTCCTATTGTTAGATATTGCCGTTTCAAAAGTGCGTGGACTTTGCCTCCCAAGCTTTGTGCAATTGAAAAATCGCCGCAGCGCAAGGCCTTTCCACTGCTTCGTCGCGGATTTTGATGATCAGACATTGCAAGTGGCAAAATGTACGCTGCGAAAAAGGTCCACGCACTTTTGAAAAGGTGTTTGTTTAATTGTAAGTGGTTTGCTAGTCCGTCCGGAAAGTCGCCGAACTGACATCGGCGACACACACTGTGAGAAAACAAAGGTTCACTTTGCATTTGGACTTATTAATATTTGCTTATAATATTAATATTTAATAAATATTAATATTAATATTTTTACCGTAGAGTGTTATATTTCAGTTCTCTTCCGCCCAAGGCTAACAAAGAGATGGCCTAAAAATATTTTTTTTTCTGACCACTCTCGTGTGCTCGGCCGCGTTTTGAGAATTTCGCTTAATGTGCGTGTATAATGTCAATCTGTCGGGAAAATAATGAGCACAATGTCGAATCCAAAATCGCATCACTGCTGAGAAAATGAATTGTGTCGCGACAAAATAAAATTGCTTTTCACTTCAGCGATACAATCGTTTTTAGCGACATTGTGTTCATTATTTTCCCGACAAGATTATACGTTTCCATTGAACAACTTCTATTTGTAGTTTTTCCAAATTTTCCCCGGAAAGAGACCTGCCAATTCTGAGTAAATTGCATTTTCCGACCACTTGTTGTTGACCTAATTTTCATTACAACTAATTGTATTTACCCTATAAAAATTGTTCAAAACGAGAGGCCAAAACACCGCCCGCGTTCCCGAAAATAGGCTCACTTAAGCTACAAAGTTATTAGTAGAAAATGAATTACATTTTGCATTTTTAATGTTGTTATGGCATGTCTTATTGCGGGTGCTCGGAAATATGAATGCTTTGCGTTATATCTTGTTTTGCTGTCCAAGCGACAGCATGAGTCTGTCGGGAAAATGATGCGGATTTTTCGCAGCAAAATTTCTCTCGAAGTCGCAGGCCAAATCTCCAGCTGTCGCAATGCAAAGATAGGCGATTCCAAGCCGCGACAAATCCACATTATTTTCCCGACGGACTGATATTTTTATCCTGATTTTTAGACATGTTTCTCCAAGCCTATCACTCCAATCATCTTATCGCCAGTGCGGTGGGTGTAGTTTTGAATACTTATTTGATGGTTGTGATCTCTCAGTGCACTCGACAGGCGACTAAGCAAGTCAATGTGATATTAATGGCCTCAACAATCAACGATCTGCTTTTTAGCTTGTTTGAGCTGATATTACAACATGTGAGTTGCAAATTTGAGTGGATGCTGTCAGGCTGTCGGGAAAATAATGTGGTTTTTTCACACCATGAAAGGGATTGCCTCGTCGTGCACCAAATCATCAGCTGCGTCTAGGTGTTGCAAAGCGATAATGGGCAATTAGAAGGCGCGACGATTCCACGTTATTTTCCCGACAGACTTGTAGAAGTGGTTCTCGGACCGGGCCAAACGAAATTTGAAACGGACCGGGAATGATCTCCTCCTAGCCACGCCGAAATAAACGGCAATAAATCCATATTATTTTCCCGACATGCTGATATCAGACTGTCGGGAAAATAATAAGCTTGGTGTTGCTTTTCCGATCACCTCGCTGAAGTGAAAAACAGTATGATTTTGCCGCGAGACAATTTATTTTCTCGGGCGGCCATGCGATTTTTGATGTGACAGTGTGCTTATGATTTTCCCGACAGATTGATAGAGATCGGTTTCTGGCCGGACGGGCCAGGGTTGCGCTCATCCTGGCCAGGTCGTAATTTCCGGCCCGGCCCAAGAGCCATGTCTTTCCGGAACTATTATACTATCAGTCTGTCGGGAAAATAATGAGCATTTGCCGGTACAAGAAAGGCTGTGGCGCACCAAATCCGCAGGGTCCGGTTTCTGGCGGGATACCATCAGTCTGTGGGGGAAAAAACGTGCGCAACGTTGCTGCGGCGATCACGTCGCTGAAGTGAAGAGAAATTTGATTCATTTTCTCGGCGGCGATGCGATTTTTGATGCGACAGAGTGCTCATTATTTTCCCGACAGACTGATAAATACATATTCCATATTGACCATTTTGCTATAATCCCCAAATTATGTCATTCATTAAAAAACGTCAAATATTCTTTTAGGTGATCTATCAATCCGACGGAGTAATGTATGTCCTCAGCTTCGGCTTTGACAAAAATGTCGGCCCCACGCTCCGTCTGGTCCTCGCGTACGCCCATTATCACGTCCTAATCCAGGTGCTGATCATGCAAACAGCTGTTCACTGCTATCGCTACAAAATCATCTCCCAACCAAGGTAATTAAATAGTGATAAATTTGCAAGGCTTACCGCTGTTTTAGGCCTCCCGCCTCCGCCGAATTTTACCGAGTTTTTTTGTTGTGCTCTATTCCGAACACTTATCTGAGCCTTTCATTTATCGTGGCATTGCACAGCGGGTTGAAGAAGGACATTACGGAAGCAACGAAGAACTTGCCGCAGGCGTGGAAAAATAGCGACGGGACGAATGATGTTATCGCGGTCGTTAGCTGGGTATGAAATGACTTGGACAAGAGGAATATTAGGCTGTCGGGAAAATAATGTGGATTTGTCGAAGCAAAAAATTTTTTGTTTTGTCGCTGTCGCAGACCAAATCTACAGCCACGGATAGAAGTCGCGATGATGGCAGATTGCAAGGCGCGACAAATCCACATTATTTTTCCGACAAGCTGAAAGGCGTTTGTTCGTAAAGCCGCTGTAAGGAGTATTGGCGAATTACCAGGCTGTCGGGAAAATAATAAGTGCAATTTCCCTTTGAGCGTTGCTGAAGTGAAATGCAACGCGACACAATTCGGCGATGCGATTTTCGATTCGACATAGTCCTCATTATTTTCCCGACAGACTGAGAAATTTTCTGAAAAGTATTTATCCTTTCAACTCTCCACCTAAAAATTTCGCTTTGAGAACTTCCCTGTACAATAAAATGTGATTCCATTTCAGACCGACCCTCAAACAAAATTCTATGTCCTGAACAACTTGCTGGTTGTGTCCGCCATGACTGCCGTATGTGTGTATTACATCTACAAGTGCTACATGAGCGTCAACAACACTGATTGCCTCAAGCTTTCATTGACTACAATGCGCATGAGAAATCAGTTCAATCGTTGTCTCATCGCTCAGGTAATCAATGTTTTTAGAGGGATCATTATCCATGCACTTTATGAAAATACTGAAAAAAAAATATAATCATATCCCTACTTCAGACAGCAGTGATCGCCGTGCTAAAGCTTGTGCCGTCTCTGATGTTCTCCAGCACATTTGCGTTGCGACTCCGAGGCGTCTATTTGGGGACGCCGACCATGATTGGGCATGTGTGGTTTGGGGCGATCAATGCGCTGATCCCGCTGCTCTACATCGATGGCTTCCGGAAATTTACAGTCAGAGTTCTGTGCTCGCATTATAACGTCATAAGACGCCCACATGAGCGTCTAATAAGTGTCAATTCCAAGAGTGAAAGGGCGACTGATTTATAACTTATGTGTATTATAAATTAATAAGAGATGTACTCCAAGTGCGAAGCTCAGATTCTCGTGAAATTTCGCGCACATTTCGGGTATACGCTACATGTAAATCGCTGAGAATATTAGCTTTCTCTTTGTAGGTGCGCCTGAGATATGAACGACCTTTGCGGCTGAGAGAGTACGCGAAACGCGGAAAGCGGTAGCAAAAAATACTTTTTTGCCCTTATTTTTACCAGTTTCTTGCGGAAAAAAGATTATTTTTCTGGGAACCTTACTCTCTACAGTAGAAATAAACATGAATCTTTTCGTGCCAAAATTCGCCAAAAAAAAGGCAAAATTTCGGCTTAAGACCTGCATTTTTCGGTCGTTTCTGCAGAGCGCGTTTATTAGGGACGTTTTTCACAAATTTCGGCCTCTAACGTTTTTAAAAAGTAAAACTCCCTGACCGCCTTCCGCGTTTCGCGTGCTCTCTCGGCCAAAGAGATCGTTGAATATCTCGGCTTCCCCTGGAAAAGCGTAAGATAATTTTTTCGGCGATTGATACGTGTCCAATGGTCAAAGTGTGTGAAAAATTAAAAAGAAAATCTGAGCGTCGAGCTCGGACTTTTCTGCCTGTCCTTCTAGAAAGTTGCCGGGCTGATCTTTGGTGTTTGCACCGTGCAAAAAACGGTGTGAGCAACAACCCAAAAAAGCCTATTGCACAGTGCAAAAAAACCAAAAATTGCGCAGTGAAAAGCATTATGAAACACTGTATACAAGTTACGAGTTATACGTATTTATTTTATTACGGTTTCATTACTCGAACCACAAAGTAATAAAGGCCTACAAAAACTATTTGCGGAGAAGATTGAGGTGATATAAAGAGGTAAAAGTAGTTAAACTTGAAGGAAACGGAGATCAATGAGGTTGTGCTACAAGTTTTTCGTAGTCCAAGGACCTTTCATAAGGATGAAAATGACGTTTTGGGGGCTACGTTGAAGATGAGAGGGTTCTGTTGAAATCTGAAGCATTTATTTGCCAGGGCTAACAGGATTGTTGAGTTGGACATTGTCTCGCAAATGACGAGCGGCTCGAGTCAATGAGTTGTCGCGTTTCCTGAAAATAATTGAAATTAGATATTATTTAGTACTTATTTTCAAAAAAAATTGAAAAATGTCATTTTTACTCTTTCGCACAGTGCATTTTGAACTTTTTCCCAGCTAACGCACAGTGCACTTTCTTTTTCGCACAGTGCAAACCTCAAAAAAGCCGTTTGCACTGTGCAAGGAAATATTTTTTTTCTTTCGCACAGTGCATTTTGAACTTTTTCCCACGCTTGTCGCCAATGCACAGTGCAAGCCTCAAAAAAGCCGTTTGCACTGTGCAAGGAAATATTTTTTTCTTTCGCACAGTGCATTTTGCACTTTTTCCCACGCTTGTCGCCAATGCACAGTGCAAGCCTCAAAAAATCCGTTTGCACTGTGCAAATGTCAAGCGCCGGCGCAGCGACAAATTGAAACTTGCTTATGTCGCAGCGATATTTCGATGCACAGTGCAAAATCAAAAAAAGAAGGTGAAATGCACGGTGCAAAATTTGGGGCTTTTTGTGCACGGTGCGTTTAAAAATATCACTTTGACAGGGACAAAATGTCTATGCACTTTAAGAAAATATTAATACTGCATGTATTAATAATTTGTTAAGTCGCTGGGGCGACTTTTAGTATCTGCACTGCGCATAAGAAATCAGGGTGCAAGCGACGGGTCAAAGAAGCCTATTACACGGTGCAAAAAACAAGAAATTGCACATTGCGAAGTGAACTTTTGTTTTTGCACAGTGCATGTCGCAGCGACTTTGCGAACGGACTGGAAGTTCAAAGGTCAAAAAAATAAAAACATTCGAAAATCTGAAGCAAAACTCACCCTCTCCAAAACAATTTTCCCTCACTTTGGCCACACATCGTCAACAAGACAAGGGCGATGATGACAAAAACTGCAGTGATTTTCATCTCCAAACAATAAATTTATACAAACTTGAATCGCTGGTTTTCCAAATGATTTGGAGAAGCCCCATCGTGGCCGCCTTTATATTGCAGCGGACCCGCGATTAAACTGCGTCAAAGTCGCTGCTGGCTGTGTAATGGGAACGCTTCACGTAAGAATAAAGAACGCTCTTCCTTCGGATTTGACGTAATCGTCGTATTTTTGAATTTTGTCTGTTCCATTTGTAGGCTTGAACGTCAAAGATTACATGATCTGCAGGGCGTGTACACGCAGAGAGTGGGATGTATATAAATGCGATTTAAAGTGAAGGTGAGACATTTTGATCCCCTCAGGCCTTGTGATGTTGGGAAAGGGTTAGTTATAAGATTCATAGCTCAGTGGGATATTTTTAGTATTTTTAGCGGGATTTTCGATTTTTTCGATTGCATTGTCTTCACATGTTCTTTACTTTGCAAGTTGACGTTCTTGCACTAGCGGTGGGCACTTTTCGCGAGCTCACCCAAATTTTCGCGCTCGTTATTGGTTAAAAAATTGTTGGGACTTTATTGCCAGTGTAGCACTGAATATCTCAGTTTTCTCCAGCCTGAATTATGTTACCTATATAGAACAGATCAGCTTCCTCCAAAAAACGAATATTTTTAAGTTTCTTCTGGATATTATTGCAGTGTTACCTGTAAAATACCTCAAAATATACGATAGACAACACTTGAAACTTAGTCAATTTTACTACTTGCGCCGTAAATCCGTGAAATTTATACGCTGAAAGAGAAAACATTATAAATTTTTGATGTTTTTCATCAGTCGTTTTCCGCGCGCGTCGCTGCGACTTACCGTTTCTGCACTACTAGCACTAGCAACATGCACTTTTTCGCGAACGCAGCGGGCTAATTGTAAGTCGGCGAAAAAAGTCCACGGACTTGATGACCCGAGTACCAGTTAGTCGAGAAAACAGTGGGCCTATGTTGCTGCGCCCATTGAAGGGAGAAGCAATTTGATTTTGGCGCTTCGCAATTCATTTTTTCATTTTCTCGGCGGCGATGCCATTTTTGACGCGACATTTCGCTCACTATTTTTTCGGCGGACTGTCAATATTACATATATGTTTCTAAACTAAGCCTTCTCCTATCCCTCTATCATGTAGACGGCAAGATATTGGGGCAACAAAAAGTATCTGTCGTCAAAAAATATGCCTGTCGTTCACCCGAAAAGTTCTAGCGGCATAAAGTTTTGCATCGGAATCCTTTTTTCCAGAACATTCTTTGTAAGATGACATTTCTGAAAATCAAGCACCATCTATGCCAAACAACATCAAGATCATTACACGGATCTCCCCTTCAAACATCATCACATACGATGTCTTATTCTCCTTTCTACGTCAGTGCTCCTACGTAATTTTCCCATCGCTCGGCTTCGTGTGATATCGGTTTGTCCCGTCTCTGCGATCATCCCCGGATCCCACCCAATATGCTGACGTCGTCTGCGAGACAACAAACCATTCGTCGCTGGTATAAAAGCCCTTCTCCGGGACCGATTTCCCATCGAAAGTCAGCTCTCAACCAGCTCCTTTAAACTAATCCACTGCATTTTGCGTTGTAAAACCAAGTCAGCTACTCTGTAATCATGCGATTCGCCGCAGTATTCGTTTTCATTTCATTGGTGTTCTTGGCCATTTCCGGCCAAACCGAGGCAAGGATCTTCTTCAGAGAGTAAGTTTTTCAGCGAATTTTTGGGCCTTTTGGTATAGATAATTATAGATAATTTGTGTGAGTTGGCGAGCAAATTTACTAATAAATACTATTTTCAGAAAGCGCGACAACTCTATTACCCGTGCCATCCGTCATTTGCGAACCGACGCTCATATGGGAAATCCTCTTGGGCCTGGAAAATAAATGCCCATAGCTGTTGCCCTAAGGGCTCGAATTTGAAAACCAGACATTAGTGGATAGACAATGGTACGATCAATAGTCTACAGTCAATTTGGACCCATTCATCGAGCTTTTTCCAGCATTTTGGAGCTTATATTATCCTTAGTCGTCTAATTTTTGACTTTTTTCTTTTTTCTTTGCTTCTCTTTTCCAATACCTTCATTTCTCATGCCCTGTCTACTAGTCCTTTTCTAAAGTCGCTGGAGTGATATCTGCGACATAAAATGTGCAAAAATCAGGAATTCACAGTGCAATTTTCGGTTTTTTGCACAGTGCAAACCTTTTTTCGGATCGACTTTTTTGGCAAAGTACAAGTCGCAGAAATCACCCCAGCGGCTTTGCGAACGGACTATTCGCAAATTGTAATCTGATCTCGTTCATTTCACCTACACAAAATTCGTTTTTCTTTTGATTATGACCTCATACGTATAACTTCGTTGCAAAATTGTACTTAGTCTACAAAGAGAGAACTTCAATAAAAAAAGATTATGAAAAATCCGAATTTGGCCTCTTTTTTGCACCACTTTTATTGTAACAAACGGAATATCGAGCCGGTCGCTCGGTTATCGTTGATAAGAAGGAAAAAGGAGCGAAATGTTTTCCATGCCAAACAGTTCTTTGATGAGGTTGAAATGAGGAGCAAATTCTTTCAAAGGAACCATGAGTTGATGCATGAACTGATTCATTGACTGGCTGGAAATGATCAAGGTAGGTTGGTGGTTGAATAGCTCGCAAAGATCCCTTGCGATTGAAATTTTTTAAAATCTTTCTATTATATTAGTCTGTCGGGAAAATAATGTGGAATTGGCGCAGCAAATGTTCCCTTGCTGAAGTCATCAAATCGTCAGCCGCGGCTAGCCCTCGCAATTCGATGATGGGCGATTCCAAGGCACTACTATCCACATTATTTTTCAGACAGGCGAAAATCAGGCAAAGCCGGCAGGCAGAGCTGGATGAAAAATGATTCAAAACTTTCTTCGAGGATTGCGCTGGGTCCCTACTCATATTTTCATAAAGTGCGTGAATTCGTCGCAACCCGCGGTGCCAGAAATTTAATGGTTCTATTTCTATTTCTTTTTGTTGCTGAGACAGTTCAGATCCTGTTGGAACTCGTAACCAGAGATTGCCACGGCTCCGGAGCCGGCTCTTGGCTCCGGCTCTGAGCGGCTCCGGCTCCGAGCCAGGAGCCAGAGCCGGAGCCGGAAATTTTGGGGTCGGCTCCGGCTCCCGAGCCCAAAGTCGGAGCCAGGCTTCCCAGCGGTCACAAAAGTAAAAATTTCGTGATCTTGTTAAACCAAATTGCTTCAAAAACACTGCGGAGGATGTGACTTGACTGCAAAAACGTTGGCTGCATGATCTCTGGCACTAATAACTTTTATTTTTTGAAAAATATTTTTAAAAAAACATGTTGCATAGGAGCCGGGATTCGGAGCCGGACGCCTTTTTAAATTTTGCACGGAGCCAAGAGCCGGAGCCGGAGCTGCAAATTTGGCCTCGGCTCCGGCTCTGGGAGCTAAGAGCCGGAGCCGGAGCCAAAATTTTGACCGTGGCAATCTCTGCTCGTAACTTCGTATTTTACAAACAGCAGACTTATTTTTCAGCATTTTTCATTTTTAATCTTCCTTCATTTTTTCATTTTAGCCATGCCCAAAGCAGCACAAAGACGACTCCCGACTTGGCCGGTGCACCGCGGTGGTATTTCGGAGGGCTTGCTGGCATTCTCAGCGTCGCATCCACACACCCATTGGATCTGGCTAAAGTCCATCAACAAACCCATTTCCACAATCTTCCGCTGCACAAGGTATTTCAGCGAGTCTATCGAAGCGACGGACTCCGAGGACTCTTCAACGGACTTTCGGCCGCTCTACTCAGACAGTTGACTTACTCGACGGTGAGGTTTGGGGTCTACCATGAAATCAGAAGGCAGCTGAGCGGAAGAAAATGTGAACTGCGCTTCAAGGAGAAGGTTGTATTGGATGGAGTTTCAGGTAAAGTTAAAGTTTGATGATTATTTTGGGGGTCCTCAGGTTAAAACTAACAGAATTTTGATGGTGTAAATGTTGCAGACTACTCCTTGAAGTGCGACACTCAACTTCCCTTAAATTTCTTGCAGAATTTGGCCATATTTTTGCTATTTTGGGGCGGAAAAAAATTATTTTTTTGTGGAAACATTCCCTGCAAATAGGCATGAAAGTTTACATATAAAAATTCGCAAAGAAGTACGAAAGCCTTCCGGACTTTCGATCTAAAAACCTCAATCATCTCTGCAAAGAGAAAGCTAAAGATTTTGCACATGCCTTAGAAAAAATTGTTCTAAACTTGTTCAAAGTTTCATCAAAATCCATTTTTTAAACCATTCCACATACCTATTATTACGTGCGTATTTTAGGCGCCATCGGTGGGGCAGTTGGACAATTTGCCGATATTGTCAACGTTCGTCTGCAGCACGATGTAAAGTTGCATTTGTACGATCGTCGTCGATATTCCCATGTGTTCGATGGGATCTCCAGGATCTCCCGCGAAGAGGGCGGTCGAGTTTTGTTCAACGGAATGTCAATGAATATTGCGCGAGGCGCTTTGATGACAATTGGCCAGCTTTCCGTTTATGACAAGGTAACAGCGATGGAATCAAAAAGAACTCCGTATTTTACCCAAAAATTTTCAGATAAAGCCATTTGTCATGTCCAAATGCAACTTTTCTGACAACTTCTCGGCTCATGTTATTTTGTCGTCGCTAGCGGCGACCGTAGCGACAATTTTAACTCAACCCTTGGATGTGGTAAAGACCAAGATGATGAACAAAAGACCTGGAGAATTCCATGCCCTTTGGCATTGTGTGGTTCACACTGCAATGGGCGGAGTGCAAGGCTTTTACAAGGGCTTTTTCCCCGCCTTAACTCGACTAATACCTCACACAGTATTGTTGATGGTGACTTACGAACAACTGAGGCTGCGATTTGGGTATCTGCCAGCGGAATAAAAAGCAATTTACTGTAAAAAAGATCGTATTATTAGTTAATTTTCTCTCAGGAAGTACTCCAAGTGCGATGCTCGGATTTTCTTTAAACTTGGTGCGCATGTCGTGAGTGGGCCGCACATTAATTCCTGAAAGTTTTAGCTTTCGCTTTGCAGAGGCAGCCAAGATATTCAACAATCATTGCGGCCGAGAGAGCACACGAAAGGCGAAGAACGGTCCGAGAAAAACACTGTTCAGGCCATATCTTTGTCAGTTTCGCGCGGAAGAAATTATTATTTTTTGTGGAAACATCACTCTCTGCAATAAAAATAGAAGCAAAACTTTCCATGCCAAAATTGCTGAAATGAAAAGCAATTTGAGGTTGCCGTAACACACTTCATTTTCTCAGCGGCGATGCGATTTTCGATGCGACACATTATTTTCCCGACAGACTAGAAAGATTTGCCGAATAATATCGCCAAAGCATGGCTAGACAAACAGTATTATGTTAATATCCGCATCCAAATATCTCGCTATCCCACTGGTCTGTGGGCACGCCGCCACCAGAATTGTAGTTAATTCTCTTCCCCCCTTTTCTTCAGCAGAAACATTCCCCTCCCTTCTTCGCATTCTATTCCGTGCGTCATTAGGGATTCAGAATCCTGGTTTTAGGAAGGCCTTGTACATCTTCATTCTTTTTTGTTTTCCCTTTCCGGGGATCTGTGGGGGATTAATTGACGACGGTCTGTCAACTGTTTCGTCATCGCGCCGCTTTCGCTGCATCATCAGAAGGGAGACGAGTCAGAGTAGGTGGTGTTTCGTACTTTTTTGCGAAGAATATTGTCTGCAATGCAGTTAATTCCGAGTTTATCCTTGTTTCATCCCTTGTATTTCATGAATAATATAAATTTTCTCGAATTGGCCAAAGTTTGGCCTTCAATTCACGTTTCTGCTGCTTTCAAATTCCCTCTAGGCCCCTTCAAACTTCTCAAAACTCAAATCCATCTCGCCTCGGGCATCTGATCGCCCGAAGTCCGGAGGCTTTCGAGGCCAACTGTGCCAATCATTAAGGCCCTGATTCCTTTCGACCTTTTCGCGTTCGTTGTTCGGCTTGTTTTTGAGAAATCCGCTTCCTTCCAATCCCACTGAGCGATTAAGTAAGAGCGGGGCCCCCGAAGAGCCTTCGGACACAACTTTTCTTGTCATCCAATTCCTCTTCTTCACTCTTTGACCTACTAATTTTCAGTCCCCACTGTTTGCTTTTGTGGGCCGGATTCTGAAGTTGTCGCGTTGAGAGGGGCGAAACAAACGGCTTTGTCTGCAACTGCTAGCTGATTAGCCTGATATACTCAGTAAAAATGATAACATTGGCAGAAGAAGGAGTCACCTCAAAATTACACATAAGAGTTTGCCAGTTTGTCGGGAAATTAATGAGCACTGTCGCATCGAAAATTACATCGCCGAAGAAAAAATAGATTGTGTCGCGACAAAATCGAATTGCTTTTCATTTCAGCGACGCCATCGCAACATTTCACTTATTATTTTCCCGACAAACCTAGCCAACCCCAACCTTCCGGTCCATCAATTCCATTCGCTCCGATAAAAACATCCCTGCTTCACCTGTCAACTTCAGGCTGTAACAAACTCTTGCTGTAGCTGCACGGAAGAGGCGGCGAGGTTCGGACATTAAGAGGTGAGGGCCTTTCTCCTCTCCCTTCTCCCCCAACTGCCACCCTTATCACTCACAGATGCCCAGAAGGCTCGATTTTCGGACCGATTCCCTCTGTTTACTTCGCTGGTTCGAAGAGAGGCGAGGGGTTACGAAAGATTAGACGATCTCAAGCCTCTCGAACAGCGGAATATTCCGACTGATCCGCGGGCTGTGGGCTTCACAGCCTTCTCTTGTCCGGCGGCGATAGTGAAAAGTAATGGGGAAGGCCTTGCAAGCTGTTTTTGAGGACCAAGCAGGTAGGCTGATGACGTAATGAGCGTTTTTGGGCGATTTCCGAAATCTAAAATACGAGTATTGTCTTTTCAACAACGTTTTTGAGAAATTTCCAACAGAAAACGAACGTTTTGACCAAACAAATCGCCATAAAGCGACTTCATTTTTTCGGATTCTCGAAAAGAACAGGTGATGTTGTCTAGAAGGCCTTTTGATTGCATAACAAACTGATTTGTGAAGAAATTCGGAGGGCTTTGTGCTTACCGGGGAAATGCCCCAAGTGCGACGCTCAGATCTTGATGAAATTAGGCGCAAATTTAGAATATTTTTTTGAAGACATATACGAGACTCCTAGCTTGTGATTTGCAGAAACGACCGAGATTTTTTGATCGAAATTTGGAAAAAATATGACATTTTTTGTGAATTTGAACATGAAAATTTTTGAGTTTGTTTCTAACGTCGAGGGAAATGTCTCCACAAAAAATCAATTCTTTCGGCGTGAAACTGGCAAAGACGTGGCCAATAAATGATTTTTTCTGACCGCTCTCCGCCTTTTGCATATTCTCTCGACCGCAAAACTCGTTGAATATCACAGCCGGGCTTGCAAAGCGCGAGCTAAAACTTTCAGACCTTGATCTATGACCCATGCTTGACATGTGCGCAAAATTTGTAGAAAATCTGTGTGTCGCACTTGGAAGCCTTTGTTGTAGAATACGTTAACGCCACCCCAGCCTGTAAACCTTGAATCAAAATTGAAAGCAGTCATTTCTATTCAATTCAGACGCCTTTACTTCTCCACCATTAAACACCCATTTTACAGAGAGCTCTGCAGATCGTCTTCGTGGAATCTGTGAATCCGCTCGCTTTTCCAGAAGCCATCTTTTAGTCGAAAATTGATTCAGTTTCCCTTCTCCATCAGTTTCATTCATCGTTTCCTCTCGCCCCCAGCGGAAAAAAAGGCGAAGACTTCTCCTTCCCCGACGTTAGGGAGAGCAAAATGCACCAGCATCTGGCGCCGATTCTTTTGGGTTTAAATGAAGGATGGAAACTTCATTGGACTCCACTCTTCCTGGCTGCCTTCGCCCCACCACAGTTGTTGTCGGCGTATTGTTTGGGGGTGTTGTGTGTGGGGGGTATGATGACTTCATAGATCGGAATTACAGGCGCTTGAGCAGATGGCAATTGTCATCATCTGAGTGAAAAGCGGTGGGTCGGTGATGCTGTAATTACGGAGCAGAACAAGTCATTAGTTATGGGGGTGTGTAGAAATCAAAATAGCGATGACTTGTTATGGCCATTGGATTGTTTTGGCCAATGGAATTGACATTAGAGCGAGGCTTTGTCATTTAAATTACTTTTGGACTTATAAAAGCCCTCTTCGCTTGTTTGCATCGTAAATTCTGCCCTCTCAACCTGTGCGGTATAAAGTTTTCAAGCCGCTTCCCTCTTCCCCGTTTTCCCAGAATCCTATTGCTGCCATATGCTTCTGTTTCCAGTTCCATTTTTATTGATATACAACTACATACTTCCTGGGCTCGGAGAAAGGTTTCGCGGAGGCTTTACGATGTCCCGCTTGCTTGATGCGGCTTCCGGAGAGCGTTACATTTACATCTGAGGGGATTTGTCTACAAAATATCGGGAAATATTGTAACATATGTCTCGATAATTGACGATAAGATCGTAGGGAACGCTGTGAAGCCTTGCGTTTGTAGTTGTTGACAAATTCAACGCCCAAGCGTCTTATCGTCGCTTCTTTCTTCCATCTCCATCGTCGCTTTGCCCCGTCATCTTCTTATCAATCGTCTTCATAGCCCTTCCACAGCCTTATTATTCATTGGGGTTTCGGTGTGCATTCCAATGACAACGCGGCTTCTGTGCATACAAAATGAGAGGGGATTTGGGGGGCTTCTTCGTGTGACAAGAAGCCATCCTTCTCTTTGCGCTCTGTTAATATGGGTGTCTGAAGCCGTGCCGGCTTCAGACGCCTCTCTTTGTTTCCGTCTCTGATGTCGTGCTTGGACTTCAGCGGAAGCTGGAGTCGTTGTAGCCAGAGCACTTTGCGCCCGCATTACGCAACCACCAACACTCCCCGCTTCTCTCTTCAGAATCCACGCCGAATCCCACGCTTCATCGTGCGTGCTGGGGTCGCAATTGCAGAGTCGGGCGGCTTCTTCTCCCAGCCCCACCGCCCTTCTCGCCCCGCTCCACAAAAGCATACACGCTCGAATTGTCGTCGGGGCTCCACCACCACCGGTCTTCGTCTTCTGCCCGCTCCTCTCCCGGTGGCGGGGATTCTCGTCGGTGCGTGCTTCCAGCAGGCCCCCACCGGCTTCTGGCAACACTTCATATTCATACGACACGCAGTCGGGTTTCATCAGCCTTCATCGGAACTGTGGGGATGCACTGTCTTCTTCTTTGTTCGTGGATTTGGCTGGTACGAGGAGGAGGCTTCGTTTGGCTTTAAATTAAGCGGGCTTCTGTGGGGCTCCGCGGCTTCCGAGGAGGAGTAGGACTTTTGGAGTACGGTAGTTGATGACTTCGCTTCTTAGGTTCAATAAATTTTAGTGGTGCGACAAAAAATTCAGTTTAAAATACGGCTTAAAAGCTGGTAAGATAGCCCTTGCTAAGTTGCAAATTTCTTGCAATTACTGTCATAAATTCTTAGAGTATTTAACGTATAATTCATTGACCTTTTGATCAAGCGTATCCCAAGACATCAATTCTAGTCTTGGTCAGTTTGTTGCCACTTATTTTTTCCGGCTGTCATCATAGTCATCTCGAGTTTAAAATCACAATGTTTCATCGACAAAAATCCTCAAGTTTTCATCAATATCCCATCCCATTATCTTCCGTGTAATGTGACCCACCTCTGCCCGCTCATTAGTCTCATAACGGGACTGTTCGGCCAAGATTTCGGCGCGTTAATTCGGAGGAGCGGCGGACAACGGGAAGCTGGATTTGGCGGCACCACAGAGAAGCGGTGGCGGCTGCGGTGTCGTCGGAGAAAATCCGAGCAGAAGCCGTGTGTGGAGCGGAATGGCGGCGGTTCTTCGGCTGAAGTCGGTTTCCGTGGTGACAAAGCCGCTCAACGATGGAATCGTTGCGTGCACCGGGCCGGTTTCCTCTTCCACCACTTTCCCGCTGGAATTAAGGCAAGCCGACGGTTGCAGCAGCAGATGTTGTGATGACAGAAGAGTAGGTGGGGGTTGACGGGCAAGGTCGGGGATTCAGATGAGACGACTGGGTTAGTTTCGAAAAGTGGGACCGTGGAGAGCGGTTGAGATTTTTTGATTAGACTGCAGTGGGATCTGGCTATGATGAGAACAGTTTGTTATAGAAGAACTTTAACCTAGAGAGAGTGGGTTATCAGTCTGTCGGGAAAATAATGAACTCTATGTCGCATCGAAAATCGCATCGCCGGCGAGACAATGAACTTTTTTGTAGCAAAATCAAATTGCTTTTCACTTCAGCGATGTGATTGGCGATATTTTTTTCATTATATTCCCGACAGACTGATAGTCTAAAATCACCGTCTAAGACTTCTACAATAGTCTGTTATAGAGTGGTTTCGCTATATGACTAGTCTTTTATTCCGTGATTATAACGACCAAGAATGAGTTTAAACTTGATCGTCATTTCTAGATATTTATTTTAAGATGACTCAAAGACTTCTGAATACATACTTCACAAAATAATCCGTTTGTCAAACAATATGTTCTCTGATTTTTCCGTCTAACGCTGATGACTTCACCTTCTCAAACTCCACTCCCTTCCATCTCAACCCATCCATCCGTTGTCTAGCGCCCCATCTGTATCCCCTTTCACTTCTGTAACAACACATGATATCCCACTCCCGCCCATTGTGTGCTGTATTTGCGCGACGTCTGACTTCGGTTCGCCAGACTCCTATCAGCCGGCCACTTCAGGGCCCCACACTCTTCAGCGTGCGGGGATTCAGTGTGGGGGTCGTGGGTGCTGTGACGACGACGTCCGGGCCTCACGCGCCCCCCGCACCGTTAGGGCGGACTGATTTTTGTTTCGCCTCTCCTCGATTCTCTGTTTGTTCAAGGCTCTTGTGGGGCGGTGGTGCGGGGCCTGGACCGCTGGGGCTTCTTCTGCACGGTGTTGTCGCTGATTACCCGGCTTCTCCACCTCCTGTCTTCTCCGCCGCCTTGCCCCCCTTCGGCTGGGGCAGTGAGGTCCGCTTAATTTTCGCGTCTCTTTCGTTGCATATTCGGGTTTCGTCACCGAGGGGCTTCAGCATCTGCATATGCGAGGGGTTAATTGATCATGGCTTCGGGAAACCAAAAATGCATCTGTCTTTGAGCAATCGGATAAATCAGAAATTGTGTTGAAAACAGATGCCTACGAATGCAAGAAAAGCCAGGAACCTATAAGAACCTCACGATAGTTATCATTATCTTAATTACTCATTATTAATCCACCCTTTTTGGAGTAATTAAGACATTAATTTTTTCAGAATTCTCAAAAATCACTGCGAAATACCTCTTTATTTCAATTTAGTCATCATTTTTGTCTTTGATCAACTCTCAGCACCTATTTCTCTTAAAAAAATTCATATTTCCAAGTCTTCGGCCTACCGTAGAGTCGACCTGATCCCGGATTTCCTGAGCCAACCCAACGCAAAATAATGAATGCCACAGAAATTATTAGGTGCGCGGAGAATTAGCGCGACCGAACGCTTTTATCTACCTAATTGCGCAACCCGCCCTGTGAAAGGTTAGAGGTAATGATGGCACCTCATTGCTCGCAGATTCTGCTATTAAGCTTCCTGTTATTAAAAATCCATTTCTAGCGTCAAAATCGCAGAATCTTTTGGTCTAGCCCGTTTTCAACGCAAATCCGCTTGCATTGAGTACGTTCAAAACAAAGGAGATTGTTTTTGCGTGCAGCCGACCAGATTTTGTTTATTGGTCGAGATTCTGACGTCAGGCCGCTTCGTTCGCCGCCTGATCCGACGCAGCACGCGATCCGAGGCCGCACTGAGGCTATAGCGTCGCGGATCAGCTTGCAAAGCGCTGAGATCTGAAGTCGGGTCGGGGCCATCATTTTGAGGGTGCGGAGAGGAGGGGAGATTTCCCGGCGCTGGCCTGAAACCCCAGGCCGGACCGAAGCGGATTTGTGGAGGTGGGGCCGTTGCGTCGTCCGTCCGTCCGTCTTCTCCTTGGTCTTCTTGCTTTCATCGGAGTGGTTGGTTTTGGGGGGCTGAGAGTGAGTGAGTGGAGGTGTGGTGCCGCGGCGGTCCCCACGTTCTGCCCCCTGCTTCTTCTTCTGCTTCCCCCCTCCTTTTCCTCCTGTCCGCTCACTTCGTCTTCTCGTGTGTCGTGTCCAACGGAAGAAAATCTCTGTTCCCGGCGATTCAGCGGGTGCACCTGTTCGAGTACTGGGCCCCTTCTTCGTGGCGGCTTCTTTTGCCAAAACGCTTCGCAAATCGGTGGCGGCCGGTACTGGCCCGGTCCGTGCGGCTCGCCTTCCGACCGGATCTGCGCTTCTGGAGTCGGCAGAGGGGTTTTTGAGGTTATGGTGACTTGAGATCTTTGAATTTTGAAGATTGTATGATTTTTTGCTCAGTTTTACGACAAATGGCAACTTTTAACGTTAATTCCCGCCTTTATTCAACAAGACTTGTATGTTTATTTCTCATCATCATCTCTCTTCTGAATCTTCTTTGTCTTCAGAATCCCATCGAACCATCAGCAATCGTCCCTTCAACGTCCACTCAGCCCCTCTCTCTTCTCCCTTCACCACCTCTCACCTTGATTTCGACACCCCATTCGCGATGGCTCCAGAATCCGCGTGGGGTCTTCGCTTCGTTGCCGATCAGGGCGTCTGATTCCTGGCTTCCAAATTTTTCTGTCATTCGATTCGCGGCTATTTTTCTGCTGTGGGGGAAAAAGGAGGCGAGGTGGGTTTCTTGATAAGGTTGGCGTTCACTCCGATTTTCTCTTTTTTTGTTTGTCGTGATCAGATGTCGCACCGTTGGGTGCACAAACAACCCAGGCCGCAGCATATGCCGAGTTCATTCGCTTGGACGACTCTGCTGGACCTTGGAGGCGCTGGGGTCAGAGAACGCGAGAAGGCGGTGTGATCTTGAGAAGTCGGAGGGGATTTGATTTTTGAGGGCCTTTCAACTTGTTACTGTTATCTTCTTTATGCCTCTTTAAACCCGACCAGGAAATTAATGTTTTTACTGTAAACAAGATGTAATTGAATTACTTTCATCGTGAGAATCGTGGAATCAACTGTGTTTTTGTCCATTCTAAAGGTTCCGATCCCCCATTCGAACTGTCATATCTTCGTCATCTCCATCCGAAGTCATCTTCCCCCATCTCTTCTTCTTCCCGCTCCCCCCGCCGCTGAATCCCCCCACTCTGTGAGAATTTTTGATTGAGAGCTGAGAATCTGCACTCCTCCTTCTTCTTCTGCCTCTCTCGAAAGCCTCGTCGTATCGGAGCGACGGCTGGTGTCCAAATCATCGAACAGACGCCGTCGCAACGCGCGCTCCACTTTGCCGCACCCTCACTCGACCACAGCGCGCACCGGGCCCTCTTCTTCTTCTGCATGGCTTGCTGTGGGCCGCAATCGTCGTGTCCTCGCAGATTTCCCCAGCTCCGGATGTTGGGAGCGGCTGATCAGCGGGTTCTCTATATTACACTTGATATTCAGCTGAAGTTCGTCAAAACCCCGCTATTTTTGTGATTTAAACTAATGTTTTGTGACTTAATATGGTCCCATTTTACATTTTACCCATTCCTACGGCCTTCTGAGTATCTGAATATTTGATTTTGAAAAAATATTCCCTTAAATCATCGTTTTTTCTTTCGCTTCGCATGAACAATGTAATTGCGACGGGTTTGGCGCCTTTTTTACATTGATTGTGCGTGTTTTTTTCTGCTCCGGAATCCGAGTGGCTCTCAGAATTCCGCGCGTTCTTTCCACCCCACCATAACTTTCACTTTCGTCGCACTCGAACGCAAGAGCCGAGGTGGAGTGGAATCAGGCGTTCTTTTGCGGATTCCCCCGGCCCCAAACCGCTTTGATCGCACCAAACATCTGCACAAAAACCTTGCCAGTTGATTTTATTCTTTGTTTCCTTCGTTTCTACTAACTGTAGCCATCAAAAACCAACTTTTCTTCAAGAAAACGTCAAAATTTATGCATTTCCTAAAAATTTTTAGGGATTTTCGCGTATGCAGATTTTAACTCTGTTTTTTGGCATGGAACGGACAAAGAATCTTCGGTTTATGGCTCTCCCTGTCACGTGCATGTCATTGTTCACGGACGTCGCTCTCTTTCACGGTGGATTCTGAAGAATTTTTCGTTATTTTTTGGCTTGACCTTCCACACCTAGTATAACATTATTTCTTGTGTGCAATTTTAGCGTGTTGGACGAAATTGGCTTTTTTCTTGAAGAATGCAGAATTCTTGACGTATTTTTGCTAACCGTTTTGTTTTTTGATAGCGTGCTTATGCACTTTTTAATTTTTTATCTTCTCCATGGGGCGTTTACAAGAATCACGTGTATTTTCGCGAGTTTTTGTTTGTTTATAATTGAATATTCGTTTGCAGATGAATGCTCTGAACGAACTCAGTTTGCTCGGAACTGGACAGAATGGGAACAGTGCCTTATCGCCGTCCTGGGGCGCGGCGCCCTTCATGAGCAACGACCTGCAGTCCGCCCCCTGCCTGTTCAGATGCTCCGAATGTCCGGTCATGAAGAACTCGTGCGAGGACTTGGAGATTCATATCAAACTCGAACATCTCAACTGGCTTCCGTTTCAGTGTCTTTTGTGCTCCTCCCGACGGGCCAGTGATAATCAGATTAGAGAGCACGTAATCTCCCATCACAAAGTCAACGACTACCGATACACATACGTCGACAATCCCAATGCCAAGCGGGTGCTGCAGGGTGAGTGGTTTAGCCGGATTTGGCCGCCATCTCCGCTTTTTTGGCAGATTTTATATTAGACTTGACATCAAATGGTTGTTGACGAAAAATGAAGCCAAATTTGCGGGAAACGAAACTGAAACCTTGCAATTTTAGGTATGATTGACCGCTCATTAACTGGCGCCATTCAGCAGATGGTCGCGCGTCGCGTCCAACAGCTTCAACAGAAGAACGGCGCCTTTTCTCCGAAGCCCGCGAATGGTGTTGTGGCCGAACAGAAACGCAAAAATCTTCATGATATTCTGAGCAGAGCCTTGTCACACGAAAACGAGCCCGAAGATCGGAACACGAGCAGCAGTGTGTCGCCGAGCGAGAGCACAGCCAGCGCAACAGCCACAGTTCTGAGCAAAAATGGGTAAGAATTTGAGATTTTCAACGATTTTTTTATTTTCTTCCATTCTCTTGATGAAACTAACGCAAAATTCTTTCAGAAATCTTCTCAATGACAACAATGAACATGATCTCGAGATTCAGGAAAAAGAAATCGACTTTAATTCGCAGTTATCCAGCCTTTTCGGCAATAATGGACATGTCTCTGATAAAGATGATGATGAATTTGATGGGAATGTGTCCTCCTCGCTTCTGAAGACACTCGAAGCTTCAATGGAGCGCAACAACGAGGATGTGGATCCGGCGACGCTGATTCAGAACGTTTCCTCGCTCTTCAACGTCAATTTCAACAGCCTGGTCAACGGGCAGAACAGTCCGGCGAAGCCGGCGGTGAATATTCACGGCAGAGTGATCAAACGAAGGCCCGGAACCTCAACTCAGTGGTATGTTTAACGATATTTTTTGGGGATTTTCGAGAGTTTTTTCGGGTTTTCTTGACCAAAATTTGAGCTGATAGCAAGTATAATATAGCCATATGGAATTCAAAATAAAACTGAGCGCTTTAGTTTCAGCGTGAGCAAGAAACGGGTGCTGGGCGAGTGCACGAAATGCCAGAAGCCGGTGACGGCGGGCGCACGCCAAATGCACATGTTCTTCCATCTGGGAAAGGACGAGAACACCTACCGATTCAAGTGCAAGTTCGACGGCTGCGACGTGGAGCACTATCGCAAGGATCAGATGGAGAACCACATGTCCAAGCAGCACGGCCGAATCGACCATGACATGATGATTGACCGCTCCGCCGAGCTGTACGACCGCGTCCAAAAGCTGAGCATGGAGCTGTTGGGGACGGTCGGAAATCATCCCGGACCGAATGCAGCCCGCGCCCAGGCCGCCTACAACAAGATGCAGGCCGAGAAGGAGGAAACTCGAAAGCGGAAAATGAATGATGACGACGCCGAGGAGGAGGGACCCAATCCGTTGGACCTGCTGAGTCAGGTTTATAGCCCAGCGACCAGTGAAAAAGCGACGCCAAAGGTGGTGCGGCCCGGAAATGAAGAGAATTTGGAGTGCCTGTTGTGTCATAAGTTTATTGTCAACAGGGTAAGTGGATTTGAGAATTTTTGGAGGGGTTTTGATAGAAAATTTTTGAAATTTATATTTTTGATGGGGAATTTATCTAACAGGGGAAGTACTCCTGTGCGACGCTCAGATTTTCTTTAAATTTTGCACACACGTCGGGTATGGACAAAATATCAATTCCTGAAAGTTTTAGCTCGCGCTTTGCGGGCGCCGCCGAGATATCGAACGATTTTTCCCGCCGAGAGAGCACGCTAAACGTGGAGAGCGGTCAGAGAGAAAAGCGCTTTTTGGCCATAACTTTGGCAGTTTCGTGCGGAAAAATTTGATTTTTTGTAGAAACGTTATCCTTTACGGTTGAAATGGGCATGAAACTTTTCGTGCCGAAATTCGGCAAAAAGTCCTAAATTTTCGCCGAGTTTATCTAAAAATCTCGGTCGTTTCTGCAAAGCGCGAGCTAGGATTCTCGCATATATCTTAGAAAAAATTATTCTAAATTTGTGCCATTTCATGAAAATCTGAGCGTCGCACTTGGAGTACTTCCCCTGTTAGATTTTTGAGGAGAAATCTACCTAAAATAATGTTTTTTGATCTGCAATGAAAATTTTTCGAGGCTTATGAGAGATTGATTCCATATATACAATCTTTAACATCTGACCTCCTTCTCTTTCAGACCCGCGGCTTCCACATCCTCTGGCATCTGTGCAACGACCTCGGAATCATCCGCTACTGCTGCCGCCTATGCGACTACAAACACGAACGCCCCCAGTCCGTCTCCACGCACGGCAAGAAGGAGCACGGCCGCGAAGACGTGGTGGAGGACTCGCTGAACAAGTACGAAGAGGAGGTGAAGTCCATGTCGAAGGCCTGCTTCGGCCTGGAGCAACTCTTCTCCAAAGAAAGCCGACGCCGCAAGGTGGGTAACCTTCTCGAGGAAATTATGAACCCCAACGAGGTTTCGGCATAAAACCGTTTACTTTTTTTTTCTTTTTTGTTGATGTTGTTTCAACTCTTGTCATAAGGCCAATTTCCTTTCTTCCAAATTCGGGTGTGTAGTGGCAGAGGAGCAAATTTTTTTTGAAGGAATTTTGGGAGAGTTTATGATGAGAAATTGGAATTTTTCGCGATATTAGAGATGAAAATTAATTTTTTTTCTATAACAAAGCTGTTTTCTATAGAGATTGGAGCTAATTTTTGCATAAAAGGAAAGGAAATTTGCATTGGCAAGAATTTACATCAAAAAATTTCAAAATATTCTCAAAAATCACTCCCTGGGAAGCGCATAGGAAAGGAAATTGGCCTAAAGTATCATAGTCATGTCATATAAAACTCATTTCAATCTGGTCTACCGAATTTGAACCTCATTTTTGTAACCGAAAACATGTCATTAGCAACTATGTCAACAGGAAAATTTTCACGCTTTCTTTTGCACCTCAAATCCTCTGCTTTTTCTATCATTTCTCTGATTATTGGCAGTGACGTCATATCTCAAACTGTCACATGGTACTTGTTTTTTTTTTAATTTTGAAACTTGGAATTCGAGTTTGTTCCGCAGAAAACATCATCAGCTAAAACAATATATCGATCTGTTTCTTCCACGGCTCTCTGAACTTTCATCGGTCTACATTTACATCCACGACCTCAGGCGTTTATTTTTCTTTTCTTTTTCTCTCGTTGCTAGAATTGTTAATTCGAATTATAATTTTGCTTTGCAATAAAATTTAATTTCGCTTCACGTCGTCAGTTTTATTTTGGCTTTTGCATTTGCATTTTTTTACTGCTTGCTGGGCCTGTATCAGTAGGAAAGGTGGCTTATGACATGACTTTGGCTTTGGGCACGGTTTGGGAGAGGTACACGCAGCTTATGACCTTTCAAGGGAGATGGTGTTGGTTTAAGTGGCCATGGATAATATAAGAGCGAAGGAATAAGAGCGAAAAAAATCTTCTGAAAAAAATGCTTCAGCCTCTTTCTTTTTTTGTCGAAAGAGTCTCGAGCAGATTCTCACCACTTGGGAAAGCGTCTGCCGTCACACTCTTTCTTCTCTTCTGGAGGAAGCGTCTGCGAGCAGGCTCTTCCCGACGTTTATAAGCCCCGCCCCCTCGATTTTGAGCCAATCGCTGAGTTGGTGGTTTTCTTGCAGAAAACGGTTGTCTTGGGTGAAAATTTTTGCCTTTTCATTATTCCGGTGATTTGGGCATGTTTTTATTTGTTTTAGAACTGTGATACGCCTAGCCTTACTATGGCTGTCATTTGAAGATTCAATTGAAAATCAGATACATTCCTGGTTAACACAAAGGTTAAGAAAATATTTACAGAACAAGTTTCACAGATATATTTATGTGCAATACAAGTAACATCGAGTTACATTTAGATGTAGAGGGCCGCGGCGGATTCTGCCCATGGGCATTCGTTTCCATATTCACGGTCTCCCTTTCTTCCCCGTTGTTACTGAGATTGGCAGTGCAATTTTGTGACATTGAGGCTGAATTTGGAAAAATTAGTAACTTTTCGAAAATTTTACATCTAAAATAACATCAAAACTCCTGAAAACAACTCTCTCGGTCCTACTTATTATTGGCGCACCTGCAAACACTCACTAAACTGCACATTTTACCTTATTTTAGACAAAGATACCTGAAAATTTCAAAAAAATCTCGATTTTGACGTAGGCCTGCAAAAAATTTCAAAAATATCAACTAAATCACTATTCATACTTTCTTTCTCCGTCTCCTAGGTATTTCATCACTCACAAAAAACTGCACAAACTCAAAAAATAATATTACTTTAGGTCCAATCCGCTGAAAAGCCCAAAAACGCCTCAAAAATCCCTTTCTTCTCCCTCAAAAGTCTATGAAACTGTTACTTACTTTCCATTCAACAAGTGGTGAATATCTCTGTCATTGCTGGATCCAGCTTCATCAACTATCACGAGGGCTTTATCCATGGAGACCAAATTCTTCTTGTCGCATTTATATCTAAAATGTTAAAAACAAAAAATTCTAACTTACAAAGTCGTCCGAATTCATCGCTGTAGCGATCACGTACTGTTGAAGTCGAACATCAAGTGGGCCTGAAAGGTGTAAAACAAGTTCAGATATGGAGTCCGCAGTTGGCCAAGTAGGAAAGATTAGGCCTGAAATTACGTAAATATGCTAGCAAAATGAGGCAACTTACATTTCGCCGCGTCGGTCCGCTCTTCTTCGTCAAAATTCGCTATCATTCATCGATGAGCTAGGTTCACCTCCATCTATTGTTGTCGGCCACTTTTCTTCGGTCAAAACGACTGAAAATTGTTCGGGCGCAAGCTGCGGAACCTTTTTTCGCTTGGGCTAGAGAAATGAAGTTTTACCAACAACTTTGATGCCAAAAAAGGACGACGAAGATTGATATGCGATTGATGAAGGCCTGCAAACACCGCCCATAAGAGGTTGAACTGGTTCTACTGCAAATGATGGACTCTGCCTCAATTTCTGGACTCGGAAAAGGTACGTGGAATGTTGAATTGTTGATAGTATTGGTAACTTTTAGCCAAAATATCTCCTCATGCGCAGCGAGATGATTGAATAGCTCATGTGGAAGACAAGCATAATAATGAAGTGGCTGATGAAGAAAATGAAGTCTCTTTTCAAGATGGTAAGTAGTTTTCTTCTGTTTTGCGTTGTTGTTTTAGGAAAGATTCAACCGCCACACCGTCGTCATCAATCCGATCACACATGTGACCTACTAAGGAGACTTTTTGCTTCCGGCGACTAAACCCAAATGTAGGCCCACGAATACACCAAAGTCTCGGTTAGCTAGCTCCACCGAATCCACTCATGGCCAGCGGTTCAACAACTCCATAGATACGAGAGAAAGAACGCCTTCTTCCGGCCACTATAATATTGCTATTACCATTCAGCCACCATTGTTTATTCTCTCTGTTTTCTCCTATATCTGCTTCTTAAATAGAAGAGTTTATTTTATTGATTAGATAGTCATTTATTATTTATTTGATAACGAATGAACAAGATTGTTTAATTAAATTATATTGTCAAAAGTTTTTCGCCATTGTAATAAAACATGTTTCAAACATCGTATATTTGAAAAGAAAAGTGCTTGATTTACTAAATTACAACATTTTAATTCGCCGTCTTCCTGGCTTTCCACAAAAAAACAAACTCCTGCAGAAGTGGGCGGAGCCAATAGGCGGAAAGAGTCTCGACCCACACTCTTCCCCCACCTAGATGGCGGGAGCGTCTGCTCGAGACTCTTTCCGCCTCTCAGATTCTTTCCCAAATGGGAAGAGTTCGTAAACACACTCTTCCGAACGAAAAGGAAAGAGGCTGAAGCATTTTTTTCAGAAGATTTTTTCCACTCTTATTCCTTCACTCTTATATAATGAGAAAAAAGCCGGAATTAATGTGTAAAGCAATGTTTGAGTGATGTATTATGATAGTACAAAACCTTACTGTGTTATTTTACAACTAGGGACTGTCGTGTTTTACCAAAATTTGTGTGTTTTAAATTTAACATACCTCCAGTCTAACCCAAAATTTCCAGATCCCGAAACAGTCCTCGGAAGAGCAAGAACTGGATGATTACAAGTCCGTCGAGTCGTCGGCACCATCAGGCCTCAATTTATATAATGGAGCGCTCACTCCGTCCAAAAAACCTAACTCCACAACAGGCACACCCAACACAAGCTCATCAAATTCGTCGAGAAAACGGATCTCGAACAGAAGGTTTGGTACCAGGAAGGGGAAGTCGAAGCAACAGCGACAGGAAATGGTCAAGTTGAGAGAGATTAGCATGATGATTGGAGGAGCTTCGTACTTCAAGAAGAAGACCAGTGAATCGGTGATTTGTGAGGTAAGTGGGAGTAAAATAAGTCAATCCAAAATAGAAGAAAAAACTTCCCGCCTCTTTTTGGTGATTCGTTCAAAACGAAATGTCACTAACCGATAAAAAGAATTTTCTTATCTTTCTTCTGTCTTTTCGAAAAAATGCACTTATTTATTTCGGGCGAGAAAAAGTGGCGATAATTTCGCGACATTTCGTCAATTTATGACCTCAGAAGACCAGAAACCCCCCTAATCATCTGCATTGAGCCTTCAATAATATTTTTTTTGTAGGATTGTGGGAAAAATGTGGTCTCCCGCATCACCCAACATGCCTATGGTCATATGGAGTCATGCCCCCTGTATCTATGCCCATTGTGCGACATGGGAGACCCGTGCCGAGCCATGGTCATCAAACATCTCCGCGATTTCCACAATTCGTCCGCTTCGCCCAAGGATAACCGCCTGAAGCACGCGAATGACATCAAAATGACGATCAAGCGATGCTTCCCCGCCATCTTTATCGACGCCCCAATCCCAACACAGGCCACCGTGGAGCGGCTGAAGAAGAGTTTGGGCCTCGGAGATCAGGACCTGTCGTTGGAGGGAGAGGAAGAGCATCAAGAGGAAGGAGAGTCCGACCACGAACCTCAAGAAGACGAAGAAGAAGCGGAAGATGTGGAAAATCATGAAGACATGAAGATGGAAGCGGACGAATCAGAGGGAGAAGAGCCGAACACGCCGGAAAAACCGATAGAGGATTCACAACCAGACCTCACGGCAGAGGTCTAACACCTCCAACCTTGTTTTATCTTGTTCATTTTGAAAACATTTCGATAATAATGTTATCCATCTACCTTACTCATCAAAAACTTTTTTTTCCAATTCTCTTTCAACTTATCATCTCCAAGATTTCAAAAGTTGACGTTCTCAGTATTCTCTTGGCCTTATACGTTCTTGTAAAGCAACCTCTATGTCAATATCGGTCTACCATTTCAATCTTCACCATGACCTCCAATTCCGTTCTTTGTTGTTATCTCCGAATAAGGGTCAATGTTTATATCAGTTTCAACATGTATATCAAGTCCCCCATCACCTATCGCCTTTATTGTTATGATCTTCGTGGTTCTAACTTATTTCTTTGGAAATAAATTAATTGATGAAAGCGTGTTGGTCATGGATAATATAAATCGACGAGAAATGTGAGGCAAAACACGGAACAAACGAAAAATAACAAAGGAGGGAAATGAAAACATCAAAAGGAATTGAGATCCCGTCTTAAGGTACAGGTTTGACAGTATAAAATGTCTCGCAGTCTGCGGATTTCACAATCTCAGCGTGGGCGCAGCCCGCGGCAAGTCGCGCCCAAAATATTTCTGCTTTTTCTCTCGGTTTCACCTTTTTAGCCAATTTCGGCTTGGATTTGTTAGTTTTTGACAAGGAAACCGCTAATATTGTAAGTAATTCTTGCAGATCTTGTTACCTATATTATCCTTGTCAAAGTTTCTCATTTTTAATTTTGAAATTTACGATTTCAGACCTAAATCAACTGGCGATCATGTCGGACGGCGATATAGCTCCTCAACTGGCCAAATTGAAGGAAGCGAACAATAAGATCATCGCCACCGATGCGATGACCAAGCTGAGTAATGTGTTGGCCAATCTGAATGCCGAGATCAGGGCCAATTCGAATGAGCCGCCAAAGGAAGAGGTCAAGGTGGAGAAGACTGAGTTGGATTTGTTGATGGAGAAAATTAAGCCAACCAAATGGGGGAAGAAGAGGAATTTTTCGAGGATCGACATCAGTGCCGATAAATGGTTTTTGACGTTGGATAAGGATGCGTTCCAGAAACTGGCCGAGCCTCCGTCGTTAGCCGATGGTCTGGAGCTGAAAGAAGAGAAGGTTAGTGATTTTTGTTTTTTTTTCTTGTTTTTTAAGAGATAACCGAAGGAAATCTTAGCGTTTTCACTACTCGTCGATATTGCACTTGAACATCTGTAATTTTCCAGTTTTCAACTTGAATGGCCGTCTCCTTTCAGGAACTACGACTACTTGGATGTGAACTGATCCAGTCAGGCGCTATTTTGCTTCGATTACCACAGACAGCGGCGGCCACTGGGCAAATTTTATATCAGAGGTACTATTATCAGAAGAGTTTTGTCCGATACAACTTTATTCACACCGTAATGGCTTGTCTTTTGTTGGCAAGTCGAATAGAAGAGGCTCCGAGACGACCAAGAGATGTGATCAACGTTGTAAATCGTCTCAAACAACTTTTACAAGATAAAAATGGTGATCGAAAGAGGTGGGTTGATGGGTTATATTATTTTTATCTCTAGGCTGCTAAATATGGCTTTAGTAAAGTATGATGGCTATTTTTAGATGTATTCTGAACTTTTAGGATTAACTAGGAGTCATTTCCTATGAATCACAATATTGATTTTCAGATTAGTTCACATAAAGCTGGACAAAAATTATGTTGAACTGAAGAACCTGGTGATCAAGACGGAACGACGTCTTCTCAACGTTCTTGGCTTTGTTGTCCACGTCCATCATCCCCATAAAATCATTATGTCATATGGACATATTCTCGGATTAAGCCAGACCAGGAAGGACATCCTCATAAAAGCATGGAATTACATGAATGACGGACTAAGAACGGATATTTTCTTGCGATACAAGGCCGAGACAATAGCTTGCGCTTGCCTGTTTTTGGCGGCAAGAACAGTGGAGAATCCAGTGGTATTGCCCAGAGAGCCAAGGCCATGGTATGAGTTATATGACTGCACAAAAGAAGAGATTGAAGGGATCTCGCTGATTCTGTTGAACCTATATAACAATCAGAAGGTGAGTTATTATCCATTTTGTTTTTTGTTTGATTTTAGGCTTGTTCTGACCAACATTTTTGATCTAACGGATGTTGTTGTAGATACCCAGCTTTGGCCGTCTCTCGGCTCATGTAGAAAAGCTCTTCAAGGCCAAATATGGAAAGCCAGACCCTCCTCCGACAGTACCGACAATTACAATCAAGGAAGAGGAGAAAAAGAAGGACGGCAGGAAGGATAAAGAGTCATCGAAATCTTATAGTAGGTCGAGGAGTGATCGGGATCGAAAAGAGCGAAAAAGAGACCGGTCCAATGACAGAAACCGCTCCAGAAGTCCCAAGAGAGACAGAAAGGAGCGGAAGGACGATAGAAAAGATAGGGATAGGAGGAGAGATCGAGACAGAGACACACCACCATCTAAAGGTGGATATGGTAAGTATAATATAAATTTTGTTGTTTTTTGAGTTTAGATTGAAGCGAATAGAATGAAGACAATGTGTATGGGTGAATAATGCTGTATTTCAGACAAACGTCGAGATCGCGATCGCCGAGACGACCGAGATAGATCAAGGAGAAGATCGAAGTCTCCAAGAGATCGAAAATGATCCAAATTTGCTGCGGAATTTAGTAGTAAACAACGTAGTAAGACATTATCGTCTTATTTTATGGAACGGGTATTTTTCAATTTGACAGTTATTCTGTTAGGAAATGATCTTACAATAGTTATAACAATTTGTTGAACGGACATCAATCTTTATGCGTTTATTGTTAACTGAATAAATTATTCATGAAAAAGTCGTGGTTTGACTGGATTTTGTCTGGATATCCAATTAAATGCTGTTTTGAGAGATTTTTTATATTATACATGGCCTGTTATGTTGCACATGGGTTTTTTTGTTATAATTTTTTTTACTTTGATCTTTTAGATGGAACAAGAGCCTGAGAAATTGTCCAAAGCTCAACGCTACGAGAAATTTGCGGATACCCAAAGGATTTTGCAAAAATTTTGGTCGAATCTAGTGAAAGCTGAATTGACAGATCCCAAAAGGCCCCTAAAAAAGCATTACCTCGGCGTTGCGTCCTCCAAGAATGTTCAGGAGAGTGTGAAAGACTTGGAGACATGTGTGAGCCCATTTGGAAGGGATGGGATATTCGAGGATGGAATCCCCTTTTATCACTACAAACGATTTGTTCTCTCGGATGTGGATCAACGACGGCTGCAAGAGAATGGTAGGTGATGTTTTGTTTTGTGTGCTTGGTTTTTAGGCAGTTTAGGATGGATGGAAGCATGTTTTAATTGTGTTATAGGCCAGAAGATCATTTGCATGTCATGGATAATATAATTTTTTATGTTTTTACATTCCATTGATGTCCAGATTGATCTCTTTTGACGTGTCCACTCATTTTAGACTTCAATATCCTCCGAGCCCGCTTCACTTCTTCGGAAGACCGTCAAATTCGACGAAATTGGAACGATTACTGTAAATTGACCGGCACCTTTCGTCCCAACGAAGCCTCCGATATTTTCATGGGAAATACGAATCAGAAAGGAAAACGGATCTCGGATGACCCATTCTTCTACGCGTTCATGTGCCGAGGCCTTCTGCATCGAACTTGTGCGCAAATGTTGAGGAGGGCCCACACTTTGTTCCACTCGGCTCAAGAAGAGGGATATTCGAGGCCGTGGACGCAAATCGAGGATAATCAGTTGAAGGGTGAGTAGAATAGACTTTAAATTGTGTGACTGACCGAATAATACGGCGACTAGACAGTGGAGGAATAAGAAAATCGAGCTAGGATATTATACTTGATAGCATTTTCAGATTTTTTTGATTTTTTGGTTTCTTTTGCCAAAAAATTGTCTAAATTTATCTGAAATGTTATCAAAATTACAGATCTTGCCCAGACGTACGGCCAACAATGGGAGAAGATTGGCCACAAAATGAACAGACCCCGATTTCATTGCTATCAAAGGTATCAGAAATTGGTCCAAGAAGAGAAAGTCACGGAGGATGACCTCGCAGTCAAAGTGTTTTATAGTAAGTAGAGGCTGAATTGATTTTTTATTGAGTATTTTAGCCCTTATTTCACAACGATTTGGCAATGATGCGATGACTGTGGCCATGAAGGATCCGAAAGTAATTAAGGCGTATGAAGAAAAAGTTAAATGGAAAAAGATAGCCAAGAAGACGGGGTGGACAGTGGAGAAGTGCAAAGAGTATTGGTAAGGGTTTCGTGAATGAAGTTACATTTTTTTGGATATTGTACTTGATGGAAATTGATTTTTTTGTGAATTGGGACCTTTAAGGGGGTGAAATGGATTTCCAATCATAGAAAATGCCTTAAAATGCAGATTGTGTTATATTTTACAGAGATTTATATTATTTTATGTATAAAAAATGTCAAATTTGCGATATTTGACTGATTTGGTCCTATCTTCTTTCAGGGAAGAACTCAAATCGGCCGTCAAGCAGTGCGTTGATGAACAAGCCTCAACTGACCCGAAATTGATCAAACAAGCCCTTCCGGAAGCCCTACGACCAGCTGCTTTCATCTACACTGCACCTCGAGTAAAGCACGCGTACTCGAAGAGGGATGCCGCGGAAGCGCTAAAACTTTTCCTAAAAGCGGAAGAAGAGAATTTGATTATCAAATACAAAAAGATTGGAATTTATAAGCGGTAGGTGCTTGGATTTTTTTGTTTTGAAAGTTGGGTGTGTAGTATAATATAAATTTTTTGATTTTTTAGACTTTTGGAGAGTGAGTCCCTTTCCCAGTACGATGCGACGCAACGTCGACTGATCGCCCGTCATATTTACTTTATTATTATGCAATGTGAAGCCAACGGCCTCTTTGATTGCTTCCCCAAGGATAAATGCAGCTTTTATTGTGAGTTTATATCACAATTTTTTTTGTTGAAGATCTTGATAAAATTTTTATATCTCAATTTGACTTGATTGTAGATAAACTCGAAGCCATCCAGCACCTCTTGGAGAAACGTGCCGAAAAAGAAGAGAATAAGTCCGATGAGTCCAGAGGAGACGACGGACTGGAACACTTTGGAAGTGTAGCTGCGGTCCTTCTGGATTATGTGGAATCGAAGGGATGGGAGCCAAGGACAAGGACCTTTCTGGTCCATAAATTGGACGGAGAAAAAAATGAGGAAGATGGAGAGGGTCAGGAAGAGGAACCTGATGATACTTCATGGTAAGTATGGAGTTTTTTTTTTATTTTGGAAATTTTTTTATTAGTACTAGCCAGTCCGAGTAATTTGCACAGTGCAAAAATAAAAAATTGCACGGTGCAAAGTGCAACTTTGTTTTTGCACAGTGCATGTCGCTGGAGTCACTCTTAGCGTTTGCACTGTGCAGAAAACGTCAGAGTGCGAGCGACAGCCCAGAAAAAGACTTTTGCACGGTGCAAAGAGCAACAAATTGCACAGTGCAAAGCGAACTTTTGTTTTTGCACAGTGCATGTCGCTGGAGTCACTCTTAGCGTTTGCACTGTGCAGAAAACGTCAGAGTGCGAGCGACAGCCAGGAAAAGTCTTTTGCACGGTGCAAACAGAAACAAATTGCACACTGCACTTTTGTTTTTGCACAGTGCATGTCGCTGGAGTCACTCTTAGCGTTTGCACTGTGCAGAAAACGTCAGAGTGCGAGCGACAGCCCAGAAAAAGACTTTTGCACGGTGCAAAGTGCAACTTTGTTTTTGCACAGTGCATGTCGCTGGAGTCACTCTTAGCGTTTGCACTGTGCAGAAAACGTCAGAGTGCGAGCGACAGCCCAGAAAAAGACTTTTGCACGGTGCAAAGAGCAACAAATTGCACAGTGCAAAGCGAACTTTTGTTTTTGCACAGTGCATGTCGCTGGAGTCACTCTTAGCGTTTGCACTGTGCAGAAAAGGTCAGAGTGCGAGCGACAATCCTGAAAAAGAGATTTGCACAGTGCAAAGTGCACTTTTGCACAGTGCATTTGAGCGCCTTTGCGAACGGACTATTAATGAGTGTGATGTGGTTAGAATATGACTTTTGAAATTTTCAGGCTCAACGAGACGGGCGAGGCCGTTGAATTCAAAAAGGGTGGCGTGAAACCGAAGCCGGAAGGTCTGCTGAAATGGAAGAGGAAAAGGCCGTTGTTGAATCCGGTGGAGGATGATTACTGGAAATGTTTCTTGAACCCGAATTATTCATCAACCCAGAAGGTTCCGGAAAATGAGGAAAAGAAGGACGATGAAGAAGAGGAAGACACATCAATATCGGAGAGTAGGTCGAAGAGTGAAGGGGCCCGAAAAAAACGAAAAAGAAATGAGTCTACTGACACAACCAGCTCAAAAAGCCCAAAGAAAGACAAGAGGAAAGACGATGGAAAGGATGGGAATGGGGATCAAGATGGAGAAACATCACCAACTAAAGGTGAACATGAGGATGAGGAAGAAGAAGAGACTTCAATGAGTCAACGGCATCGAAAAAAACAGCAGGACCAGTCCATTGAAACAACCAGCTCAAAAAGCCCAAAGAAGGACAAGAAGAACCCGAAAGACGATAGCAAAGAAGATAATGGAGATCATGACGGAGAAACATCTCCATCTAAAGGTGAACATGACGATGAGGAAGAAGAAGAGACTTCAAAATCTGATAGTAGATCGAAGAATGGCCGAGATCGAAAAAAACAAGGGGGCCAGTCCATTGACACAACCAGCTCAAAAAGCCCAAAGAATGACAAGAAGAACCCGAAAGACGATAGCGAAGAAAAGAATAGAGATCAAGACGGCGAAACATCACCAACTAATGAACAAAACGATGATGAAGAAGAAGATACTTCAAAATCTGATAGTAGACCGAAGAATGGCCGAAATCGAAAAAAACGAAAAGCAGATGAGTCCATTGACACGACCAGCTCAAAAAGCCCAAAAAAGGCAAAAAAGTTAGGAAGGACGATAGGAAAGATTGGAAAACAGATCAAAAAGGAAAAAACATCTCCATCTCAAGGTGGACATGGTAAGTGTAATGTAGTAATTTATTTTTTTGTTGGTTTTTGAGTTTAGTTTGAAGCAAAAAAAGGTGGAGATGTATATGACCTAATAATGTCGTTTTTCAGACAAAAGTCGAGATCTCGACGGCCTAGACGACTGATGTAGACCAAGGAGAAGGTCCCCCAGAATTAAGAAACGATCCAATGACGGAATTTAGTATCGTCCTGCTTTTTTGGGTAGTTTTCAATTTGGCAGGTCTTCTGTTGAACGATCCAGTTGTTATGTTACAGTTTTTTGAACTGGCCTTAATCCTTGTTTTTGTTGTTATCTGAATAAAATATTTGATGAATAAGACGAGTTTAGAGTCGATTTCGATTGGATATCCAAATAAGTTATATCATTGAGGTGTTTTGTGACATTCGTTATATTACACATGACATTTTATTCACACTTTTTAATGTTTTAGATACAACTTTAACATAACTTTTTTTACTGTTTTTAATTGTTCATTTAACAAAGCAGTTGACTTAACAATAACATACATCTTAGACCAGTATTCGGATAGGATTTATGTTGGGACCCGTTTTGGAAGGATTTACAAAATATGACTAGAGAATGATTCAAGAAATCTAGCTAATACATAATTACCATCGATATTAAGTATATTACACTTTCAGATAGGAAGATTACAAAAATACTGTCAAAAAGATACAAAACTAAAAAAAAATACTTGATAACCTAGTACAATATAAAAATCGAGTTTTACCACAAGCTCAAAGTGATGTTCGTCCTCCACCGGAGTGCATCGCGTTCTGCAAACCACATCCTCTCATGGAATAGTTGAGTATTTGACAGTAATTCAATATCCTTCACTCTGGCCGTGTTGGCCAGCAGATATTCGCGCGGGTTCAAACAGTTCAACTCCTTCTCCGCATTCGGCAGGATGAATGCCAAGAGTTGGGTTTCGGTTGATCGGCGGCAACTCTGCCCGCTGATATGCCATTGTCCGCTCTCGCAGCGCATTAGGATTCGGAAAAAGTGGGTGGGCTTTTGAAGGGAGTCTTGGCCTTTGGGTTCGGAGTTGATGTGAGCCCTGGAAATATATGACTGTAAAAATACTAGAGCTTCAAGTCATCAAAAAAGCCTCAATTTCGTCATAATACACAGAAATACGCAATATCAAGGCCATTTTTGATGGAAAAAACTACCAAAACCATCATGGATAATGTAATCGTATCTTCAAAAACCCCCAGCCAAAGACTAAATAAAGTCTTACAGTGGCGGATCTGATTCAGTGGCAAAAAAACGTACCAATTTGCATCCGGGAGTTATCAAAAATGTCGCAAAATACCTCCCTCTCCAAGTGAAAAACTCCGATTTCAAAAGCGCCCGCTCTTTTTGTGAGGGCCCTTCAAAACGGAGTTTTTTAGTTGGAGAGGGAGGCATTTTGCTAAATTTTTCGATAGTTCCCGGAGGCAAAATGATGCGTTTTTTGCCACTGGATCAGGTCCGTCACTGTAAGACTTTATTTAGTCTTTGATTGGGGTTTTGAAGATACGATTATATTATCCATGATGGTTTTCGTAGTTTTTTTCATGAAAAACGGCATTTTTTGACACTTCCCGGGGGCAAAATGATACGTTTTTTTGCCATTGGATTAGGTCTATCACTGTATCTGTCCTCTACTACTCCAACCACCCCGATACTCACCAAAATTCGTCCTGCGAGTCGGCCAAACCATCAGAATTAAAGTCATATGCCACCCCGCTGAAGGACAATATTTTTCCATATTTTTGAGTGTAAAACTTGGTGATATTTTGCAAGTAACTGAAGGGTCCTGCGGCAAAGTCCTTGTACATCAACGAATAGAGTCGATTGTATTTGGAGATGGCTGAAAATTTAAAAATTTCACAACTCTTCCTTCTCCTACCGCTTCTCTCATTGGCCATGATGGACTTCCATTGCAGCTTGTCGTCAATCTTCTGTTTCATACTTCCAGTCCAATTTCCGCAGTCCTGATCGTATCGGACGTCATTTAGACCGCAAATTTCTTTGGTTTTCTTCTTTTGCTCATCAAAATCTTGAGCGGTTAGGGTTTCAAAGACCATTTTCGTGCTTCCAAACGTGTTTTCCGGGTCGAAAACCGTCGCTGCGGTACAGTGGTTGATGAAACAGAGGCCTGAGGATGCTGTGTAGAAGGTGCCCACATAGCTGGTCGATTGGACCTCGCAACTTTGGAACTGTTGATTCGCTTTTTCTGCAAAAGTTTTGCATTCTGTGGTGTTCGTGCAGGCGGTGAGCTCTCGATGCTCGTGAAGTGGGATGTTGGTGCATTCTCTGAAAAAATTTTGAGTCCATCTTTCTCATAGAAGTGCTCCAAGTGCGACGCATAGATTTTGATCAAATTTTAGCGCAAATTTTTCATCATTTTTCTTAAAAGTATGCTATCCTAGATCGGGTTTTATAGAAAGACCGAGATTTTTAGGGAAAGAAGGTAAAAATTTGGTAATTTTTTTGCTAATCTTGGCATGAAAAGTTTACTACCTATGTCTCCCGCAGAGGGTTATATTTTTCACAAAAAAAAAATCTCGCCGCGACACTGGCAGAGATATCGCTGAAGTGTTTTTGTCTGACTCTCTCGGCCAAAAATCCCACTGAATATCCCGGCTTCCGCCTGCAAAGCGCGAGCCAAAACTTTCACGAATTTATACTGGCAGGCCTGATCCAGTCGCAAAAAATGTACCATTTTGCATCCGGGAAGTATCAAAAATGCAGCAAAATACCTCCCTCTCCAACTAAAAAATACCGCTTTGAAGGGCGCGCCCTTTGAAATTTGAGACTTTTCACTTGGAGATGGAGGTATTTTGCCACTGGATCAGGCCGCCACTATAAATTCGTGAAATTTTTGGCTAGTGATTTGCAGGCGCAGCCCGAGATATTGAATGGTCTTTGTGGCCGAGAGAGTTGTTGTCGTATTTTTCGCCTTGTAAAAATAATATAAAAACTCTTACTGAACAGGCCGCAGAGTATAAGGTGTGGTCACAGTCAAGGGTTGAACATTATAAACCACTTCTTCCAGTACTCCATCAGTCCCGTTGTTGGGGACGTCCTTATTTAGCCTCAACAGTTCGGTGAACAAATTGAAGTATTCAATGTTTTGGAAGGGCTCCAACACCGTTTGCGGCCGAATGTTTGGGCCTCTGGCGAAGAAAATTGCGTGCATATTCTCTTCCAGATAGTCGTATCCGTGATCGCCCACAACTTTGTAGTCGGATTTTCGGTTTCTGAAAACAAAATTTCCATAATAAATTTTCAGTTGGGCTATCAGTATTTTCATAAAGTGCATGGACTTTTTTTTGCTTTCGCACAGTGCATTTTGAACTTTTTCGCACGCTTGTCGCCAATGCACAGTGCATTTTTCTCTTTTCGCACAGTGCATACCTCAAAAAAGCCGTTTGCACCGTGCAAATTCTTCAGCAAAAGTGCGGCGACGCAGTTCGAAAAAGCTTATGTCGCGGCGACATTTTTCCAGCGCACGGTGCAAAAGACAAAAAAAAGTGAAATGCACGGTGCAAACTGGGCTTTTTGTGCACAGTGCGGACCGCGACAACGCACAGTGCAAACTGCTTTTCTGAAGTTTGCACTGTGCGAAAAGAAAAAAAAATGCACTGTGCATTGGCGACAAGCGCGGGAAAAGTTCAAAATTCGCAGTGCGAAGGAGAACAAATGTCCATGCACTTTATGAAAATACAAATTGCACAATATAATAACACGCAAAAATTGCTTACGGCCAGAAGATGGATCCCGGCCTTCCTTCCAACAAGACATCTCCGATTCTGCTGGTTTTTGTGTAATGATATCTGACGGGGGTTCGTTGCTTATCGTATACTCTGAACTTGGTGTCATTGCACTCCAGTTTGTCCAGGACATAATTTACATCATGTTCTAAAAATCGACTTGATCAGATAAAAAAAGAAAACCACTTATTTTACCAAAAATCCGACTCAAAAGTCTTAATCTTTCAGCCAAAACAAAAAAAAAAAAAACAAAAAAGTTATCAGACCCATCATGATTAATATAAAAAATCTCAAAAAACCTACTCGAATCGTTCAAGTACACCCTTCCAACCACTCCGTTCGACACTAGCATTCCCTCCGTGTCCACCATTTCATCCACATAGTACCTTTTATCCAACTTTTGCATGCCATGATCAGATACGATCACAATGTTCGTACAATCCAATATGCCATTCTTTTTGAACAGGGAGAACATGTAATTCAGGACTGATTCCATGTAGCTCAGTTCCAGATTGACTGTTCGATCATCGGTGAACCAATGGCCAACCGTGTCGGGCTGATCAAAATAGGCCATGATCAGGCTTGGGCGTTCCTCGGCCGGCAGCATTAGCCATTCATTGATTTTTTCGATGCGCGATGAGTAAGTCATGGATTTGTTGTATTTGAGGTCGATCGTTGGGGTGTAGCCTACAATTAAACGGTTTATATATGCCTATTTTACATTTATAACCACAGAATTGGCCAAAAATTAAACTCAAATCTTATCAAGGATAATATAAAAAAAATATGCAAACAGCCATTCCTAGTCAAAAGAATACCCTACAAGCCTCCCATTCCACCCTAAAGACATCAAAAATCTCGTTATTCCATAATTTTATCATTAAAACTTACCCGTCATATTATACGAACAGCCAGGCCAGAACAAGCAAAACATCCGCCTGCGTTGTCGAACCGCCGCACTCCAGATGGGTTCTCCTTTGTAGAACTCGGCAAACTTGGTGCTTTTCATGTCCTCCTCATTCGGGGAGATATCCTTATCATACACGGAGTTGTCCACAATTCCATGGGATTCTGGGTAAAGTCCGGTCGCGATTGTGTAATGATTCGGGAATGTTTTGGTGGGATATGAGGGGAAAACAAACTGAAAATGGTGTGAACTACATTTTGCGACCATCCAACACCAAAAACACGGTCAAAAAAGCAAAATTTTATATTACTTTAGCTCTTGCGCCACATTCAGCCATCGTGTCCAAGGCGGGGACCAAATTTCGGCTCAAATATTTCGCAGCAAACGCGTCCATGCTAATGATGAGTAGAGGAGGGATGGTGACACTAAAAACGGTCATAATTTATAAAAAAAAATCAACTTACTCGGCCTTATTACACTGGATATTACAGCTGGGGTCGTGCCAGGCGTGCTGATAAAAGGTTTTCTCTTTCTCAAAGATCTGTCGCGGGTTTTCATCCAGATTCAGCGAGATATCCGGCTTTTTGGTCGTTTTCGCACCCACAACTGGCTTGATCGGCTCGCCTAGATTTTCCGGAGGTTCACTTGGAAGAAGGCCTAAAATAATATAAAAACTATAGGTTTACAGCATCGCAGTTACCTAAACAAGGCGTAAAATCAAGTCAAAAGTCAATTCTATTCCATAAAATTCAACTAAAAGAAGCTTGTAACACAAAACGGTCAAAAATTATATTGTACATGACATCCATGTCCAAAATCTCTCATTTTTGCATTTTTTGGCTTGCTTGTCATCTTACGCCCATCTATAACGCTTCTACAAGCGTAATCTTCCCTTAGCAATCAAAATCCCATCACTTACCATACATTCTCGCCTGTGCCAGCTGTTCCGGAGTGAGCTTATTGATCAATTCACTGTAAGGAGTTGGTTTCCGATGAGTTCCCTTGGCATTAGAAAAATCTTCGTACAGCCTCATAAAGTTCTCACTGCCTGTTAATTTTGTCACATTCTCAAATTTTGTGCCCATTTTCCTCATGTGAAATAACAGCATTAAAGCAACCACCAGAACAGCAAGTGCAACAAGTAAAATGAATCCTAAGATGAGGTAGACACAAGTGAATCGCCTTCTGACCAGCTCCATGATGCCTTGGGGAGGCTTTTGGGCTAAAATTCATTCATAAAAAATCTCAAAAATCATTGAAAACAGAAAAATCAAAAAATTTGGATTAATCCCATTTATTTTGCTCTAAAATAACCAAAAATAAATTCTATCTTCAATATTTAACCTTCTCCCACCTCGGTCTTTCGTTTTTATATTCTATAACTGCCAAAAATCCCGCTCAAGATCAACTTCGAGGTGTTTTCGAAGGCAAACAAACAAAATAATTGAAAGAAACCCGAACTCACGTCCGTCTTCCAAGTCGATCCGGCTGTGAACCGATGAGAGACGATCCGGTTGGCCCAGCATGGGCTCCTGAAATCAAATTCGACATTATTTACGACCTCTGAGGGGTAAACAAAACTTTTTTATATTATCCATGTCATCACTATCAAATTTTCCCCCCCAAAAATCTCAATTTCCTCGCTTACAGGATGAGATTGTACTCTTTGTGCCCATGATTCGGAAGACATTTCTATTGGAGGTGTTTTCGAATAATTTATTTATCAAAACAGACGTCTTTTAGGATAGAGTTTCAGGTCCGAATACGAAGAAAAAAGGTTCGAATATTCGTAAAGTGATGTTTTTTGCGGCAGCGGGGAACAAGTCTGTTTCGGTGGCAACGCGAAAATTGACTGGCTACTCTTGAAAGCCCTCAAAAAAAGTAACAAAATCACCAATGACTACCAAACCAAAAAAAAACTGCTGGTCAAGTGTAAGTTAACGCTATTACAGTCAAACAAATTCGCAGACTGCTTCCTAAACCCCTCTATTTTGCACGTAATTTCTTATTCTTTTCCGCTCACTACTTTTTGCTTCATTGTTTGGAAATTTATAAGCCCAATTGGCAAAAATGATAGAGGATACAAAAGCTGGACAAATAAATATCCAATAGAGCCCCAAGTGCACAAAAAATATGATCAGGCCACTTTAAAATCGCTCTTTCGAGCCTTGAGATTACGCTGAAAATTTCAAAACCTGTGAAAATCATACAACTTCCAAAAAACTTTTTTGATTTTTTTAGGTAACAATTCGCAAAAAAAAATACTGTGAAACTGCCAAAAAACACGCAGAATTTATGACTTCCCAGAAACAAGGATATTTGTTTCCCTAGAGTGTTGCAGTAGCTTTGCGCGCATGAAATACGATACGAATTGATGGTATATGCAGGTAACAATATTGAGCATCAGGGAGGTCTACGGGACCTCACGTTTTTTGGCATTTTGATGATAAAAAAGGGGCGGTATGGATATAAACTACATTCAGAAGGCTTCAAGATACATTGAGAACAAAGGTACACGCTCTGCATTGCCATATTTCCAAGAAAAAATGAGATTTTATCGATTTTAGATATCAAACCAAAGTTTCACCTCATTTTCCCCACCTAAAAACCAAATTTCTCAACCAGCCCACCAATATTACTCAAAACCGCAGTCAAAGTTAGCTCCCCAATTCTTCAAGATGCTTTTAAAATCGGATCAAAACCACCGAGAGCGGCATTTTCTTCATTTCCGTCAAACTCGAAAAGAAATCACTGGTGATCCGAAAGCCGAACGGAATCTCGAGTTTTGGAGGGGATTCTAATGGAATACCCATGATGATTTCTGAGCGCGTTCATAGACAAAAACAGAAACTCATTTCGAATTCGAGCGAAATTGAGAAAATTGAAGTAATTTTTATGAAGTTGGTGATGTAAATTGACCATTTCATCGTAAAATACTCGCTTCGTTCGCTTTTATTCCCCTAATCTAGCGTAATATTCACAAAAACTTGGAATATACAACATTAAATTGGTCAAAATTTGCAAAAAACTCAAGTAAAATATAAAAATTTATCTTATCCATGGGAAAAAGCCCATAAATCATTTCGAAATAACCTAAAGCAGAGATAGCCGTACACAAAATACGCCAATAACCTTTAATAATCACAAAAAAGTCAAATTCCATAAAATCTCATCAGAATTTTCCAGGATCCTCAACAAATCAACACCGGAACCCTCATTTCCAGGTCATCGACCAATCCTCGTGACCAACCTACGAAACCGAAAGCCGCTAGAGAAAAGTAAAAAGAATAACACCTCCACAGCGATCTTATGAATGACATAATTCAAAGAAAAACCTCGAAAAACTTCCCCCAATTCTTTTTACAATCGCTTCTCAAAGGCTTTACCCCCAGCTCCTCAGGGCGATAAGACATCCGCGCGCAACAAATAAAAGGGGGAGAGGAACCAACGATGGAGTTGAACTGGACTTGAAAGAAGTCTTCAAACAACGTTCACGAGCATTCAGGAATGCCAGAAGACGCTTTGGTTTACGTTATCAAAGTTCCAGCAGAGTTTTGGTTAATCGTAGAAACCGTGAATCAGTTTGAAAGCGTCTTTGGGATCTCTTGAAAAATTTCTAGCAGTTTATGGTCTACAGCAAATTTAGAGTATACTTTAAGTCTGTTAAAGCACCTTCCAGGAAGACGAAACAATTATTTCGATTACAAAATCAGCTCCGAGGTATTGAAGCCACAAAAATCAACCTTCGACATCAGAAGTTGAAAAATATATCCATTTTCTCCCAAAACACTCATTTTCCCCTCATTACATTGCGGACAAGGACGCAGTGGTCAAAAGCGCTTCTCAACGTCCAGAAAGCATTCCAAATACCCCCAAATAACTGCCGTCTTATCAAAACAACCGTATTTTCGGTGAGACAGAGAGGATTTTGGGGGGTATTCGGCAGTACTTCCTGGATGCAATGAGAAGCGCTTTCGGCCACAGGGTCTGGTCTCGCACTGTAATGTAAGAGAAAAACGAGCGTTTCGGAAAAAAACGATATATTTTTCAACTTCTGATGTCGAAGGTTATTTTTTGTGGCTTCTAGACCTCGGATATGAGTTTGTAATGGAAATAATTGTTTCGTCTTCCTAGAAGTTGCATTACCACACCTAAAGTATACCCTAAATTTGCTTTAGACCATAAACCGTTGGAAATTTTTCAAAAAGATCCCAAAGACCCTTTCAAACTGATTCACGGTTCCTACAATTAATTAAAAATCTCATGACGACAGCTTTCCACATTTTTCCGAACACCGATTACTTTTAGCTGTGAGTCACAACTTACGGGGCTACTTGACATAACTTTAGTAATCCGAAAGAATTTTTTCAGCTTGTTTGCGGGCTGAATCAACAACGACATGACGCTTATTGAACGGGAAGATCCCACAAAATGGGAGATTATTCCACTGTTCGGCTCATTAAGCCTAAAGGATTATGCAAAATCGTGGGGTTTCTGGTGTGAATGACTTTGTGATCGTTGGAATTATGGTGTGAATGACTTTGCAATTGTTGGATTCAGGCGATAAAAAAGAGAGAATTTCCTAGAAAAGAGTTGCGGAATCCATTAAAAAATAAAAAGTTATTTTTTCCCCTCTACGGACCTTATTTTAGACATTTACTCTCGTATTTTTGAAAAATCAATCCCAAACCTAACAAAACAATCAAAAACAACTGGTTGAAAGTCAGCAGAGTTCCCTTTACCATATAAACAACACGATTACATCAACAAAAAACTCTCAAAACATCACACAACACCCGAGAAACGTAATTCCCGAAGCACAACACAATTTATTCGCTGCAACCAACCAAATTTCACAGACCAATTGACAAAAAAGGGTAATAAAATCAGCGATGATACCGAGTTGAACGCGCAATCTCATTAAATGCGCATAGTTTTCACACCAGAGTGCGAAAAACTCATTATATTAACCGGCGCTATTAGGTCATAGTTTGACATCAAGTGATCGGAAGAGTGTTCTCAACGAAATCTCAACGATTGAAAAGCGGATAAATAGAACCACACTAATTTTTCTGATATTTTAAAGGGAAAAAATCAAATTTCAAAGATTTTTTCGTGTAGAAAATCGTGTTTTGATGGATAATATCGACAACTTACAGTGCTGGCGCAAGGTGAAGCCATTTTTGGAGAGTTCCAACAAAAAGAAAAGGAAGAAGGAAAGATTTTTCGAATGGAACGGAGAAAATGCCCTTACTGCTTTTTCATTCTTGTTTTTTCAACAAAAAACGGAGAAAAATCAACAGATAAAAGATGAGATGACGATTTGGGCGCAAAATCATTGTGCGAAAAGGGAAATAGAGCCTCGAATTTAATTTGTTTTGGTTGTAAAACGAAGAATCTGTCAAAACCTGGGAATTTTTACTTTTTTCAACAAAAAATATATTACTTGAGGCCAATAGATGGATTGAAAGTCAAAAACAACCCAATAAGTAAGTAAAATATATTGGCAGACACTCCTAAAAATCCAAGTGATCGTATTTTAGCCCGAGAAGTAACGAGCCATTAAACAAAATTGCGTATTTTACAAAATCCGATATTACTTTAGGTAATTTATGATGCAATAAGCATAAAAACGAGAGCCGCCACCTCAAATCACTGTAAAAAGACAGCAATATTCCCACTATACCTTATTCTAGCTTGCGCAAAAGCTCAACCTAAAATACGCAACAAAAATTGAAAATCTTACCATTTCATGGGACTCCCCCATCTCCGCGTCCAGTTCGTCATACATATGTGCCGACTTCTTGAATTTAGCGGGCTTTCTCATTCGCAGTCCCCAAGCGAGAAGTCGGCTGAGTGATTCAACCGCGTTATCAGTCCTCCGGTTCGACCATGACGTTCTCCTTCGGTTCTCCTCCCCGCCCGATATTTTGTCGTGTCTGAAATGCAAATAATGTTTGAGGAAACTGTTGGAAAGCCATCGGGAATAACAGGAAATAGGGGTCAGAAAAAGATTTTGGCTATAAAAATGCGATTTATGTCTTGTTTTCAACGAAACTTCAAAAATTTGTTGGCTAGTATAATATAAATTGTCTAAAAAATAAACTTACGGCGAAACGACGAGGTTTTCACGAGTTACACGTTGAAAACTGCGGCTTGAGGGAGGAAAAAATAAAATTCTCGAATTTTTCTAGTTATTTTTGAGGGCGGCGAGCTGCGCCCGAGGCTTCTGCAGCTTGCAGGCAGACTCTTATACGAAAAAGCGAGATTCGTTTTAAAGTTTATTTACAATGATAAAATGAGTGTTTTAATGTAACATACATTAGTAAATACATAAATAAAATGCTATTCGGCTTAGTAATGGTGATTTTTTGTGGCTGATGAGGCAGATCTGAAGATAAATTATATAACTCATACATTCACCGGTAAAACGATGTTGCTATGACTTACAGATGCTCTTATTCTCACCTGAGACGTATTAATCTTCCGCTTTTTCTTCAATTTCACCAGTTCTCTCCTTCTTTTTGGCCTGAAACAAGTTCTGAGGCGAGTCGCCCGCTCTTCTCAGCGGATCCTTCTGCTCATCGCTGGACGCCTTCATAAACTCAGCCTCAGCCCTACTCTGCTCCAATGGCACTTCATTTGCCTCGTGGGCCTTCTTTTCCAGCTCGTGGTAGAAGTCGCGACGGTAGTCATGAGCAATTGGTGGGATGTTATCCATTCGTTACAGTATAAAAGAAAATGACACTAAAATTAGGACCCCAATCCTTCGTTTGGAAAAAATGATCGTCAAAGATCGCTTTGCTGTCTTTTATACGCAACTGTATTTGTAAACACCACCTTTCGAGATCCATAAATTTGGCGAAAAATTGCGAAAAACGATCAAAAACAAATTTGTAAGGAGATCAAAAGATCAAAGTTCAAATTAATGATCAATTTTTTTCAAGATACGAAAAGGGCATGTTCGAGAAAACAGTGAGCACTCTGCTGCATCGAAAATCACATCGCCGCCGACGAAATGTGTTGATTATTTTCCTGATCAGACGATAAAGACAGGGGAAGTGCTCGAAATGCAATATGCAAACTTTTAATTTTAATGGTCCCGTTCCGGGCACAGCAATTCCTAGTGACTCCAAAGTTTCTTGTCGCATAGTAGAGGCCTTATCCTTAAATTGAGAAAAAATTTGGCCCATTGAATTCGAATCCGACGAGTAGGTCTGGTAAGACTGTGCTGACTTCTACTGGAGCGCCGCATCACCACACTGACAGGGGAGGTACCCCAAGTGCGACGCTCAGATTTTGATGAAACTTGGCACAAATTTAGAATGATTTTTTCTAAAATATATGCGCGAATCCTAGCTCGCGCTTTGCAGAAACAACCGAGATTTTGTAGATCGGAAGTGGGCGAAAATTTGACACTTTTTGCCGAATTTCTGCACGAAAAGTTTCGTGCCTATTTCTACCATAGAGGGTACTGTTTCCACCAAAAAGCAGTCTTTTCCGCACGAAACAAGCAAAGTTATGGCCAAAAGATGTTTTTCCCTCTGTCTGCTCTCCGTGTTTAGCGTACTCTCTCGGCGGCAAAGAGCGTTCAATATCTCGACGGCGCCTGAAAAGCGCGAACTAATACTTTGTTGTAATTTTGAACATGCGTCGGTTCATGCCCGACGTGTGTTCAAAATTTTAGGAAAATCGGAGCGTCGCTCTTGTGGTACTTCCCTTGTGAGTCAAACGGCAACTTGTACTGTCACGAGAGAAGTCCGTAGAATTTTCATAGTGCGTTTTCAGCGCCACTGCTGTTTTGCACTAGCGACATGCACTTTTCTGCTACCGCACCCTGCGACGTCGCCGAAAAGGTTCTGCGGACTTTATGACGCGACTATAATTTAACGGAATCAATATTGCAGTCCTCCGGAAGTACCCTGCTAAACTTTATGACCTCCAACATTACCTACGCATTGTCAACATTTTATCTCTGTTCATCCGACTTTACGTGCACCTCCGAGGCAACCGAAGAACCACAATTTGTTTTCCATTTAAATTTACGAACTCTTTTTTATCACTCTTTCAGCTGCCGTTTGAAATTTCGAGGATTTATGTGCAACGGAAAGGGTTATTCGAACAAGTGTTTGATCCGCTTAATCACCCGCTTGATATCAAATGTGTGAAAGACGCCAAAGGGGAAGCCTTAAGCTTTCGTTTTTTTGGGATTTCCTATGGGGTCAGCTTATTTAATTTTCTTTTTTTGACCTTTTGGTCGGAGTTGTATGCACTTTTTAATAAAATTAGAGTTTGAAAAGGATGTAACGGAGGGTGGAATGCTGTAATCAATATGTTTTCGCGAAGAGGCATGTTCAATCCGCGGCCAAAACATGTCAGTTATCTGATGCTCCGCGAATAACAATTGTATCACTCGTGCCATAAAGTCCTTGGAATTTTTTCGATGGCGACCTGCGCTCACAAAGAAGTGTGTCGTTGGTGCGGTGAAAAATTCTACGGAATTTATGGCGTAACTAATATTTTTTTGAGGCCTCCTACTGCTACATCATTTTTTACAACGACTTTGTAATGTCTTGAAATGAGTGGAATTTGCGTGTAGGCCTCATTGCAAGCATTAAACAACAGAATTTTTGGTTATTGAAATTGCAAAAAGAGCGGGTTTATAAACGGTGGCAAATATGTCAAACAGGGAGAGAGTAGTTGAGGTGTCAGCTTCAGGGTTCCTTTCTGTTACGAGGATAGGCTTTCAAATGCAACTCTGACCATAAAAAATGAGGATTCAGCTTTAAAGTCATTTATGTGTATCTATATGGGGAATGTTTATATTCCGATCCTCAGATTTTTTAGCATTTTGGACGACGCTAAGAATAGTAGTCGCGCTAAAGTCTAGAAGTTGCACAGGAGCGCTGGTTTAAAAACACTGGGTTTCGGGGTAGAAATGCCCCTACTTCAGATGGTTGTAGCGACCCCAGTTTGCATTTAAAAATCTTGTTATTTCATAGACAAAAAATAATGTCGCTTAGAAATAAAAAACGAAGTCTCTGCGCCGCCTCCGCCAAAAGTTATAGCCTCCGACTTTCCTTCACGTTTCTTGAAAGACCCTGTACTCAACTCATTCGAGCAGGGCGGGAAGTTTCTGGATTACAAGGGAGGTACCATAAGTTCGATTCTCAGATTTTCTTCCAATTTTGTTTATGCATCAGGCATAGACTACAAAAAAAAAATGCCTGAAAGTTTTAGCTCGCGTCGAATCTTTGCCGAAAGATTTCCGAGCTCTTTCGGTAAACCTCTTTGCGTTTTTGCTTTGCCTTGATTGTATGCAAAATATCTTGTTATGCCAGCAAAGATTTTTTACGTTCATCAAAGCTCGTAAAGCGTCAGCTAAATAATCCAGTTTCCACAAGTCGAAAGTCTCAGAAACGGCAAATGATATCATTGTCTCAACGCATCCCCAGTCCACTTTAACCCTGTTACTTTGCCCTTTTTGTATGCTTTCCATGATGCCACCCCTGCTCCACTAAAGGTCACGACTCCAAAGTCCGCACACAGTAAACAATTACTACGCTCTTCAAAAGTGCAGGCCTTTTGTTACAGTGCATTTGGCCATTTTTTCGCACGGAGCGGGTTTTTCGAACATTTTGCATTGGGTATTTTCGCCCATCCTGAAAACGCTTCCGAAATGTCGCAGCGGCTCCGTTGAAAATTCCTTCTGTTGCGCTATACTTCCATTTCACAGTGTAAAATGTCGAATGCACAGTGCAAATATGGGTTTTTTGCACGGGGCGTAGTCTATCAGTCTGTCAGGAAAATAATGAGCACAATGTCGCACCGCGTCGCTGAAGTTAAAAGCGGTTTGATCTTGCCGCGATACAGTTCATTTTCTCGGCGGCGCACGTCAAACTGAGGAGCCCGGTGACCGGAATAGACTCTTCGCTATCGGTTTTTTACACTCCGTCTTGATTTCACAGAGAAGTCAGAGAAAAAGACGCGCATAAACGTACTCTCTCGCCCCAAAAAATCCCCATTTCTTCCCCGGCAAAAAGTTTTTTCGCGTCTTTCCATTCACCGGACCGTTTTAGCTTATCTCAGTTTGACGTGCGGCGATTAGGCATGGCTCCGGGCCGGGCTTTGCAAAATTTTCCGGCCCGGACCGGGCCGACTAATTTCTCGGCCCGACTCCGGGCATCGGGGCCGGGCTGGCCCAGTTTGCAGCCATGCTTAGCGGCGATGCGATTTTTGTTGCGACATTGTGCTCTTTTCCCAACAGGCTGAAACGCAACTTTTGAAAAGCGAAGTACGCCAAAAACGGATTTGCATTTTCCAAGTACAAGGGATCACGTTCGCCCCGTAAAACGGCTCATTTGCATCCCTCCAACTAGTGCTCATGACTTTATAAATATGCAAGGTGCATCCCCCGTTCGTTGTTGCATTGAGTGGAAATTGGGTTAGGCCTATTTTGGGAGACGGGGGCCCGTAGGAAGCTGCAGCGAGTTTTGATTAATGTTGGCACGTCCCCCGGTCCGAGTATTTACTTTAACTGTGACATTATCCATTCCATTTGCGAGTCGTACATTTCGCCGATGTTGTTCCGAATCCCTCGGCGGATACGCCGATTGTTGGCTATGCGCATTCGCAATGGGAGGCGTAGTAGTTAATAAAACGGGGGAGAAATTGTTTTTCTTAGTGGATTTTTGCGCGGGTTTTGAAGCGAGACGTCTGCAGGCACAAGAAAAGGCTATTTTGGGAGTTGGAACGTATCCATTTGCGGTTGAACGCATGTTAAAATACTGTGAAACAAAAAATGCGAGGTTTTTGCATGAATTGTCATTGTCGCAGCATTAGTAGGGACTCTAAATCCCTGAGCTTTTTAAAGGGTGTGTACAGCGCGGGTCAAAAAGTCCTGATTGCCGTGTTTTCGGACGGCGTCGCAAAGTGAGTTTACAAGACAAACAATTATTATGTCACCGTGCAAAGAAAACATTCATTGTGGAATTTCATCGCGCGATATGAGCTATCTGTCCGTCGGGAAAATAAGTAGTGGCGGATTTTCGCAGCAAAATATGTATTTTGCCTTATCAAAAAAGATTCAGTCGTGTGCCAAATTTCCAGCTGTGGCTGACCGTCTCAAAGCAACGATGAGCGATCCCAAGGCGGACCGCCACTATTTTCCCGACAGACTGGTATGAGCCCAATGTCGCGTCCAACATCCCATCGCATGGCATTCTGTACTTTTGGGACACAACCGATCTCCGCGACTTTTTCAATTTTTTTTGGAATGCGCTTGCTTTTTCTCTTCATATCTCGCTAGCCACTTGCGCTAGAAGGCTGAAATTTGGTATGGCAATAGAGTAAAAAGCTGGCTTTCAGAAAATATAAATATTATAAGCAACCCCGCAGCATAAACTTTCCGATGACAATTGAAAAAATCTCATTTTTCAAACTTCTGCAACCCAGAAGTGCAGGTTGCATGATCGTATTGACAAATTTCTTCTTGTCTATGTGTGTCAAATTCGATTCTGTATAAGATGTCGCAGAAAAATCAAATTTCTTTTCACGTCAGCGACGCGATTGGCGCCGTGACACTGTGGAATTTTTTTCCCGACAAGCTGATAAAGCAATTATCAGTAAATCGGTGGCATAACGCCATGCTCTTTCCTTTGTATGATCGGTATCATAAACAAAGCGATTTCGTAAACACTTTGTTTCCCCCTCCGCTAAAAG